ACAGAAATAGAGTCAGAAGCAATGGCCAGGATGTATAGCCATGGTTAAATACCGGAGCAGCTGGATTTATGTATGGCCACTGGTATCATGTAGTATGAATGAAAAGGTAAGATGGGAGCAGTGACTGATTTCAAAGAGAATGAAGGTGAGGAAGAATGTAAATTTCCTAGACACATAAACAGGAGCTAAGGAGTAACTGAGAGAGCTGGAAGTTGTGCTGTCTTTGAAGGGAAAACTGCGTGGAGAGAATGGCAGAATGCTGAAAGTCAGTCTTTCAAGTTATTGTTACCAGACTGAAGTTGATCACCAGAGCTCTGGTCATCTAAACTAAGGATTGCCTCCCCTGTTGTTCTAAAATAAGAATTCTCCAAGTGTAACTGCCTTGTGCATACGGACTTCAAGGATGCACAAGTCCATGCATATGGGCTTCAAAAAGCTGTGCATGTGAGAGGTCCTGGAGTGAAGAAAGGAATGGTGATTTAAATATCATAATGCAAGTCATTGAATTTGTAGCACTGTCACCCTTTCATACTTTTGGAAATAATAGAAGCCGAGTCCAAACGTGTACATTCAGAGCAATCAATTGTAGTCACTAATGGCCTACTGGAAAACAGGAGAAAGGGAGGTTAACACACCGAGAATTATTGCAATTCTGCTGCTGTTCTTTGATGATGTGATTGTCTATTCAGCCATTTATTCCCCTGATGCTATAGTTTGTTTAGGCTAAATGTCCAGGGAGAGAGAAGGGACAAGATTCCCATTAATGCATATATGGCATCTATATTTTATAAGGCAAAAAATGAGGAGCACAATTATAATCAGCAGTACCACCTCCTTACTCCATTCTGTCTGTAGCTCCTGCATCTTTAAGACAAATTTGCTAATTTGACTCACTCAGCATAGCAGTTTTAATGCTTGTTATATCTTTGAGTAGATACAGAAGAAGCGCAAAAACTGTGGTGGGGTGGGGGGAATTCTGCACCATCCATCTTTTAAAAAGAGATGATAGATCCAAAATAGTATATTCAATAAACTCATAACTTTGAAGTATTTAAGCTCTGTGTTTAGTTCTTGGTTTGTGATTCATAAACTATATAAAGCTACAGTTCTTAGATTTAAGTCAATAAGCACTATTGGATCTAGGATGAAATCTAATCATTTTGCTTTAACGGGTTGGTGACTGTGTCTCCAATCAGGTTGTATTCTAGACTGCATAGATGAAAAGGTTTGTTTCGATGGCAAATATAAGAGACAGAAGGACGCAGGTGGCTGACTTGGCAGATTCCCAGAGGAATCACACCCTGTGATATTGTCTTTCCACTGTGTAAACCAGGCATACTGTATGTGAAGCCAATAAGCAAAAGTGATGAGAGAACCCATGCCACATTCATTGCTCATTGTGTTGTCCGTGTCAGTTTATATACAACTCTTTCTGTAAGACCGTGTAAATGACTTAGATGTATGTGAAGACATATGGTTTCTTCATTACGAATTTAAACAGAATCCTGGAGCAGTTAGACAAGAGGCTTCGGCGAATGGGGCGGCATAAAAATGTTTTAATAAATAAAATAAAAAAAAACTTCTGGAAAATAATCCATACAAAGTCATGCAGTAAGGAGAATCTGTAACTCATCCTGGCCTTTTTATTACCTCCCAACTTCCACTTTCAGACTTTCTTTGCTTAATGTGGAAAGGATTGTGCTTAGCTTTACCCCTGCAAGAAAGAAGCAGCTGAGTGAGGGATGCTTTGCAGGTGGCAAACTAGCTCCAAACAATGCTAGCTCAGCAAGTCTTCCTTGCAAGGTGTGCATGGCAGAAGTGAAAACAAAGGCCAAAGCAGTAAAGGCGCAAAAATGGGGTTGCTTTCACAATGACACTAAAAGTGCTTTTTTACATTTGCATATCCTCTGTCTACCACTGAAGTGTCAAAGCTGCATGAGTTAAAATCTACCTGAGTTTTTAAAAAAATGCTCTACTTGCTCTTTCTGATTTGCACTCATCATATCTCAGTATGCATTACCAGCATTATTTCAGATATATATGAGAAAAACATCATTAGACATTCAGGTGGCATGGGTTAGCTTTACTTTCTTGCTTTAAACTAAAATAGGTTCTTAAAAGAACATGTTATTTTACTACATTTTCTGCTGTGATGCCGGTTTGAATGAAACAGCCTTGGGATCTAATGAGCATTACTGATTACTTACTTCCACATAGTGGTGCATTTATGAAAAGGCTCAAGTCGTCCAAAATTCCTGCCACGTATTGCCAAGTATGTAAGAGCTGGTTTACAGTGTGGGAAGCAAAAGATACTCTGTTCATGCTCAGATGAAATCTGCTCTTGTGTACTTTCTTTGATTACCATCAGTGGATGGTATAGTACTTTAGTTAGATTGCCTTGAACCTTCCTTCACTGCAATCCTAAATGTTAGAAGGGGTGTGGCAAAGTGCCCGCTTTTAGTAGTTGAGGGAGTGTCCAATTACCACAGGCGTATTGGGAAGCTGGATAAAATGTTTAAAAGCTCGCTCAGGAAGGATTCTGAGCATGTGCTCCTTCAGTACATGAAAACAGTCCATCCCTTATACCCTTACAAGAATGTTATTCATGGGCCTCAAAGACTGACCGACCATGTAAATGGAGGCAGTTGGATCCACCATCTGGAAGAGAATAGATGGAAAGCGGCATGTGGTGATAGGCTGGACATGTTGGTTGCGAAGATGCCAAGATCTGTCTAGACTGGATTCATTTCTCACCTCTTCTTTTTATTAGTGCTGTGCCAGCCCTGCCCCACCCTTCCACAACCTCTTCCTTTCCTTGCAAATAAACTTGTTTTTCTGCCTGTTCTCCAGGAATGGTGAGAGTTTCAGAGAGGGTTCTTAGGATGCTGGCATAGCTTCATGTAAGCAGGCGGCTGAGGAGTTGGTGCATGCTCTTTGTTTTGCCATATTGACCCCATTCTGTTCTTGCAGCCTCTCCGCTTGAGCTTTCTGAAAAGACCCCCCACCCACCCACCCACCCACAAGGACCGAGCCAGAACTTTTTGGAGCTTTTCAGCACCATTGTTGCTGAAAGCTGAGTAGACTCATTGCTCTTGTCTAGGAGGACTTTCAGCTTTCAGGCACTCACAGTTGCCCTATTTTATTTTATTTCATTTATTTCACTTTATTTTGCCCCTCATCCAACAAACAGCAGAAAATAGATAGATCAAACATGTGGTTCTGCTTTTATTCCTCAGCTGCACTGGGAAGACCAAAGAGAAGGAAAGGACTCCCAGACAATATAATGATACTTTGCTTTATTGGTGGCATTTCCTCCTTATCATCTTTCATATTTGCTTCTGACATCTTCATGGTTTTATCTGATTTTTATTCATCTTAATGTGTTTATAAGCTTTGTACTATAACTTAGTACTTTGCTTCTTCTAAAGTCAGCAATTCATTATTACCATTCATTACTGTTTTTAGGACTGCAGGTGGCGCAGTGGTTTAAACTGCTGTGCTGCTGGGCTGGTTGATTGAAAGGTCACCGGTTCGAATCTGCACAACGGGGTGAGTTCCCGTTGCTCCATCCCAGCTCCTGCCAACCTTGCAGTTCGAAAGCATGCAAATGCAAGTAGATGAAAAGGTACCACTTTGGTGGGAAGGTAACAGCGTTCTGTGCACTTCAGTGTTTAGTCATGCCGGCCACATGACCACAGAGACTGTCTGCGGACAAACGCTGCTAGGAAACGGAGATGAGCACCGCCCCCTAGAGTCAGGCATGACTGGACGTAACGTCAAGGGGAAACCTTTAACCTTTTTACCACTGTTTTTAAAAACAAACATATAAACTCTCAACAGTGAAAACAAGGGGAAATGCTGATCTGCCTAGAATCCAGCCTCAGCAGCTTTTGAGTATATATTTTAATTTTCATGTAAATATATATTTTCAGATCCAAGATAGGGAACTTGTTTCTTGTCTGCTTGACCTTTTTAACACCTGAACAGTAAACGAAGGGAGGGATTAGGATCTGTCTGATCAAGAGATTTAAGAGAGATATCCAGAGTCAACATCTGAATAAGACTATTTATTGTTTGTATCTAGGGAAAGATCCACCAGTAACCATCACACTAGTAAGCACTATTGGAAGCTGTCTTATGTGAAGTCCAGCCCTTGGTTCTTCTAGTCCAATATTGTCAACACTGACTGATAGCAATTCTCCAAGATTTCAGGCAGGGTCTTTCTAGGGTAGCCTTACCTGGAGATGATCATGACTGAACTTTCGACTAAAGCAGGAGCTCTACCACTGAGCTGTACTTTCTCCCCAATTAATAGTGTTGGCATGTGGACACAGTTGGAGCCTTCCAGTAGCAATTATCAAGATGCTTTTAGGTGGATGCTCATAGTATTTCTATAGCAGTTGGAATGCTTTGTGGAACTATTTCATGGTTCCTCCTTAACAGACTTTTCTGGTATAAAAAGGATGGGAGGAGCAGTGGAGAAACACACCAAGATTACAAATTGAAGACATCATTGTCTGGAACCCCTGCAAAAATGTTGTGAATAAGGCTTGAGATGAGACTGGGCAAAAGACATAGACTCTTTGCAGCCTGAATCAGGGAGCTAAGCAGAGACTAGTGACTGAAATAATCTGGCTTGGAAACATTAACATTACGATAATTATTGCCCAGTTTTGATTCTTTTAAAAATCTATACAAACCTGTGAATATTGTTACAGAATACGTTGAGTCTGGAGAATGAGATGTTAGTAATCCTATGATTCTAAAAAAAATTCAAATGGGAGTGGGGGGAAGATGCAAAACTCTTATTCTTTTTCATTACAGTTAACTGTAGCAGTTAATATTTAATTCTTACTGACTCTTTGCAGCCATTGTTATTTTAGGGATTCCACTTGGGAAACACCAGATCATGGAGGAAGAGGAAGCTTACAGATGTAGCTTGAATGATGTTATAGCAGGATGAATCCTATCTTTCAAATAAAATCATTTGTGTCTTACAGAATCACTCTCCTCTCTTCCATTCTCTTTCCTGAACTTCAGTGCATACCCCGAAGTCTGCAATGGGAGTATCTGTGGAACTTGTCCTACTTTTGGTAGCTGGCATCTCTTTTTCAGGTAAGAGCTTCCTCCAACTTGGCTCAAAGGCCAAGACGATCTTTGGGCTGAGCCTGGAATCCAACTTTACTGGGCTCATGCCAACAAAGCAACAAACCTATGTGTAGCCTCATCAGTTCAGAACATGATATTATCTGGATTATGTGGCTCACATATTACAGAGCTAAGCTAACACTAATCCCATGCGTTTACCATGTAGATCATGTAATTTTAATACAGTTTCTGCATATTTATAATATGGAAATTCTGTGACTGGTGTATGTATTGCACATGTAGATAATGATTTCTGACTGTATTAATTAGGAGAACTAAGAAAGGTTGGATCTTGCCATATAGTAAATTTTATACAAGCACCATCTATGGTTTGTAGACTTTTTACATGGATGGTTCTCATCAGTATTACTGATCTATGTACAAAATGTGGAATCTCTCCTTATTGGTTGTATTCGTCATTCTTCACTTAATGCCCCAATCTCTGTTTTCCATTCATTCCAATTATTCCTGGTTCTTAAATGTCTCAGGCTGCATTTTAAAGGTTGATCTCTCAGTGGGAAGGCTTTTCATTTCAGATGGCTGAGAATTAGATAATGCCTTGGAGCTTATCCATCATCTTAGGGAGAGGCTAGTTCGATGTCCTTTATAAATATCTAATTACCTTTTAATGTTCGCTGAGTCTCTTGGGAAGGTGGCTGGCCTAGATTGGGAGGCAATTAGCCTATGCAGAAACTGGTCTGACCCACATATGTTGATGCCATCAAGGCAACACTGGGTTTTGCAGTTAACCAGCTGAATGTAGAAGACAGTTTTGCATTCAAGCAGAGACCATAAGGGATAAGTCATCTACAAAGCCCTACAGGAGCATTTTCTAATGACTGCTAACATATGACACAAAAGATCAGTATAAAGATGACTAGAAGGCTGAAAATTTCTCACTGTGAGCATGAACCCAGAGTCATACAGAAGAAAAGCCACTTAAGCCATGTCCCAAGACCATAGTCTGTCCTTAGTTTGATAACAGTAGTCCACATTTTTGAAAAATACCTCCAAGTTTACCCTTCCCAACAGGAAAATGAATATCTGGACTGACTTTTTACAACATGCAAAAAATTAAGGGGCTCAGTTATTTTCCTGCCCACTCACCTCTTGACCCACATGGCCACAACTGTTGGAACACAGGACATTAATTGTTCTACATTGGTGTCAACTTCTCTTGATTACTTGTTTTACAGTATTTATAGCAGCATTGTTGCTCAGATCTGACGAAAAGGAAAACAGTCTTAACATTCCTGCCTTTCAGTACAGAATTGGCAGGAAGAAGCAAATCTCCTGTGTGGCACTGTAAGAAAATTTTCTGATAAACCAAGTGTAAAATAATTGTTCAAGAGAACCTTGAAATAGCTTTGAAGAAGAGGCAGCAGCCTCAGAGAAATCTCCATGGTGAAGTTAACTGAAGCTTTGCCCAGCGGTGCAAGACATCTTCTCCAACATTCTCTTAGTTTTCTTTCATATGCCCACATTTGGGTAAGAACTATGCAGTGCAATCATAGATACATTTACTCAAAATTTAATCGCGTTGTGTTCTGTGGACTTACTCCCATGTGAGTATGCATGGAATTGCACACACAGAAGAATGCCCTCTGATTTCAGTAGAATTTGTTTTCCGATCTGCAGAGAGTGCAACCTTAAGCACTAAATGCCGTCCTGCATTTGTGTTGCAATCTATGCTAAATTATTCAACCTTAAACCAGACTGTGCAGTGGCTCTATTTATTCTGCCTATTACTATTTCTGACTTGAGCTTTACAGAGCCTGAATCAGTTTACCATGGGAAAAAAGGGCTCTGCCTATGAATCCTAAATTCTTCGAACTGCAACAAGCAAGGTAGTAGAGACTGGTTGTGAAGGGTCTGTTGCATGGTTGAGAAGTCCCTTTCCTTTTGGAGACAAAGTATTTTCTATAGCTTCTTCAAAACTCCAGGTCTGTTTCTCCCAGACTCAGGATACTGAAAAGTCTGGTCTGGATGATCACCAGGGCTCAGTGCACACTGGTGCATGCCAAGCAGCTTTTGAATATTCAAGCCATGACTCTGGCTTGCCATGTTGCCCAAACAAGCCATGGATTGTGCAAGGGTTGTTTAAGCCTAATACAGCTCACCCCATTAAGCCTGGCCAACACAACAAGCCACAGTCCCAACTTGTATAATTCAAGCGGCCATGCACCACAGTGCACCGTGTCTTAAATAAATCACACCGTGTCTTAGATAAATCACACTGACTGATTTGATTGTATGAAATAGCTCAGAGAGTTGCTGGTTTTTCAGCGCCCCTCTGCAGCTGAGCTGTAGGTCTGTGCTCTCCCCTGTACTATGAGATGCTCCTCCCTACTCTAGCATCTATATTGGCTCTTCAGTAGCACAGATTGGCTTCATGCTTAATTCACAAGCCATGCAAGGCAACTGGAAAAAAGCAGTGCTTTGACCAGGAGAATTCTATTGTGTTGCTCCATGTTGCTCCTCTTGCAACTCACATCGATCACGAATGCTTTGCTCTTCCACTGTATCTGCACCTGTCTTGCTCAGCCATCTATCAGTGTTTATTATTTTGACATTTCACCTAGACACTCTTGGGTACAGGCTCCACTGATTTTCTTGCATCCTCCGTTTGCCTGACAGCTGCAGTTGATGGACATTGCCTGGCTATGAACTGCATGATAATGGAGGATATAGCCAGGGATTGCAGAGTTCATGTGGAATTAAATAGAAGATTAGCCGGTTTTGCATCTATCTCTTTTAAATGAATGGATGGACACATGCTAAGGTTGCCTTTGTTAAAGCTCATTAGTTAAAGAAAGAAAGAAGCATTTCATCATACCAAATAGTAAGGGGGTTGTTCTGACCTTCATAAAAGCAGAATTGTTTGATCCATCATCCTGAAATGTACAAGTGCCAGAAATAAGTATTGGTTTAATATACCCTGAAAATGTTAGGACAATTAGTGAAAAATTGAGGGGAAAAGTACAATTTAAGAAAAAGAAATCCCTCTGTTAGAATTAACTTTGAGAATTTATATTGGTGACCTTTTTGCCCAGGATTTGTGTAAAAAACAATTTTATGTAAATTAAGGATTATTTCCCGTTCCACATGTGTTGGGGTTGGTGGAATACTACATATTCATCAAGGAATATCTGACAAGGACATCATAGAACAGGGTGGTCCAACTTTTCGTACCTCAAGGGCTGCATGAGGACTTCCACACACAACCCAGGGTCTATGCCCTGCTCCTCTGGGTTGGCGCATCCCTTTCTTCTCTGTTTCTCCTGTCCAGAAAACCTCCCATGTGACCCCCCCACCCAGGCCCTCCTTCCTTCTTGGACTTCACGTGCGGAGCCTCTTGTACTCGAGTCCACAAACACCCCTCAGCAGGTCCTGCTCACTCTTGCTGACAAGCTCCTGAACATCTTTGAGCTGGTCAGCTGGAGTGGCACAGGACATACTGGGGCAAGCTCTCACGAGGCTGCCAGCCTGACCCACTCTCTTCCTGAGGCTCAGGAAGAGAGTGAAACAGGACAGCAGCTTCGGGAACGCTTGCCACAGTCATGCCTGTGCCATCACTGGGATCCAGACTGGGTGGGAACCGGGGGGCCCGAGTGGCAAGAGAACAAGTCCTCGGGACTGCATGTAGCCCACAGGCTGTGCATTGGAGCACTTCAACTTGGGGCATCTTTGCTGGTCCTAGCGCTCCATCATCCCCTTCTGGATTTGGGCCTGAAAAATCCAAGGAAAAGTCTGGGTGCATGGAAGGTAAGTTGTAAGCAAGCACAATCTACTGCTTACTGCACAATCTAATGCTTATTAAGGCATTAGCCATGGGTTCCAGTTTACTGGCTTCTTGCAGTTTGAAGCAACATGAGATAGCCTTAACTGCGGTCTTAAACCGGCAGGGGTTTTTAATCACACACAGGCGCGTACACGCACATGTGTCACTCACCTGATCATTTGGCGCCTGATCCTTTGGAACCAGAAACTTGAGGTTTAACAAAGGGGGCTTTTGAACATGAAATCTCTTGCAAGCCTCGTGAATTATGTATCGAACGCTGAGTAGTCTCAGCAAGGCTTGTTGACCTTGCCCCCCTCGTCCCCTGCTGTCCCCTGCACTGCCAGTGACTCCGAGCCTTGAGTACATCTGCTATTAGCTATGGGAATGTCATTAGCAGATGACAATCTTCCTAAGCCAATTTTGCTTCCTTTTTGTTTTGCGCTCCACCCCCCATCAGTGTCAAGGACAAAGCCATTTCCAGCTGGGACAGAATAAACAGCCTTCTCTCCAGGCTTAAGAAGGAGCACCGGGTCCTGTCATTATCTTGATTAAACCAGCAGTGGTTTATTATCAGCACAAGAGGTGGATGCTTGTGTGTAGTTTGCCCAAATACAAAAAGGTACTCAAGATACTCAAGTTCTTTATCTTTAGTGCTTTATCACCATTTATGCAGATATACTCTGCATAGTCAATGTACTTTTCTTTCAGATGTAGGATATGCATGTCACTGGAGCTCCATGGGACAGCTCTAAGTGTGTAAATGTGAAACTGTCTCATTTTGTGTAGGAAGACTAGAGTGAGGATGGTGCTCTTTTTGTGTGGATAAGAAGCTCAAAGCCCTTCCCTGTTTTGCACGTCTACTCAATGTAGCGCTTCTCCCCAAGTAAACTTCTCACCGTTGATGTCTCTTCTAGTATTGGCACTCAGTTGAAGAAAACGGTGCTTGCAAATGAATGGGTTTGGGAGGAGACAGTTTGTCTACCCTCTTCCTTCATTGTTAAAATTGGGTACTCCTGCATCTTAGGCATCCCAAGTGATGGAGTCACTGCTGTGTTCTAATGCGCTGTGCAGAACCAAGGGTGGAATGCCACTTTGGGAAAGATAGCAGGGACCACATTTTGGGGTGGGGAGCGGAAGGCAAAGTAGTCAGGGCCAAACTGCAAAAGTAATGTGCATAATTTAGCTTAAATCTGTGCTAGTTATTAAGCCTTAGGAGAGGCATTTTTACCTTTAAAGGGGAGGGGGCTGCCCAAAACCTGGGTAATTGCCAATTAACTAGAGAGCTGAGAAAGGGAGAAAGGAAAACTGCATCTCACCCCTTATACTGAGGTTCACTACCCTTTTGAAATGCACAAAATGACTGCACAAAGTTACAGAGACATACACACATTCCTTTTCCTGTGAGTTTATTTATAAAATGAAGGTTGCCTCCTAGAACATATTCTGCAAGTGCTATAATTAGAGTAGAAAAATCTGTAGAAATGGGGTTTGTTTCCAAGATGTTCACTTTATTTTCTGCTTTTGGTGTATTTCTTTCCCCAGGCTCGGTGTGTCAGACCCTCGCCAATTATTTTATCCTAATAAGTTTCCTCTGTAATGTTAATGCCACTGTCACCATTTTATCCTGCCACAGCAGACCCAGGAGCAATCCTCTGAAGCTGAAGCCAGTAGGAAACCCTTTCTTCCCAACGCCAGGGAGGAATGAGCCTTGCGTTTTGAAGCCCAGGTTATATGACCGAATGTGTCCGGGTCAGTGCTGGCTCCACATAAGAAGAAACTAGCTTAGCTCACACCGCATGTGGTGGCTGCACACTTTAATGGGCTAATGTCTAGGCAGCTGTTTCAACCTGGGTAGGGGCATTCGTGTGACTCCCCTCCTTTCTTGTATATAAAAGAAGGCCAGCAGTCCAAACATGAAACAAGATCTCTACAAGTCAAGGGGCTGGTAAACCTGAATGCGTTTATCCTGCTGTTCTTTTCCTAGCTGGAAGCCACTCTTGCATTAAATAGTATATGTCTAAAAGCAATTTATTTTAAACAGAGTTCTGCTGTATCATGCCAGGAGGGAAGGCGGCAAGGGAGAAGACAGACAAGGGGTGGGATATTTTTAGTATTTAAGGATGCTATTCCGCATTCATCCCCTTTGAAAATAGTGTTACTCAGAGCAGCCTGTAAAATTTAAAAGCATAGAATCACACACAGCTTACTTTTACAAGTTAAAGGCAGCCACAAATGTAAAACCACTGGGAGCCAAAGCTGTCCATAAATGAAAATAAGCAGCCGTGGAGCCAAATGCCTATTTAAAAGAAAATGCCACCATTTGCAGGATGAGCACAGCTAAAGAAGAGGACAACCTGGACTGTCATCCTATAGCCACTTACCTGGAAGGAGGCTCTGTTGAACTCAAGGGGGCTTACTTCTGAGATGCAATGGGTGTACAAGCAAAACTGGAGTTCATTGCAGTTCTCCAACTTCTATTTCAAAGTTTGCTACCTTTTATCCATATCAGAAGGGACTGCAGGTGGCGCAGTGGTTTAAACCGCTGTGCTGCTGGGCTGGTAGATCGAAAGGTTGCTGGTTCAAATCTGCACAACGGGCTGAGTTCCTGTTGCTCAGTCCCAGCTCCTGCCAACCAAATGCAAGTAGATAAAAAGGTACCACTTTGGTGGGCAGGTGACAGCGTTCCATGCACTTCGGTGTTTAGTCATGCCGGCCACATGACCACGGAGACTGTCTGCGGACAAACGCTGGCTCCCTCGGCTAGGAAACGGAGATGAGCACCGCCCCCTAGAGTCAGGCATGACTGGACTTAATATCAAGGGGAAACCTTTATCTTTTTACCTTTATCCATATCAGAAAACTCCCTCCAAGGGTGAGGATTGGCTTGGGCAGGCAGAACCACCTGTTTCAGGGAAATGGTCATATAGCCGGGATGCAGCCCAGTGCGTCACTTGCCCCCACTATGGTTTCTTGTGCTGCATCATAACTTGGAGAAGGCAGGTCTCAAATGTATTCTGTTTAGAGGACCTGCTTAGCAGTATTCCTTCCGTGGCCTTATACTTTCAACCTTGACATGTCAGTAAATATGGAAAATAAGAATAACTTAGATGAAGGCAACCGTAATATAAAAATACAACTCATAGCCACCTCTTTAGTAATGGGTGTCCCTGGCATCTTTCTGGCCTGGCACTTGAAATTACGGATGTGTGTCACAACAGATCTAAATGATAACTTGGTACTAGTTTTAAAAGCTTCCAAATAAGATGATGACTAATAATCATGTTGAACAATACATTAAATCCCACTGTTCTACCAAAAGTACCCAGAATGGTGTACAGCAGCAGTAACATAATACTTCCATATAAGATAATCAGTACAAATGCAGCTATAATAAATAATATCTAACATGAAAGGGTGATGGAGATGAAGTCCACACAGCATTCACCAGTGGGAGACAAGAATTACAGGAGCCACCAGGCAAGTAATCTGAGTCAGTGGAACGGAGCTCCAGGTTTGATAAGGCAGCATTCCTGTTCTTTTTATGTTTCACTGATTTCAACCAGTACTTAAGTGGCTACCTAAAAACTGCCTTGATTTATGGATTTAAAATGCTGGACAGCCCCTGGAACACACTCCTTTGTCATGGCTATTGTAAGTGGGCCTCCGATTTTTCATGTACAGAGTAGGATTTAATTATCATAGAGTAAGAAACCTTGGTCTTGTCACGAACTGTTCTTGAGCCCATGGCCCAGGGCACAACTCTTTGAGAAACAGGAATACTAACAACAGGTTTCGGCTGGGTATGTCGCACTAGTCTTGTGTGCTGTGGCTGCTGTCTCTCCAGCGATGGCTGTGGATAAATACATGAATGTTCATGTGTCATGCAGAAACGTAATGGTGGATAGTGTGCCTGAAATACTGGAGTAGGGGTGACTGACAGCAGAGATTACATTACTATATTCACTGGCATACATATCTGTTCCAAAGGATGGTCTTCTGTAACATCGGATGCATCACCGCTCTGGATAACAGTATGGGAGATGCAGCCATTGCATCTTATCTAAGCAAATGCAAAAGTACAAAGCATTATCTTTCAACCGAGACCTGGAGGCTCTTAGGACCTTCAACAGGCCATCATGGATATTTTTAATATTTTATTATTTATTTTATTTATCTCAAGCTTTCATCGACCATTGCAATAGCCACACGGCTCTCTGGCTGGTTTACAACAATTAAAATAGCCAATGGGTTACTGTGAGGCTGTTATAATTCCATAGTAGTTCAACAGAAAATTGTCTCAAAGGTCAGGAAGAGATATGAAACTGGGAGGTGTGTGCGGAGATATCAAATAGGAAAAGCCATTCTGTTGATACGCAAGTGCACATTTTGAGCTTTCCAGCACCTCTTCCTGTTTAGTGATGGGACTGGTGGACAAGGGATGTGGAGCAGCCTTCATTTTCACGACATGTCTGCTACCACTGCTGTTCTGCACTCAAAGTCAGAGCGTTTCAGGGTTCATGCACTTTCTCATGCAGTGTGGTGGCCAGCAGAGTGCACTGTCCGGAACTATGGACCAGTCTTTGAAGAACAACCACGGAGTACTGTCTTTCCGGAGGGATCACCAGAGGAGCAAATACTGCTGACCTGCCAAGCGCGAGCCAATCCTCCTGCAACCTACAGGTGAGGTTACTGCTTCCAACAGAGGGAAGTATTTGACTGGGACCCATTCAGGTATGTGACACCTGTTGTTTATTCATTTAACTGACATACTTCCTATCTTGATGTGCCAAAATACAGGGCCATTCTGGTACCACATGCCTAACTTTTTCCAGGTGACATGAATGGCATTTTATATGTGTTTAATACACAAGTGGTGCACATTTCTGACATGTCTACTTAGACGTAACCTCCACAAAGTGCAATAGGACTTACTCCCAGGTAAGTAATCATAGAATTGCAGAGTAGGTATGCTGGATCAGACCCTCTATTTTAAATTATCCAGAGCCTAAGAATCTGGTCATGAGCTTGATTCTTATCAAGATTATAAACTGATTAACAATTCAGATAGCTATATCCAAAGAATCCAAATTCTTTCCCCAGAAAATACAAATTCCATATTGGAAAACTTTCATTCAAAATATGGATAAATTTGCTTAATTTAGTCCCACTGATTTCAGTGGCTGTATTCTAAGGATGACTAAATCTGAATACAGCCTAACATTTGTATCCTTCCTATAATTATTGAATTATGATACACAATAATAAGCCAAGTGTGCAAATCGATTTGATTTGACTGCCCATTTTTAAAAAGTGTTCTCCTGAAGATGGATTTATGAAGCCATAAATTAGGTGTGCCTTGGGAATAACTTGCATGAAATGCGCATACATATTTTGCATGATCCTGAACATTGGAGTTCAGGCATATCTGCAGAATTGGGACCAGAAGCAATGGCCAGAATGTATAACATGGTTAAATACCGCAGTAGCTGTCTTTATGTATAGCCACTGGTATCATACAGTACGAGTGAAAAGGAAGGAAGCAGTGACTGATTTCCCAGAGAGTGAAGGTGAGGAGCAATGCAGATTTCCTAGACACATAAACAGGAGTAAACTGAGAAAGCAGGAAGTTCTGCTGAGCAGAGTTTCAAATATGCTAGTTGTAGCATATATACCAGCAACAAATAATCCTGATGTTGAGGCCAGTCCTGATCAGTGATATGCATTCTGTTGTGATAGAATGCAGCTGAAAGCGTTTTCTCTCTTACAATATGCCTTACAGTCTCTTATGATGATCCTTCAGATTAGGATCGTCTGTAGCATTAGGTACCATGCAGCCATTACTTGCCCTGTTACTGGGCTGGCTTTGTAGCTACTAAGACAGTATTCACCATTCAGCCTCTGTCCTACAATAGGCCCTATTGAGAGTTTGTGTGCATCATAAATGCCATTGTGTGTTAGCGTTCAGGGCAATGTTAATGCACAGCTGTGGTTATTCTGTTCCACTCGCCACACCACTCCAACCTCATTGTCTTGGCAGGTGGAAGATGAACGGCACCGAGATCAAAATAGAGCCAGAATCCCGCTACAGGCTGAACGGGGGCAACCTGGTGATAAGCAACCCAGTGAAAGCCAAGGATGCTGGATTATACCAGTGTGTGGCATCCAACTCAGTGGGTACAGTAGTCAGCAGAGAAGCTGCTGTTTACTTTGGCTGTAAGTCCTCTGTTTCATCTTGAGTGACTTTGTGAAGTCGGTTTGGTGCAGGACAACTCAGGCGTGGGGTCAAGCAGACGCACAACTGGTGGCTCCCTGGCTGGTACTGAGCACACGAGCGCCACTGATGCACAGACACGTGGATACCGTGCCCTTGGACATGGTACAAATTCCCCCAAGGGCAGGCTGCACCAAAGGGGCTGGTAATTGGTGGAGGGTGGAGATTTGTGGCAGCCAAGGGACCATGGGAGAGGAGCCTTGATGGTCCTTCACAAGGGGGACATCAGTTTATATGAGGAGGATGGTGGTCAGACAAAGAGAAAAGCAAGTGAACCCCTACCCCTGCCCAGCAGGAATGACCGGGCAAGGATTCAGGTGCCTGGACAGTGGCGGCCCTCAAGGGGAGATGGAGTTTTCAGCTCAGCTTTCAAAATAAGGCTGACCAATATGAACAGGGAGCCCCTTTTGGTGGTGGCACCCACTCCCTAGAATTTGTGGCCTGTAATGGCTTTCCCAAGTGTCTTCCTAGGGCTCCTGGGAAGAGGGCAAGAACCAGTGCGAAACCCCATATGGCTTTTGCGGCCAGCTAATTTGTTTTATCTCCTATTTAATGCTTTGCTGCTGCTTCAGTATTTTATTGTTTAGTGGAATCCTTGTGTGCTTTAACCCTGCTTTTATTTATTGTTGTTTTCTGACTCATCAGCCATCTTGAGGGGCCACTTAGGACCAGACTGGCAGGATAAACATTTGAAAAAATAAATAGATAAAAATGTGATTATACAGGGATAGTATTGACTTATGTAGTTCATTTACAGCAGACTCTCTGAGGAGTGCTCCTGATGCCATCTGCTGTAACTCTCTCCAATTTAATTTCCTTTTCAGACGATAGGAGCATGATTACCTGTAACTAGCATCATTTCTTCCCTAGCTGAGAGAGATCTAATTTGCAGGATGTGTTGGCTTTCATAGCTCATGTATGATTGCTGCCTTTTCTTTTTTTTTTTTTTTTTAGTTTTGCAGGAATTCTCCACAGAAGAGAGAGACCCAGTGAGGGTGACCGAGGGCTGGGGCGTGATGTTTACCTGCAGCCCACCTGCACATTACCCAGGTGAGGCAATGGCAATGCTTCCAGAATGAGGCTTTCCATGTAGGGTGCAGGACACTCATATTTGGGAAGTACTGTCTCCAATAATGGCTAAGGATTGATGTGAGTGATTTTCTTCAATAATTTGGATGAAACGGTTCTTTTCTGGTTAAAATTACTAATTTTTCATTCATTGTTCTTGGCAAAACACTGGAATCCTGTTATCCTTACAAAACACTGGAAACAAGTTAATGTTCCCTCTACATAAGAATGGTTTCTCTGGAGAAGGAAATAATGCTTTTCAGGGCCCAATCCTATGCATGATAGACAGAAAAAAAGTCTTACAATTCCCAGCAAGCTTTGGGCAGCCTGGGCAGCTTTTTCTGTCCAGGCTTGCCAAGGCTTGAGTCTCTAATAACTTACTGTTGGATAATAAATATGCTGGATTCTGCAGTGTTATTGTGATATTTTACTAAAAGATCTCTCTGTCATTGAAATCAAATTGGAAGGAAGGAAGGAAGGAAGGAAGGAAGGAAGGAAGGAAGGAAGGACGGAAGGAAGGACGGAAGGAAGGAAGGAAGGAAGGAAGGAAGGAAGGAAGGAAGGACGGAAGGAAGGAAGGAAGGAAGGAAGGAAGGAAGGAAGGAAGGAAGGAAGGACAGCAGGCAGGCAGGCAGGCAGGCATTTTATTTCCCTTTTGCCTAAAAATTACTTATCTGTACAGGTATAATGATAACCTTAGAAATGGCTACAGTTATAATGATAACCTTAGAAATGGCTATAATATTTTTTTAAAGTTTCCATGTTTTCTAGTACATGCAGGCAGCTGAGATTGGAAGGGTTCTGGCAAGCATTATTTGCTTTGATCATCTGTGTCTGTGATCATTAAGTCTGTGGTCAGGAATCCTGGAAGTCTCAGATGAAGTTCAGAAATGAGCTCTTTTAATTGCTGCTGCATGTCAGAAGCTGATAGTTCAGTATATGTAGAAATTATTAGTTATAGTTAGGCAAATATGTGTCTGAATATTTCATTGTTGGTCAGTTCAGTTTCTCTCTTGTTTCCACCCTGCTGGGTTTGATTACCAGGGGACTGCATTGTCTGTAAGGGGCAAGTGGTGGATGAAAAGAGGGTCTCTTTGGGGGAAGAAAGAAATGGATTTCTCGTACTGCAAACATTGAGAATATGATGCTGGGAGCCATGGGGGCTGTTAAACTTCTCATATCCTGTGACATGAGAAGCTGGAAATTACATGCCAAGTATCAGAGGAAAAAACCAGTAGAAGGCCCAAGGTTCTCATCTAGTATTTTGAGGGCATTGAGTTCAATGCTGTAAAAATGAATGCTGTGGGAGAAATGTGCATCCCCTTTAGAATAACAACAACTATGCTCATTTTGCCCCTTTGTTTGTGAGGCGGTACTGTATAGCAGGCTATTGATGCAGAATGAATGAATAGCTACTGAACTTGCGTAGTTGTGTCTCGGTCTGGGAAACGGCCCCATGAGGTCAAACTTCTCATGCCACCATGACACAGAAAAGCCAGTGTTTCACCCTCTTTCCCCATTTGCACACAGGACTTGCGTACCGCTGGTTTGTGAATGACTTTCCCAACTTCATCCAAGCAGATGGAAGGCGATTCATCTCCCAGACTACTGGAAACCTTTATATTGCTAAGACAGAGGCCTCTGATCTCGGCAACTACTCCTGCTTTGCTACCGGCCACATTGAGTCCTTTAAAAAAAGTGTTTTTAGCACATTTTCTCAGCTAAATCTTGTCCGAGAAGGTCAGTGCATTAGGGGTCAGTGCATTAGTGCAATCTTTAGCAGCTGGTGGAAAAAATGGAAGTTCCCAGCAAAAGCATACTGTTGTGAGCTACTCAGAATTCAGCTGCTCTGCCAAATGTCAGAATCCCAGTTCAGTCCTGGGCATCTCCTGATAAGGTCTGAAAAGACCCAGGTCTGAAACCCCAGGAAGTTACTGCCCATCAGTATAGCCCTGGGGGAAGCATCCTTCCTGGGCCAAGGCAGGGACACTTCTTGCAAGTTGACAAAATATCTTGAACATCACTGGAGCATGGTTGCCGTGGGAGGCATGGTGAAGGACAAGCAACGTGTCCAAAAAATGGCCCAAAATAGGATCTGAACTCAACTCCTTTACAGTCTTCTGCAGCCACAGAAACCGAGTTCACAGCAACCCCAACTGCCACTAAGAAAATGTCCCAATAGTGGGAGGGACAGGACATGTTGGCAAGTGCCAAGAAAGATGTGGGACACTTTGTGGGTGCATCACAGGTACCACATTCCCTGCCCTGGCATAGGCAGTGTGGAGCTGAACTGAGGACAAGACAGCATCCGGCGTCCCTAACTCGCAGCAGGGCTGGCCCTGCCATTGGGCAGAGGGAGGCTGCCGCCTCAGGCAGCAGAGGCTCCGTAGAGGTGAGGAGCTCGGGAAGAGCTAGTTGCATGTGCCGTGACACATCACCACACTTTGTAAGCAAGCGCATGGCCTTCAGGCATGGGCAAGGCTGCTGCCCCATCACAAATGCTGAAGTCAGCTGCCCTTCTGAACAGCTTTCTGTGCATGGAGTGGGAGGAAGGCCTTGGGCGGCAAATGCCTAATTCCTAGCAAAGGTGAATCGGAGTCTCTCAGTTCCTGCGTCTTCACTGGTGGTTTAAACTTTGCCAGAGCAGTGTAGGGTATGACCCTACAACAGTGGCAGCCAAGTTACTTCAGTCACATAAAAACTGGCCATGCAGTAACCGTTTCAAGTCAACAAAGCCTTTCCATACACTTTCTAGGGTTTCTAAAGTAGACAGTTTAGAACATAATTGTGATGACCTGTATTTTGCCATGCCCTGCATGGTAGCTTTGACCCTTTTAAGCTTTGATCTCTTGCATTCTCCTTTGCTCCTTTCCACAGATTCCAGACCTTATGCTCCAAGCATTAAAGCCAAGTTTCCTTCTGACACTTATGCTTTGGCTGGACAGCTGGTGGCTCTGGAGTGTTTCGCCTTTGGGAAGTGAGTAGCTGGATCAGGTTGCATTTAGCCTATTGCTTGTGACAACAGAGAAGTTGAAAGCCAGGGCAATCATGCCTTGTTAAAGTAGGCTCTGCTTCCAAGAATCCAGAGTACAAAAAGGGAAGGGAGAAATGAACTACCATTTTCAGTGATGGAGAATCTTTGTCCTGCAAAGAATTTGGAAATCCTAGCCCACAGTGGTTCAGTGTGAGTTGTGGGTTGCATTGAACTGTGAGTGGTTGCTGAAATGTGGCTCATCATGTCATCTGAACCCATCTGGCACTAACAAGCCAGGTTAATCACAGGAAAACCACGAAGAGAATGCACAGTTGGTGAACTGTGGACGTTCAACATGTCTCTGGTCTAGTCTGGTCTGGTCTGGTCTTTTAAGTTTAATGAGTTGTGTTCAGAGAACCCCTTTCAACAACAAAACATGGTCAGATGGTAGCCTACACTGAACTCAGCCTCACCTTTGGTTAGTGTGGATTGTTATGTTATCTGAATGCAATCTGTGCCTGGATGGAACATGTTGTGTTTGATAAAGTCACATTATCCTTCCATTGCTGAGTGGCTGATTGAAGCTGATGAACTGTGCCTGTTTTGTAGGCTGGGATTTCAACTAAAGACTCCTTTGTTTTTCTGTTTACCTTGGATTGGTCACTGTAATAAATGAGAATGTTTCTGAGTATGTGTGGACTTTACACAAAATTACAAATAAGTGCACATGGCCCTCAGAACTCTGGATTAGGAGAAAGATTAACAGGCTGTTATTTGATTGCCAGCAGATCTCTTGCTTTTGTAAATTGAACTCTAGGTTTGGAGAGAGACAGAAATGATAGCTAATGGATGAGACAGAGAGGAAAAGTGGATGAGATTGCTCAGAATGAGAGGAGTCAGGTAGGAGGCATTGCCGCTCTTGCATTGGCCCTGAAATTTGCAGTGCCTTTTCACGCATGTCTCTTTTTAACCTAGTCCTGTCCCTCGAATAAAATGGAGGAAATTGGATGGTAGCCAGTCCTCTAAGTGGATCACAACTGAACCCCTTCTGCAGTTTCAAGAGATTGGCTTTGAGGATGAGGGCACTTATGAGTGTGAAGCAGAAAATATCCAAGGGAAAGATTCCTATCGGGGCCGCATCATTATCCAAGGTAAAGCACCCTACAACTTTCCATTTTCTTTCTTCTGCTTATGTCCTTGGAAGGCTCAGCCCAGATTAGATGGTTCTCTCAGTTCTTTCCCGTCCCTGCAGTTGTCAGAGCTGTGCATGCTTAGGTCCAACAGGTGGTGCTCTGAGGCCATTCACTTGGCCACTGAATAATGTAGGGAGAGCCTTCCTCCATATGTGGAACCTTTTGGACTCTTTCTTTTCAAATAATGTATAGGATAGATGAAAGCCAAGGAATTCCTAACAAGCAAATATGAAACAAACAGCAGGATTTAGGGATGACACTAATCTGAACAACCTCCAAACTTATGAAAGTCAAAAGCTGGTGATACTACAGTAGCCACTAGAATTGACATAGCATAATTCTAACATAATTGACGTAACTTAATTGACAATCCATAACATAGATTGGCAACAGTATTTCATGGTTTTAAGTCTTGTTCTATGAATCTGCCCAAATAACTTTAGTTATTGAACACCATAGAAATATAATAAATAAGTAAACATTTACAAATTTTAATAATAGATTTATCCAGATGTTAGCAAGGAAATTGATTGTGGTAGGGTTCCATATTATGATGAATCCATAGAAATATAATAAATAAGTAAACATTTACAAATTTTAATAATAGATTTATCCAGATGTTAGCAAGGAAATTGATTGTGGTAGGGTTCCATATTATGATGAATCCTGGCAAGGGAGCATCGTAGATCTTGTTCCTCGTTCTGTGTGAAATCCTTCTTTTGTGCATTTGTAGCTCGGCCTGAATGGCTGAAGGTCATCACAGACAGAGAGGCTGACATCGGGTCAGATGTCCACTGGAGCTGTGCAGCATCTGGCAAGCCAAGACCTACAATAAGATGGCTGAGGAATGGGGAACCCTTAGCTTCCCAGGTATCTCATCAACAGATGACAGATATAACTGTGTTTGTCCAGTCCTTTGCCTTGACCTCCTAATGACTATAGTAATCCAGTCTATCCATGTTTGTAGATTTCAATTTTCTTTTTTCCTTCATTATTCCTTCCATCATGTACACACAAACAGATGCAAAATTTATCCATCAACAAAGTAATTATTTCCATTCAGGCATAACCAGGGTGCTATGATCCATGTATGAAATATATAAAGCAGGCACATCAGATTAGAAGGAAGAACTGGTTATTGAGTCTTAATGATGGCAGCAAATCCCAGGGTATAAATATTACGATTATTTCTCAGCCCTTTAAACCCAAGTCAGTGGCTACCTCGAAACAAGTTCAGACAGCAATTTCCTCTGGAAAGAATTTGTCTCGGGAAACTAAACATGGCATTCACAATTAGCTATTGCATGATTTTACTCATTTATTTTTAGTGATCATTAGTCTTAACGGGAGGCCAACTAGTGCCAATTAAGTTTGCTGAGTGATACTGTTGGATACCACCCAGTTGCTCTTCAGAGGAGGCAGATAGTTTTAGAGGGTTTTAGTTTCAGGGCCTGTGCAGTATTGTTTTCTTGCGCTGTCTCTGTATGCATAGAAACACATGAGAGTGTGCACATAATATGCCAAGCATAGCCAGCATATACTTAACAGCGCAGTTATGCGATCCTTGAAAGCGGTAATACGAGGATTGCTACTAAAGCTCATTTCTGAATATCTCATTTTTTAATGTTATGCTCTGTGTTCTCATCTAACTACCTAATCCACTTGTCTACAGAATCGCATTGAAGTGAACGGTGGGGATTTGAGAATTGTTAAGTTAACGATGGAAGACTCTGGGATGTACCAGTGCGTAGGAGAGAACAAACATGGCAGCATTTATGCAAATGCTGAATTGTATGTGCAAGGTAAGTTCTGGATTTCTAGGGATTATCTCAGCAGAGCCAGTGTGATTTAGATAGGGAATTATTTCTCCAAACCTAAAATAAATGGTTTAGCCTTGGGCTTTGAAGTCATAAGCCTCATTTTTTTTTAAATTAGAAATGTCCAAATTTAGGTTTTGGTTAAGGAACAATACAATCCTAATGACCTTTCTCCATTATCCCACTGTGCTTCTCAAAGATCATTGCAGCCAACACTGAAAAGATGCTCTCTCTGCAATGATACCAGCAGACTTTATAAGACGTGGAGTACCACTGTAAGAGGCAAAAGGGGTAGATCTGCAGGGCAGGTGCTGCCACGAAACAAGCTAAAGTAGGCGCCTTGGGCAGCAGTAGCCCCGGTACCACCACAGTCATTTCTCCTGAGCCCTCCAGCCATTCCCAGTGGCAATGAAGCTGCTTGTTGCAGGCTAAATGCTTTGCTTGTATTCTCTGAGCTACTCTGCTTCCTGCAGGAATAGTAGCGGATGCTGCCCCATCGCCTGAGTGGAAGATTCTGCTGCCGTGCCTCTGCATGTGGAGAGAAGGGGTGTGTGTGAAATGTCTTTAGCCAGGGCCGATAGCTCCTCTAATTCACTACAGCATTTTTTCCTGCATTGTCTTTCAGCAACACATTTTTTTTTGAACTTAGAAAAGGCAATAATTTTGCCCCCATCCCAGTTGGAGAGGAAAGGACAGGGACAAGCTGATTAGGGAGCAAATGTTTAAACAGCTGCCATAAGTCATTCAATTAAATTATATGCCAAATTCAGTAACTTTTCTGAATTTGAAGTTTTCATTTTGAATTCATTTGCAGAACCAGCAAACATTTGCTTCAAATTTCAGAGTGTCACATGCAGCTATTTTGAGGTATTCATAAAGGCCCAGTTTAGGTGTTTTAATTCTTCAGTTTTCACTCGGGCTTCAAATGTTCAACTTTCACCATGCAGATGTTTGAAGTGTGAAACATTATTGAATCTGCATTTAGCTCAGTTAATTGGAGGTCCATGATGCCACCTCATTGTGCAAAGCAATTTTAGGTGACCAAGTAAGAATTAGAAAGACAGACAGACAGACAGACAGACAGACAGACAGACAGACAGACAGGGTGACATTTGTCATTCTTACTTTTGGGCTTACTTTTTTGCCTGAAAACCCTGGAAACTCACCTTTACTATTTCCATGGATCAGCATATGTAAAAACTCCTTAACTGGTTTTTTCCTCCTTAGCCTTTGCTCCTGATTTTCGACTAAACCCTGTGAAACGACTGATTCCAGCAGCTCGAGGTGGAGAAATTATTATCCACTGCCAACCAAAAGCAGCACCAAAGGCCATCATACTCTGGACAAAAGGAACTGAACTTCTGAGCAATACTTCCAGGTATGAGAACCCATCCTTTTTTCTAGCAAGATGTAAGTAGCCTTGAACATGTGTTCCTTCTTGCTAGAATTGCCTTATTGCTGAGTGGACAACTTGTGGTCCTTTAAATGCTTTGGCCTACAAGTGCCATCAGTGCTAGCCAACTTAGCCATGGTGATGGATCATGGGAGCTGTAGGTTGTAGGCCAGAGTAGGCTGTCCACGCCACCTTCTGGATAGTCTTCATTAGGGGTGCCCAACTGTTTCCACTCCAAAATTCACATCCTATATTGACTTGAAGAGACAGGCTTCGCATGCACACATATTCTAACATCTCAGTGTTCTAGGATATGAAACTTTAAACCTCTTCTCCCTGCCTACAGATATCTAGCAATTATGGAGGCAGGCTGGAAACAAAAGGTTTTCCCAGCACTCTGCTACTGGCACTGAAATTATTGTTCATCTGCAGCTCCTAACTGACTTCTTCTATGGTTCTGCTGTTCATTGGTTTAGAAGATGATGATGATGATGATTATAACATTTCTATGCCGCCCCTTGCCGAAGCCTTGGGGCGGCTTACAACACAATAAAATACATTGAAATACAATAGAACATAATAAATTACCACTAAATACAAAAATACAAAAAATACACTGAGATACAAACACAGCATAACAGAGAAACATCATCCATATGTGTTATACTGGAATTGGGAGTTCTGTGTTCATTTCTCATCTATGCCAGCTTATTTGGATAGGAATAGAACTAGAAATACAAGCTGCATTGTCTATAAAAACCAGCAAGGAAAAGCAGAATTTGACTGTGAACAGCTTAGAGAGCTTCAGCTGTGGGGCAATATGGAAATTTGATTTATAAATAAAAGTGCCACGCAAGATGATTTTCCAGATGCTTAGAAGATATGACAAGAGATTACCAACCCTAAAGGGCACTGAATCAAGGACTGCCCCCCATCTGTGAACCTGCACACACATTTCTAACCTGGCCCCCAATGGCAAGTTAAAAACCACTCATGTATAACATCTGTCTTCAGTCTTTGCAAAGATCTAACTACTTTTAACTACATTTAACTACATAATCTCCCTGCTTTTCTCTCTGTTATGACCAGATGTGAGAAAGGGCCCCTTCTGATACCTGTGCTCTTTTTTGCCACACCAATACCAGCTTATTTCAGGGCAGTTTTCAGCAGCAAAAGCTGTGCTGGAAACAGCTTGTAAGCACTTCTGGAGACCTTACAGAATATACGTAGCAACATTTCAAGGTAGTTCACTAACAATTACTAAGCTTGTAATTAAAAAAGCAACAAAAACATCGCATAATAATACTCATACACTAAAATTAAAACATCCTCTAGTGCGTTATATGTGCCTAGTAATAGACCCAGAGAATTATGTATCAAACAGCAGCAAAAGTATATCGGCAGCAGGAGCCCAGAAGGTCTCTAGACCCACTGAGCAGCAGGAGCAGCCATTGTGCTGGAGGTCAGTCAAGGCTGGGCACTCATAGACCATGTAAGAATGAACCAAATGGGAGGCAGGAACTTGACCTTGCAAGACTCCCAGCTAGATTGCCAGGTTGTCGCCCTTTAGTTATCCCCTCCCTAGCTCTTTCGCTGAACCCTCCCCCAGCTAAGCTGGAAGGTGCTGTTCCTTCTGTAGCCCACCTCATGCTGAGGGTGCAGCCCTCTGATGCACTGGCCTTCACTGAACGGCCCAAAGGCCACTGACAGCCCCCGTCCACCTCAGCTGTGCCCCTCTTAGCAGGTACTCTCCAGCTTTGAGTTGTGGTTTGCTGTGGCAGTGGGCCAGCTGCTGTGATCTGGGCTACCCGAGGAAGTTTCAAGGGTGGGAGCGGTGCAGGAGGCCTGCCATTCCTCAGCTGCAAGGTGGCTGGGGACAAGAGAGAGGGGGCCGCACAGGGGGAATCAGCCACTGCACTGTGCTGGGAGTGGACCCAGAGAGTCAAAGAACCACGTGACTGACTGGCTGCGCGGATGAACTGGAGGTGGGCTGCACTGGTGGTGGAAGGCGAATGAATGAGCAGGTAAAAGGGAGAGAGCATCCCGGACCTGTGCGGGAGATTCTGCAGCACTGAGCCGAGCTCTCTTAGGAAGAGGAAAAGGAGCCATCCCAATCCAAGGACAAAATCATCCTCTTGACATTTGTCTACTTGGTGAACAGATGACTAATCGGCTAGGACTTCTTTGTACTATGCAGAGGGGTTGAACAAGGTTCCCAAACATCTCTAGCTGGGTCTGGAGCATTGTAACATTGCTTGGCTAGCCCTTCCCCCAGCCTGCACAGCTGGGAAGCCCCCAGGACCCTCAGCATGGGGTCTATGGCCAAAGTGGTTTCTGCTTGGAAAATAGTAGGGACTGCTGTGCTGCTGAGTCTCAAGCTTTCAGCCAAAGATCAGTATTACATGAGGCACTGTTTGGACCACATTTGAACAGATCTGGCCTACCCGGTAGCTTTGCCAGTGGTCTGTGCTTGCCAGTGCCATTTTTAACTCTCTTCTGGTGGTTCTCTTCCCACTGCAGCACAACTATTACCCCAGATGGTACACTGATTATTCGGAATATCAGCAAGTCAGATGAGGGGAAGTACACTTGCTTTGCCGAGAATTTCATGGGCAAAGCAAACAGCACAGGAACCCTCTCGGTGCGAGGTAAGTGATGCTTCACTTCTGCTGAGACCAAATGTAATGATGGGAGGGTTTGCCCTACATTTTGTAAGCATTTCTAGGCAACAAGAGAAGTTAGTCACTGAAGTAATTAAAAGGGGGGGGGGAAGTGTTTCTCTCCGACTTTTAATAAATGCATAAAAAGGGTGGGCAGAAAGTGGATCAGAATCTACCTGTGTTCATCGGATATTTTTCAATGACAGCAGAAGGGCCCCTCCCCCCGCCCTTCTAAATTAGGGTCTTCTAATCTCTGATCTTCAAATTTTATAAGACTGAGTGCAAATGAGCACACACAAATCATTGTTCCTATTGTGTGGTGGTGCGGGTGACAAAGCAGCATTACTTTGCTTCCTCCGTTGCATCCAGCATTGCTCTTCCGGGTGATCAAGGGGCTGTCAACACTACCCAGGCCCCCTCAAAGAGCTGCTGCAACCATTTTGCTTTGCACTTGGAGGACAAGGTTGCTGGTCTCCAAAGCAACCTGATGTTGCTGTTAGCACTGCTCCAGTTGAGGTGTCTAATGCCACCACTGGTCCAATTTCATGCAATCCGTTGCAGTTACTGCATTCTGAGGATGTAGGCAAAATGCATGCATTAGTATATCCACCCAGATGCTCTCTTAATCCTTGTCTTCTCTGGCTAATAAAAGCGAGTTGAGGGAGCCCTACACAGTGGGTCCAGGGAGTGATAAAGACATCTTTACATGAAAGCAGTCCCTGCTGACCTCAAGGAGTCTGAAAATAAATAATTAGCAGTGACTCAGATTTGTCCTTGAATATGGAGGCCATTCCAGACTCGAGCTTATTCTTCTCCTTCCTAGTGCCCTTCAGAAGTGGTGTGCTATAACTTCCAGCATTCCTGGCCATTAACCGCAGCAGCTAAAGGTGATAGGCATTGCTCAAAAACTTGGGTAGGACATCTGTCGCAGGAAGTCTGGTCTAGGTCATGGGCTGCTGTCAGTAACCGATTCTGCCCTCTGACCCTCCATTTTGCATCTGGCTGCGTATGATGGACCTTGAAGCTGAGCTAAAGGAAAGTAGACCTGAAGTCTGCCCACTCCTGCTGCAAAGCATAATCAGGAACAATTTGCTTAGCTGACAAAGTCATAATCTCTCTGATTAATTCTTTGGAGACAGAAAACCTGTAAGAGAGGTTCTTCGGGTTCTCCTGCTTTTCATTCATACGCACGTGTGTGTGTGTGTGAGCATGCATGCACGTGTGTGTAATGTATATTATTTATGTGCATATCAACACATAGATACCCACAGAGAGATATATGTGCACACAGAAATCTATATATGGATTGCAATTTATCTAGAAATTGTAACAAAGGTGCTTTGAGTTGTCCAGGTGTTCATTGGTATGTGCACATACATGCATATTATTTTATACATGCAAATCTATGTCTAGGTTATATTTTATCTTTCTCTTTCTCTACGAGGGCAAAGACATGTTTAATTTTAAACATAATGCACAAATGCACGACTGCAACCATCTGCAACTAATTGCTCTCTCACTTGCTTTCCTGCAGATGCCACTAAAATCACCCTTGCACCATCCAGTGCTGACATTAATGTGGGTGAGAACATTACACTCCAGTGTCATGCTTCTCATGACCCAACAATGGATCTCACTTTTACCTGGTGCCTGGATGACTTTCTCCTGGACTTTTCCAAGTCTGAAGGCCACTACAAACGAGCTAGTACAGTGAGTACTGCAAATTCCATGCTGTTGAATAATCTCCAGAGAGTCGGTCATGGTGTGTGGGGAGCCAAATCTCTTCTGCCTCTAGGGGTTGTTGCTCTGTGATGAATATCATCATTTGCCTGCTTCTAGGTTGATGTAGATGCCACATTGACTTCTACTGCTGGCCTCGCCTTCTATCTTGTGTTGTAGGAAGGAGGGAGTCAATGAAGCTCAGGCTCACCGAGGTTCTCCAGTTTCTACCTCAATGCTTAGTTCACCTCATTCCTGTTCCCCATCAAAGGGTTTTTTTCCTTTTTCGAACAGGAGAAGTGTGCATTTGGCTGTGCATTTTTAAAAATCACACACCTAAATGGGTATTTCCTCACATTCCCTAAAGTATGACAATGCACAATATTTTTTCAAACATGAGTTTTTAAGTGTGCATTTTTCTAGCAAAAATTTCATTCAAAAGCTTGGCAATATTGCAAGTTCTGGCTGAGAAATACACTCCTGTTTTTGTTTTGGGTCTCAAACTGGGCAAAGTCTGATGCTTAAAGAACTGAAACAATCCATCCCTGTTGTCATGTTGCCAGCTTGTTTCTGACCTTGCTCCTGTTGCCTCTTTTCTCCTATGCATAGAAAGAGAATATTGGAGACCTTTTGATCTTGAATGCTCAGCTGAAACATGCTGGCCGATACACTTGCACAGCCCAGACAGTGGTGGACAGTGCTTCTGAGTCAGCTATTCTAGTTGTAAGAGGTAATTTTGCTTTCATATCCTCGGTCTTGGGAATGACCAGTCCAAACAAGTTGCCTTCTGTACCTGTTCCTGCTGCCTGGAGAAGGACGGCTGACATCCATCTTCTGAAAGCTGCTTGGGGAGCTGAAAGTGTGTCTTGCTCCACCAACTCACCCAATGGTCAGCTTACATAATACGATTGACACCATCTAATTTTAAGGGCTTCCTGTTGTACAGCACACAGGCTACAGCAGTTCATGAACATTTACATATAATTTACATTCACAAACAAAAAGAGGGGTACAGGCTGTGTTCAGACCACACATAACCCATACTCAAAACTTCCGTTCTTTCTTTATGCTGCCCCAGAGCTGAGGTTAAACCCAGTCAGTGAATCTCCTTACAAGCTGAAAGCATTTTCTTTCCTTGTGAGCAGAACCTGTAGTCAGATATTTGGCATAGCTTTGATATTTGCCGTATCTTTAGTAGAACAACCTGGGATCATAAACAGTGTCCTCAGGGAATGGAAGCAACCTGCGGGCTACCACCAGTTAGCTTTCCTTTTTTTGTGTCCTCAGAATATCAGTTGGATGGTTCAAGGCCACTCAAACAGAAGGGGAATCTTTCATATTTCTACAACACTGAACAATAATAACCATTTTCAAGTGTGCGTTCAAGGTCACTCATCTTAGGCACAGTCAAAATACACCCAGATGTGTTTCATGAATGTTCATATTATCTAGACCAGGGTGAGGAACCTGTGGCACTCCATCTCCCATCATGCTTGACCATTGGCCCTGACTGGGGCTGAATGGAGTTGGAGTCCAGCAACATTTCAAGGACCACACATTCTTTACTTCTGACCATGACAACAATAGTCTAGGAAACAGTCACTGTCTGTTACAACAGTGTTCTAAATTGTTCCTGCAACCAGCTGAAAACTCCTGACTGAGGCAGAATATACCCTTTAGAAACATTCTAATTTTAAAAACTCCAAATAAGAGAAAAGGCAGCCATACCAGTTCTAAAAAATTGCCTCAACTGTCTAATAATTTTTTTGAAAATTCCAAACAAATATTTATAAACAAGACTTATTTGCACAAAGGAAAACCATCTAATCAGTGCAAGATCAATGAAGAGCTCTACTGCAAATGCAAACGTACGTGAATGAGGCTGGCCTCCATGCTGACCTTTTCTGCTGAAGTCTCAAAACTTTGGATAACTCTTCCACGGAAAACCCACCGATTCCCTCCCTGTCATCTTTCCAGACAAAGCTTAAGATCTCCTTTTTTGGTTGCACTTGTAGAAGTTTATTCTGTTCACACATATTTCTGGACATTATCCAGCACTGCTTGTCCATGTACGAGTGTTGATATACTGCTAGGATAAATGGCCCCTGGTGGTATGCTAATAGCGTAAGTTGGCACAAGGAGTTTTCTGAGTTAAGTTGTTCCTCCAGCTGATGCTGTTGGCATTCCACTGGAGGTCACTTAACACTTGTGAATTGGCAGTGTTAGATGCTGCCTTTTTTTTTGTTTTTTTTTGTTTTAAGTGTTGTGTGTCACTGGTGTGGCTGTCTAAATATCATGGGGTTCCACTCAGGGCAGGCAAGCGATTTTCGTGTTTCCTTCTCCTTCCTTCTTCAGCCCCTGGGCTTCCTGAAAAATTTCTCCAGAGGGCTGGAGGATTCTCTGGAGAGCATGAGAGATGACCCAGAGGGAAGGTGAAGGTGACCTTGCAGTTCTATGCCTGTAAGCCCTGCTGAACAAATGAGACTTACTTCTGAAAAAACATGCATAGGATTGTGCAGTAAATACCTGGTTACTGTGTAGACAGACTTCCTAGAATACAAATTCCATTTTTCTAGCTAGACTGGTCTGTAATTGTGTAGAAGCTCTAGCATGCTATATGAGTTAGAGTGATATTCACTCTATTCACTGTATGAGTTAGTGTTATTCTGAACACTGTTGGGGCTGTTCTTGACCTACCCATATTACCCTCCATCACAGGGCCTTCCACTGCAAACCAGAACCCATTGCAGGTCCTGACCTTCCAGGCCTTATGGTTGCATTATGCAGCTTACCTTCCCTCTCTTGTCCTGAAGGAGCGCTTAGATCCATATACGCCCAACCGCCCCTTGAGATCTGCGGGAGAGGCCCTTCTCCGGGAACCCTCCGTGAAAGAAATTAGGAGGGTGGGTACTCGGAGGAGGGCTTTCTCTGCGGTGGTGCCCAATCTATGGAATGCGCTCCCCAGAGAGGTCCGCCTGGCGCCGCCGTCATTTGTTTTTCGGCGCCAGGCGAAGACCTTTTTATTTAAGCGTCATTTTAATTGTTAACAATATCTGCTTATTTATCTGGCCAGGGCGACTTCTTTTATATTGTTATTTATTTTATATTATTAATTTTATTGTATTTTATTTTGTGTTGTGAGCCGCCCCAAGACTTCGGCAAGGGGCGGCATAGAAATGTTTTAATTAATAAATAAATAAAATAAATATGTTCTGGAATGGGCCACCCAATCCATAGATCAGGCTCCCCTTTCCTCTTCTGTCACATGGATTACACCGCCCCATTACTGTGCATTCCAGGACCTTGTTCCTCAGTTGTAGAATTCCCTCACCTGACCACAATAATTAGCCAAGAGTTCAGAAGAGTTTAAGAAGTGTCTGAAAACTCTTCGGTTTGAGTAGGGATATTGGTTCTTTATTTGAAGTAAAGTACACTGATGATTTGTGTGCTTATATGGGTTTATGTTAGATTATTATGCTGAACCTTAGTTAATCCATGTATTAGATTTATTTATGGCATTATGTTGTACATTAAGGTTGTTCTTATAATTATTATAGTTACATCATATTTTAAATTGTTGTTTTATTGTACTTTATGTGCAGCACTTTGGAATAAAGTGCCACCTCTCTGCCTCTCTTTCCATCATTTCTTCTTTCTCTTCTGCAGGTCCTCCAGGGCCTCCTGGGGGCTTGGTGGTGAAGAACATCAAGGACACTACCGTGCAGCTGAGCTGGAGCCGAGGCTTTGATAACCACAGCCCTATTGCCAAATATATCATCCAGGCCCGCAGTCTGCTCTCCCCCAAATGGAAGCAAGTGCGCACCAGTAAGTGTCTTGAGAGCAGCAGCCCACAGTGAGATGCTTCAGCGTAAGGCACCGCTTCTCTCCCTTTTGCGATGCTTGCTCTATTTGTTCTATTCTTGTGCTTTTGGGTTATAGATCCTGCAAATATTGAAGGCAACTCAGAGACGGCGCAGGTGGCCAACCTCATACCATGGATGGATTATGAATTTCGGGTCCTGGCCACCAACATCCTTGGAGTAGGAGACCCCAGTGTGCCATCTGCTAAGATCCGCACCAAAGAAGCTCGTGAGAACATTAATTTTCCTAGGGGGAAATGACATCTAGGATCAGTTGCATGGTATTGTCAGACAGTAGTATCTAGGGCTAGTCCTAGGTAAAGTAGACCTATGAATGGTACTTACATCAGACCTAACTCGGTCTCTTCATTTCAGCGGATTCAGTCTATTCGGGACTAACATTGGATACTACACATAATCCTTACAATGAGATAATACTCTACAGAAATTTTAATGTTGTTATAGTGGATGACACAGTCAACCACTGTATAATTTTATGAGCTTATACTTTCTGTGGTCTTCCCATGTTAACGGGGAATAGACAATCTCCATTAAAAACTTTTTAAAGAATTAGTTATCCTGACCCTTTCTGCTGCTTGCTTTATTGGGTCATTTAGATATTCCAAATAATTTTCTGCTAACTATTTAAAACAGATATTTATGAAGAGAACAACCCAACGAATCTGTGTGAATCGCTTATTTAGTTTTCTTCGTGGTTTAACTGCCAGTATCTGCTTTCTGAAATGGTGCACCTTTTCATTGTGCATGGCTTGTGTTTTCGGTGTTAACATGCATTTTGTCTTTCTTACTGGGGAACGCAACAGCCCCTACTGTGGCACCATCTGGACTTAGTGGAGGAGGAGGTGCACCTGGAGAACTCATCATTAACTGGACGGTAAGCTGGCCGCTGGTTACACACAAGGGTGTGGATCTCAATTTCTGGGTAATGGGTAGGTTGTGTTTTTTCCAGGAAAAGGCAACTAAGTGAAATGATCGTTCAAAACATGTAAATGATGTCATTCCTCATTTTAATCAGGGTTGACTCTTCAGTGACATTAAAGATAGCCAAACCATGAAAAGTCTAATTTTTGAGATTTCTGCATTACTTGGTGTTACTGGGGGGGGGGGGGGGTCAGCCACTTTGTGCCTTAAGCCTCTCTCTGCAATATCTATGTGGAGTAGCTTTATGGGAATAAAAGCACATGTGTTCTGAATTTTGGTAAAATATTAGGCCTCTCATATGTTATTCTGCAACCTATAGAATAATATAGAATGTGTGTGTGTTTGTGTGTTCCTGTGTATGAGACAGAGAGAGGTCCATGTAGATTTATAGCAATAATAGAATAACCCGTAATCCTTCTTGATGACCAAATATTAGCAGAATAAAGAAGGATCAGAGGTTATTTCATATGAATATTAATTGTATATTTTGTGACATTCATTGAGTCTCAGTTTTATCTCCTGTTGCCCTCTTGTTGCATGATAAGAATATAAATCTTAACCCAAACCAATATTGTGGATCTTTCTCTTTCCTTTGGTGGTGTTCCTCTTACCCTTTTTCTTCCTCATCCGGACTTCTGCATCAGCCAATGAAGCGGGAGTACCAAAATGGAGATGGCTTTGGCTATCTGCTTGCTTTCCGAAAACAAGGCACCCAGACCTGGAAGACTGCACTTGTGCAGCACGCAGAATCTCTACATTATGTTTATCGCAACGAGAGCATTGCGCCCTACACACCATTTGAAGTGAAGATCAAGGTCTTCAACAGAATGGGGGAAGGCCCAGAGAGCCTAGTGTCCATTGTACACTCTGCGGAAGAAGGTAGGATTGGATTGCAAGGATAAATGATGTTTTATAAAGTGTTGCTTAGGCAATGTAGGATTGTCTTCTCCCAATGAAGAGCCCATAATGAACAGAATCAATTGCATTCTATAGGAGCGTCTCCTTTCTTGTCCTCTGATGTCAGAGCAAGTGTATGGTTTCTTACCTTTGCCTTATCCATCTTTCCAGACAGGATCCCTCTTCCCAGACTGTAGTTATGAAGCTTTTACCATAATGTGATGTTGCCATTTTTCTTTGATAGAACCAAGAGTGGCTCCCTCTAATGTTACAGTCAAAGGAGTGATGGCCACAGAAATTGATGTTTCTTGGGAACCAGTGGAGCACCGTGACTTGAATGGAGTCCTCTTAGGCTATGAGGTAAGGGATGGAAAGTGGATCATCCCCTTGGTATGATCCTCTGCGATCCCTCACGCAGAGCATCCAACATCGGCTGTTTGTAGTCTAATGCTGGCTAATGAAAACATACTTCAGTACCTGGGGAGCTCAGATTTTTTCTGTATTCCGGTCTTCAGATCCGGTACTGGAAACATGGGGACAAAGAAGAAGCCGCTGACAGAGTAAGGACAGCTGGCCTTGTCAGCTCAGCACATGTGACAGATCTCCACCCCAACACAAAGTACTCTGTGACCGTCAGAGCTTACAATGGGGCAGGAACAGGGCCAGCCAGTCCCCCTACCACTTTCACAACAACAAAGCCACGTAAGTGAGCATTGGATCCAATAGCAATTGCTCGTCTCTTTTCTTTGTTCTTGCATTTAATGAGCTTCATATGGGTGCCATTTTATTTGCTTTTTTTCTTTTTGTATGTTGTAATGAGTATTCCTTCTAGGACTATTTTATTTATTTTAACTTGCACACCACTTTGGTTTCTTGTAGGAGAAGGAAGAGCAAAGTATAAATTATATAGCTTTGTGGTTTTTAATGCCTTTTTAATTGGCCCCTGCCACCCCCAGTTAGACATCCAATTCTCTGTTACCATTTCAGAAGATTTTGCTACAGTGATCATTGTTAGCATTTTTATCCCATGGGAGGTGGTGTGAAAAGAAAAAGGAGGAGATCAGTTTGGAAGTCCAGAGTGAGATGGCCAGCTATAAGTGGGCATTTGCCTGCATTTTGGGCTAGGCTTATCCTCCCTGGTTGGGGTTCCTACTTGAATAGCAATTGGTGGCTCTTGTCCCTTTGGCAAATGGGTGGGACCAAAGCCTTCTTTTCTCTTTACAGTTCCAGGACAACTGTCCGTTGGAGTAGAGTCGTCTTTCTGGTAGGGAGGGGGAAGCAAGCTTCCTCCCACTGCTCCTTCGCTGGCTGATGAATGGGCCAGGGTGGTCTCCCCTTCAACGTGATGTTATTCCTGGGAAGCAGGAGATACAGGCTTGCCATGGCCATAGGTGCTCTGGCTGAAGGGAGGAGCCACAGTGTGCTTTCCTTCTACTCTCTAGTGTCAGTTGAAAAAGATGCATGGACTCGCCCTTGGCATCTGGTGAAGCTTGTGTGTATTTTATATTCTGGTCTGACTAAGGTTACAGGTGAATTATCTATCAGGGATCATACATAGCTAAAAATATTATTAAAAGGATAATTTGTGAGATTCAGTTAAGAAGGCATGAACACAGATGTCGCAGTGCAATAAAGTCCAGCTGCTCTCTCAGACAAAATAGGGAATGCAGTGCACATGCTGCTATAAAGATTCCAGTATGTTTAAAGTAAGTACTTTCTCTCCCCAAGGGTGGCATTATAGCAAACCTTTAGAGCAGAACAATTATGCTTAAGAGATACAAGACAGGAAAATTGCCATCACTGGTATAGATCATTCTGATGCAAAGCATAGCCACAAGTACGCTTTCATCCACAGCTGAACCGGTGCCATTGAGCAGAAAGGGCTGTGACCAGAGCAGGGCCTACGGGTTCCTCCAAGAAGGTACATTTGTCCTAGTGAATGATATGTTCATTCCAAAATTGCATACAGGACAGTGGAGTAATAAAATGTAGACAATAAAGGAAAACAGAAGGCAAGGTTAGTTAGTTAGTTCTTTTTAGGTAGCTTTAAGAATGAGGCCTTGCTGTTTGAAATCTTCCTGGTTAAGAAAGATTAGTAGTGGGCAGTCCTCTCCCTGCCCACAAGAAGCCCTATCCGTTGTGTGCACCTGCATGTGCATATGCACACACGCAGAGCTGTGGCTCAGGGCACTTTTCAAGGACACAGTCATCCTGAAACTAGCTGGGAGGTTGGGGACAATCTCCCTTTAGCCACAGTAGCTATGATCATAGTTGAAACAGTGAGGTTAGTGGAAATGGTGGCGTACTTCAGAACACCGTTCATATTTATGGAAGTTGTTCTTTCAGGAGTCAGTTAATAACAAGTTTCCCTTGCATACTTGGTCGGATTATGGATGGTTTGGTTTTGAGATGTTATTGACAATAAGAGTTTTAAGCTAAAACATCGCTGCTGTGACAACTCTGGGGTTGTCCTGCTTAGGGCACCTACATGTATGACATTTATCTTTTCAGCACCATACAGAGGCTGTTTCACTCACTCAGGCCTTTTAATTCTCTCATGTACTGCATTTTTAAGTTGTTCTGTATATTTTTAAAGAGTGTTATCTTGATAAGAAAATTTATAGCTTTTCTTATGAAGCTTGGCTTAGTCTCTTTTGCTTGCTCTTTGAATTGTTTTATTTGTTTTTATTATAATGCTTTGAGTTGTATGGGGATTTTGTGGGTGTGTTTCTATTATGCTTTGTCCTGAAAACTGTTAACTCTAGGGTGACCAATACATTTTTAAAATAGGAAAAATAAATAAAATAAATTGTAAGTAGATAACTACTCCTGTTCAGTTTTATATATCTAATAACAGTTCACAGACTCAAAAATACATTGGCAGTTAGTCAGTAGACTGTAGACATTTCTGCTAATTATCATTAAATGATTTCTTCTGACACCTCGCCTGCAAATATGGTAGCCCTTCCTATGGAGGACCATTCAAGTCAATCACTGTCTTCCAGTTAAGTATTATGGGCCAGCATAGGTTCAATCAATGTCCAGATTTTTAATTTGCTTCCAAAGCAAACTCACACCACTGAACAAGCTGTTTTCAGCTTGCTGGGTTACAGACTGGGCAAATCTATCATAAAGACTTTCTTGATAACTCACCAGTTAGCATTTGAGAGCCAATAGAATGAATTTAGATAGAGGAATCAAAATTCTAGCCATATTCCAAATGAGCTAGGAAAAGTTAGGAATTCAAGATTTCGCCTTCAGGAATTACTATGTAAAATTCTAAATTAGAAGAGTTTGTTTTCAGGTGGGATGCAAGCATCTGGATTTCATTCTATTGCCTCAGTATTATTTCCAGCTATTTTCCATCTTCTAGCACCAAGAAGGCCACCTGGCAACATCTCATGGAAGTTTTCCAGCTCCAGTGTAAGCATCAAGTGGGATCCTGTGGTTGCCAAGGCAGATGAGTCCGCTGTCACTGGGTACAAGGTATAGCTTGTGAGCAAGTTCTTTCTCTTGGGTGGGGGATTCTTAATTGTTGACATACAGTAATGAATAACTCTGCGGAGTGGCTGAATAGCTGCTCCCTTTATTCCAAATCAGTCTCTGCAACCAAATCCTTCTTCTGCATCATTGACAGATGATGACATTCTTTTTAGGGTGAGTTTTAAATACACAAGTCATGGCTACCCTCCTATATATCCTTCTTTGTGAGTCCCCTTGACCTTAGGGGGATTTTACTTCCATGTAAATCTGCATGAGTTCAAGATGACAATTTTTTGTGGGGTGCAGTAAAACATGTGCCAAAGCAGTTGGATACTGCTTTGTGAATTGGGGTGGGGACAGGAATTAGTTTAAAAATTAAGGGGGCCTCCAAATCCATTTGTCCACAGATGCTGTATCAGCCGGATTCCCACTCAGCTCCTATTCTGTACATAGCCAACAATAATCGGATTGAGATCCCTGTTCCAGAACACTCCACTCATGCTGTGGTCCAAATTAGGACAACTGGTCCTGGCGGAGATGGTGTTCCAGCAGAAGTACGCATTCTGAGGAACAGCGGTGCGTCTGCTCTTCTCTTTTCTTCCTATTCTGCATTTATCCCATAGGCTTAGCCTTTCACCAATATTCCAAGTGACAGTTTTAAATGACAAGACCTTTTGCCTTCAGCAGCTGACCAGTTTATTCTCCCCCTGTTGCCTCATGTCATTCTCTGCTTCGTGTAAGACTGGAAAAATAACCTAAGTTACTTTAACTTTACTAAATAATAACTAAAGTTATTAAAAAACTAACATAATTAAATGACAGAACCCTTTTCTCCCTTCTAAATCAATTGCACCTCCGGGGCCACAATTTAGAGAGAAACTTCACTGGGCTAGAGCTAAACGTCACTGGCTTCACTGCTTCTCAGGGGCATTTTGGCAGAGAGGCAGTAAAGCCATCACAAACTCTGGTAGCATACACAGGGCATGCAACCCATTTTTTGAGCCTTCTGCTATATTGGCAGGGCCTAGGTTTGTTTTTTCTTGGAAATGAGCAGCAGTTGCTCAAATGTATAGAATTATTCTCTGGGTTGGATTATGAGCATTCAGGAAGTATTTGAGGACTGTGACACTCATCTCGAGGCAAGCATTATGATCCTCTGAGGGTCATATTTCCAGGATAGGTTTGATGCTGTCACTGAGAGAATGGGTTCAGACCCAGTTTTAACATGTATAAACAAAATCCAATGCAGCTCTGGTCCTGGCAGTGGCAAGAGGGTGGTGAATCTTCAGACACAGTCTAAATTGCCCCAAGTTCAGCTTGAAGTCTTAAGCAAAGACTTAAGAACCTGAAGCTGAGAACCTGGCATAGGTTCATTGAAATAAGCGTCTCATAGCAGCTGAAAGCTGTACAAGCTTCCCATGTACGGAAAAGATCTTGCCAGTGTGGCACTCTTTCAACAAAGTGCTTTGAGCAGGAGAGAGTGAGACACCAAATCTTCATCAGGGAATCCATTTTACCACTACTATGGATGGGACTGAGTAATGCCCTAATTGAATGACTGGTTGACTCAGCTCGCTCTTCAGGGTATTTGGATCTCTGAACTTGGCATAGCATTCCCCATCATTCTATAAGAACTCAAGCTGGTCCTTTAGCTACATTATGTAAGTAAATGCTGGCCATTCTTCAATACACTCAACTTACCACAAGCACTTCTCTTGTGAAGTGTTGTCCAAAGGCATTTGCACTCTTGTTGACCTTCTGAAGGCAAAGACATTTTTATCCAGAAAGGATTAATGTCTAAGGGCACAATCCTAAATTGCTGCCTGTAAACTTCCAAACTTCTAATCAACTGTGGAAGGAGAGCAGAGGCAAAGATCACCTTTACACTCCTCTCATCCTCAAAACCTTTAGACAGCCGATCTTGTTTCCACACCCTTTTCAAGAGAAAGAAGGGCTGGGGCATTGGCTGAATTTGGCAAAAGCCAGCTGTGTCTCACCCTGCCTCTGGAATGCCCCTCCCCAGCATCTGTCCTCAAGATGGTCTTCCTTTTTAGGGACCCAGCTGCATGGAAAGGGCTACAATGGCTAAGAGGGTGGGAGGCCCTCCGGCAGCAAAGTCCCCCGAGCAACTTCAGAACCTTCTCCTGAGGTCGTAGTGGGTACGCCACCTCTTCCTATGGCTGGCCAGCCAGAGTTTACCAGCCAAAGGCCTATGCCCTAAGCTGTTTTGTTGATTAACAGGTTTTATCTGGCTGTTGCTATTACTTCTTTCTTATTGATACATTTTATTTAATATTTTATTGGATGTATTTTTGTGTTTTAATGTTTATCCAATACATTTGACATGCTTCTCTATATTTTATTGCTGACTGCCTTGAGTACAAAGTGGAAAGACAGAGTATAAACTAAAATTAAATAGCAAATAGATCAGGAACTTCAAAACAGAGATCTTACACTTCATCTCATCTAGTTGTAACTCAACAGAGCTGTTTTCTTTCTTGCAGACACAAGTATGATGGTGGAAAGTTCTGCAAGCCACCCCATTGCCCATGCTGCGGTTGCCCTGACTCACTCATTAATAATGTTTGCTCTGATTGGCTCCTTGGAGCTCTGATACCAGCCATTGTAAAGGAGGGCTACCAAATGAGACTCCTCCTCATCTAGCTGGAGCAAATCAGCAGTTGACCATTAGGACTACAAATTTCTACTACACATTTTTACCACAACTGCTACATGGCAGCGAGTAACTGGTAGAAAATTACTTGAGAGGAAAGTATAGTTTTTCCTTCTATCCGTCCTTCCTTCCTTCCTTCCGTCCTTCCGTCCTTCCTTCCTTTTTAGAAAATAGAATGTTTCATATAAGACTTGAGTCTCTAACCAATCAAAGATTCTTTTTAAGTGAAGATACGAAAGGATGAGTTCTGTAGAAACTGTGGAAATGGGATGTCTCATTTTATTGTGCCCAGTAGATTCTTCTGCCTTACAAAGCCATGTGTGAAAGTTATCAGACTCCTACAACTTGATCTTTTTTAGAAAAGTAAACAAACTGGAACAAATGCACTGTCTTTTAGGTGACAGTTTTCAGAGTGTTGCGCATGTTCCATTTCATTCCTCCTTGCAGCCAGGATTGAACCAAGGACTCCGCTGTTCCGAGTTAATGGGGAACGTACAGTATTAGTCTGTCACCTCTTTTCAAGGCAACCAGCTGAAGCAGACAAAGTTAATGGAGACTGACAGCCATCTCCCACAAAAGACTTCAGAAGAAGAAAATGGAACTTTGTGAGTGGATTGTGAAAAGTGGGAAACTGATGGCTCACCAACAAAACCAAAAAGTTTTAGTTGCCTTGGAATCCAGCTTTCATCTCATATGCACTGCTTGTAATCTTATATTGGTGCTGTTCCAATAGGTGCAACACACTTTGTTCATTCATATTCCAGCAGTGAATTTACTATGTTGTGCTTGTTTCTTTCCCTCTTTTTCTTACACTTCCTGGAGTTCTGGCAAGAAAGAGGTAACTGGTGAGTTCCATGTCAGGAGGGAGAGATTCAAGTTCAGGCCAAAAGGATATTTCAATGTGCTAGACTCAAGCAGATTTACTGCAGAAGACTCATTTCACCTCCTTAGAGACACATTATCATATACCCAAAGTTTCATCAGCATTACTTGGACCTCACAGCAAATTTCATCCACTGTCTCAACACGCCATTCCATCTGTCTCACGTTGCCCATGGTTGTCGAGTTCATCAGTGATTAGAAACCTGATTTGGAATTAAATCATCATCAGTATTAGACAGTAGAGAAATTGAGCACCTGTACACAGACGTGACAGCCATAGTTTCCCAGACTCTTCTTCAGAAACTTAACGTTTGTTGCAGATGTGCTGAGCTGCTTAATATCTGTCCTTGTCTGTCTGCAGGACTGCAGAAGAAGGAAAGGGAAGATTTCAGTTCCAAACATCTTTTTCTTTCTTTTTTTAAATGAATGAGCTTAGTCTCAGAATTATGTCTCTCTAGTGTATCTTCATACTTTTCTGAATTCAGGAAATAGAACATGTCATGCTGAGCCTGCAGTATCTTACCTCTGAAAGGAAATGGTTAAGGTGCAGAGTTGCTTCTTTTGGCCGCTCAGCACCCTCATCAAATCTTAAACACAGGGAAAGGATTGGGGGGGTGGGGGTCCCCTACAGGAATGTAGAGGTCTTGGTCTACAAAGAGCTGTCCTACGCTGGTCAGGTCATCTAGTCCAGTACAGTTTACCAAATACCCAACTGCCCAAGAGTCTTTAAGCATTGGCCCTCTGCACAGAAAGCATGTCTTCTACCAAAGTGCTAAGAATTCTCCCTGCAAGAGAATTTTTTCCTAGGTTTTGACCAAGGGTCATCCGTGAACTATTATGCTACAGAAACCTGAGCCTTCTTTTTCCAGACACATGTGGTTATTTCTTAGATCCTAGGATTTATTCACCTATCTTCTGGTTATTAGAAACTAGACTTCATGAGGTTTACTTAGGGCAGCCCAAAGAAAATCCCTCACAGCCAAAGAAGGCATTATCTAAGAGAAACTGAACAATGACATGTTATTTTAAGAAGCAGTGTGTAATTTGTTTGCCCCCAATAGATCGCTTGCAACATGCTGGATGAGAGCTTTAAAGGGTAGGGTGTGGGAAATTCTGCCTTAGCAAAAGAGTTTGGACCTGATGTTCTTCTGGCATCTTACAGACCTATGACTTTCTACTGTTATTAGCCAGTCATGTATATGGCGACCATATTGGTGGTAATTAACAGAGGGAGGGATTTTCTGTGCTAGAAACTTGTGCTTGAATGCCTAGTAATGGTTTCCATTTCCAGGCAGAAAATTAGCTCTAGGAGAATGAGAAGCCCATATGTCTCCAACTTTTTTAATTAATTGGCCCAGTTCATGAAGGCCATAATCATTCAGCCACAAGTGCTGCACCGTGGATGTAGAATGGTTGTCTTTTTAACAATACTGTGCCTTTTAAAACACCAGAAAGGGTGAAGTGGAAGCATGCAGCTACGCATGGCAGGGACAAATAGAGTCTGGGTGCCAGGAACCACAACTAGCCTCCAGGCTTACTGCCAGTCCACAAGTGCTTGGGGATGCACATTTCCTCTGGGGCAAAACTTGCAGAGCTTCTCAATTCTTTAAAAGTAAGAAAGCTAGGAAAAGCATGAAAGAGATCTTATGGATCTCTAAGATTATAGGTCTACTCTGACCCCTATAATCTATTTAGCTTGCCCTTGTGGGTTCTGAGAGTTCCATTGGAAGCTCTTCTGTTCCTCAGATGTAAGTTATAACTATGTTTTGTATGGTTTATGTGAATGGAAAGTTATTCTATTTTTATTGAAGTTGAGTCATTCTTTTGACTTTTTTTCCAGGTGGGTTGGTACTGGGTCTTTCTAATTTATTTTCAACCATTTCTATTCAGCCCTTCCTTCCTTCCTTCCTTCCTTCCTTCCTTCCTTCCTTCCTTCCTTCCTTCCTTCCTTCCTTCCTTCTAGAAGTGCTGAGGAGCATTCTACCTTGAAAGCAGCCTAACGAAGTAGCTTAGATGAGGACACATGCCCTGGCCCACCGAGTGAGCTTCACAGCTGAGCAGGGTGGTGCATCTTTGCTTGCATATCCAGACCCAACATTCCGGTCACTCAGCGGCTCTGGCTCTGTGGGAGGCTTACCAGAATGTTACCTCTCTAGGTTACTGGTCTTAGGAAAGTATTGCAGCTGTTCACAGCCTGCTGCCTTGCAGGCAATTAGGTGGCAATGATGGGCCTTGCACCTGGTTAGAGAAGACTGTTTTATCTCATACCAACCCAAAAAACATGGAGTGTAACATTAACATTTACAGTATATGCCAAGAAAGACCAGTTATCCACCAAATGAAATGGCATAGACTATGTTGCCAGAGTAATCAAGCATATCAGGTGATTTCAACGCATCAGTGGAGAAACTCAGCTACAGAGGCCAAACCCTGCTTGCCTGGGATTCCCCACCTCCTTCCCCAGCCATGAATAATTTTGTGGTTTCCTGCATTTTTGCAGCTCCACTGCTACTACCACCAAGTTCCAAAGGTTGAAATGCTCCTCTCAAGTCTCATGTCCCAGGCAGCAAAAGCTTTAAGCTAAATTACGTAGAAATCTTGGCCCTGCCTTTTTTTATTTTGGTTGGGGCCCACCCATGGAATGCAGCCCCCCAGAACATCTACAGAATAGAATTCAACCCTCAGGCTAAAAGAGGTTCAACGCTCCTGCTTTAAAACGATGCAGGAGATAAGATGCACCTCTAGCTCAGTGCTGCCTATGGAGCAGCTTTCCAGGGTATCAAGCCTGGCAAGGTGACATCCTTCTGAGATGGTGTGGGGGCGGGATATGGGTCTGCTGCCTTCTGCTCTTCCAGTAAGCTCTGGCCCTCCATGCATGTCACTTGCAGCCACTCTGGAGAACCTGGGCTAAGTTATCGCAACATTGCAGATTAGGAAAATGAAATATAGAGCGCTGTGCCAGGCTAAGGGTAAGCCAAAGTGCAGCCTGGGAACCTGTTAACTGCACAGATGTTATGCTGACATCTCACGGGATATCTCCATGGGGGCTTGAGGAGAGGACCCCCTTGCTCCGAAGGCAGAGCTCAGGCATTCAAGGCACTGAGCAGTAACAGAGCGTGAGATGACACAGAGGGCATTTACCCAGCATGCCAAGCACTCCTAGCCAGAGAGAACTAAGTGGCAAATGCTTGGCATCTGTGCCCAGTTCTTGCTTTGCCATCAAAATAATGCTCATGGTTTTCCAAGTGCAAACCAGCCTGTGCCCTGACCATACCTCCCTGCTGGGTTTGGTTTTCCTATTCTTTATTTTTTAAGATTTCAATTATTTACCCTGTACTTTTCTTCATTTATCATTGTCTTTTCTTCTTTGTTAATGTGGAAGATCTGAATGCCATAAAATGTCTTAGCTAGCACTTGTATGGAAAGTATGGCAACCGTTTTCCACCTACATTCTGTGAAAATCGTCCCAGGGCAGAAAATGTCCTGCTGCTGCTTTGCCCTTCTTGACAGCAGAGCAGAGGGTTGTCCTTTTCCAAGAGTGTGGCTCTTAGGAACCCTGTGAGGTCATGTTTCCCACCTCCTTGGCCAAGGATGCCATCCCTCCAGTGCTGAGGAACGTTTCCCTGCTACTCCTTCCTCAGGAGATCTGGGTTGTTCTCTGCTTCTCCTCCCAATTCCACTGAAGGAGGGCTGCAAAGCCAGGCTAAATCACTTTGTTCTGACAGAAATGTGTGAAGATCTTCCAGCTTGTACTAATCTGTTGGAAGATGCTTTTCTGGGAGCTTGCATAGCATGGTGAGCAGCTCAGTGACCTGCAGATCTTGACTAGCAACTTTTCTCTGCCACAGACACAATAGATGGCCTTAGACAAGCCACTTAACCTCAGTGCCTCATCTGTAAAATGGGGATGATGATACTAATAGAGCTGACCTACTTTGCAGGGTAATTTGTGGATTGCTGACCTACTGTATGTGGAGCACTTTGAAGATTCCAAAGCACTATAAAAATGTTGTCCTTTCAGTTGTATATATTGCTTTCCTACAGTTCTCCCCTTCTGTTGATCTGAAGGATATTTTGACAACAGTGAGTGAACTGAGCCTGGGCACCTGGAAAATCCAGTGGAAAGGGTCTGTCCTAAACAGGCAAACTTGAAAGTGGCAGATTGCATCCACTGCATTGTCCAGGTAATGATGTTTCATGCCCTTAGCTAAAAGCATGCAAGAAGTAGGTGTTTGTGCAGTGTGTGATCGTGTGTTGGTGGATATATTTTAGACTGTGTACGAGTCACCTAGGGCTTGTATTCTAGCACCTATCCTAGAATATTTAAGTTCTGCTTGGCCCTGAAGAGATGGAGGCCTGTGGTAAACATTTTATCTGCAGCAGGGGCTACACCGAGAAAATGATCCATTGTACCTTCTGTAATGTGTAGACGGGATAGCAGAGGGTATACCAAAACCAGATACTTTGGAACATTTGAAGAAGGTTAGCATTTCTTGTAGGGGAGAGGGGGAAAGTAAATACTATTTCCCATACATTCTTTTATCTGAACTGCCTCCCCGACACACACTACTGGCAAAATTTACTTGTGACACATTGAATGGAAAGAATCTCCCGCGTTATGGTTTGGCCTTTTTTTCCACGAGTGTCACTGTAGATTTCAGACTTACTGTCTAATCTAACTAAAAATAAACAGTATTTTAAAATATAACAGTAAAATAATTAAGATGTATGATTATAGCCCTGTGAAATTACTTGTGTGTGTATGTATGTATGTATGTATGTATATATTTATATGTACATTTGCTTTGTAATTTGTATCATTTCTTCTCATTCATTAAAAATATATTCTTTTTCTTACATTTACTTTCATACCCCAACTTATCTATTAATAACCATTGCAGGACATATTCAGGATATATCCTGTTTTAAGCATGTGTCAAGCAGAAGACAAATCTTTGGCATCCACTTGTGGATGCATCTGGGAGAACATCAGTAGGTTGGCTAACGCTTCTGAATTCCATAGAACCAGTGTGGGTATAGGAGCTAAGAGAGCCCAGGCACAATCCTATGGCTTCTTGGTGTTATTGCAGATTCATAGGATTATGCAGAGTCCCACTCCCAAGAATGTGCAGTCCCAGAGCTGGGAATCAGGTGCCCTCTCAGACTGTTATCTTGGAGCCATGGGGTCATTCCCTAAGGTCGCAATCCTTTACAGGATTACAGAGAAGAAAAGTCTATAATTCCCAGCCCAGCCTACCATGCTACCTAGAGCAGGCTGGGGATTGTAGGACTTATTTCTACTTAAACATAAATGAAGTTCTCCCCCACCCCTCAAATATGCATTGTGCTGTGCCTAAGCTATGAATCGGGAAGTCTCTTCTTTGAATCTCACCTCAGCCATAATCTTGCTTGATAATCCTAGGCTAACCTCTCTTTCTCAGCCTCAAATTGGAGCCTTTTAAGGGTTACAATAATGCATTAGAAATGCCTTGTACACTGCAAAATGCTGTACATACATTATTATTAATTAAAAGGGTCACTCATAAATTAGGTGAAAGAAAGAAAATAAGTATCAGAAGAGAAAGGAAAAGGAAAGCAAGCTAGCTAGGGTAAACCAGGGGTGAATGTATATGTGAAATGATTGCAAACTACGCAAGTTCTGGTCCTCACTGAAAATAAATTGCTGGGTTGGGCATGTGTTTAGAGAGACTTGTTTCTTAACTCTGAGGCTGCAATCCAAAACACACTTGCTTCCGAACAAACATGCCCTGGGTTGCTTCCACACCCCTTTCCCATTCTACTTCCAGAGCATTCGTTTGGCTAAAGTAGTTGGGCCTCAGAGGACTAATAAAATACAAAACGCTGCAAACGGATGCCAGTCCCCTCACGTTTGAAGCATTTCCATGACACTGCAAAGTCTTCACTCCGCTGAAGGTCTCCTCATGCCAGCACACAGTTGTTGCGCAAGGTGGAATCTTTTCTTTGGGTTTTGTGGGTGCAGCATGCTTGAATGCAAAGAATGTCAAGGGCCTCCTTCATGTTCAGTGCCCCTCCTGTCCATCGTCTGAAGGATGACTTGTCCTGCCTTCTTGGGAGTGCCGGCCACACTTTGGTAGCAGTGCAGTGTGCAGGGCAGGGAGGAAGCTTCTGGAATGCCAGAAGAGTTTATCTTTTTCCACTGACCGTGTAATTCCATGGATCTGCATTTAGGAATGTTATACAAGCATGCATTACCCTGTCCCTGTGTGTCATATCCTAAGCGCTTCTCTTTAAAGTAAGTCCCATGTAGTCAAACTTTCTCAGGCATGTTTTTTTCCCAGATGGAAGAAAAATTGTGACATCTTTCTTACTGTAATATTCATTGCATTGTTGTGGGTCGTGATAGTGTGCACAGAAGACAAAAGCATTATCTGATTACTAAGAATTCTGATTCAAAGGCTCAACACTGTTCGCATGTACCAATGCATCAATAATATTGTTCTTACTATTAATTTTAATTCTGTTTTGTTCATTTTTATTTACCTCTACCCATATGTCCACATTTTTAAAAAAGAAGGGGCATTTTTCCCACTTGCCTTTAAATACTTGTTGATGGTCCTAAGGGTTTTCCCATGTATTTTAAGCATCAAGGTCAGGGAAAATGTATGAACGTTACTGTTGTGTGTTGACTATGTATAGTTCATCCTTCTTTTATCCCAAAGCATTCCTTTCTGTGCTAGGAAGCAAGGCAATCACCACTGGGAAAATGTAGGGGGTTGGCAACAGCGGTGCTCATGAAATGGCCCCTTGTATACACATAAGAGTGTGCACTGGGGTTTATAAGGTGCAGTCCAGCAATGATCCTAGGTGATAGATTCGATGGGGGTGGATGTGCATCCCAGGTACTAAGACTATTAATTTGACACAAGCTGAATGTAGCTCTCTGCAAGATAGAATGGGAACCATAGTGACAAAACTGACTGAGTCTCCCAGACTTTTGTTATGGTACGTAGCACCCTGTCTTGGCCTGAACAGACACTTTGGGGCACGGCCTTCTATAGGTCCACCTTTGCACTTAACTTGAAAACTTGCTAGCATCAGTAACAAAACTCCTTTGGCTCTTCTACTCTGATTTAAACCGTACAGGAAATGGGGTGGTGGCAGTATCTTTTCAGCAATTCTCTTGTATGCTATTTTTTAAAAGAAAACAACAAACCTTGTAAACAACCATAATTAACATAATCTACTGGCTACAGTAGCACACAGTTCCTAAATAAAGATCTCTAAAGACTTTAGTAAACTTCTCTGGTGTGACTTTATTTCCAAGCAGATTTAAAACACAGGGAGAAGCCGGCAAGAATTTGAGCACAAATGGAGTTTGAGCACAATTATTCTGAAATGGAGTCAGAATAATTTGGCAGTACCAATATATCCCAGCTGGGCAATGCAAGGCCTTTCTGCAAATGTTAGGCATAAGCACAGCCTACAGAGGGAAGTGGCTGATAAAACCACCAGCAATTTGACAGGTGCACTAACTACTCATTTCTACTGAAATATTGTGAAATACAGGGTTGGAAATGGCTAGAAAACACAGGTCCATATGGAGTGCACACTAAATGACAAGCCTGTTGGCTGAAGCAGCCCACTAATCCATTTTCCAAATTTCAACAATGGCTTCACAAACCTTTTGCAGTAGTTGAAAAACTCAGGAATGCACTGAACCCTTCTCAAGCTGATTATTGGCACAGGAGCCTCCTGAAGTGCTGTTGCTTGTGAGTTGGGTCCAGGATCTGTGTTCTTTCTGCATTCTCTGTTTGTGGAAGGGCCCTCTACCTGATTTTGGAGGACCAAAATGGGGGATAATGGGGAGACTCTGAGGTTCAACACATGTGGTCTCTATTGACTTAAGCCCTCTTTGTTTTCCCCCTTCCAACAGGATTGGGCTCCTTCTGTCCACACTGCAATAGGATCGAGGTAAACAAACATGTAGCCACAGTGGCATCTGAAGAACATAGGTATAACTGGGCCAGTCTAAGAGAAGATGAAGTAGAGCTACTTAAGCACAGCAATCCATCCATTCTACCACCATAACAATGAAGGTGCTTTTTCATTATTGTCTGTAGGAGAATAAAATAATTCCCTTGGGTTTCATGCAGTCAGACAAAACTTTCTCACCCAGTGAAAAACTAGAGGAAAGCCAGAGAGAGCAGGAAAAGGCTGAAGTGAAAAATGAACTTGCCTTAACATGGTGGGAAAATCTTTCAACCATGAGGATTTCAGTATAAATGAGGGAGTGGGGAAGTTGCTCCCAGGAGCATAAGAGAGAAATTGATGAAGCCCAGTGCAGAGCTGGACATTAAATATGCCCCAGGGTGCTCTTGTAAAAGATACGGCTTTCAATAAGCTTATTTTTGTGTACCTGGAGAATTCCTTCCCTTTTATACTTTGTGGCCTTTGCATTTTTATTTTTTCAGTAAAAATGGCCAAAGGACCGCGTGGAATGCAGATAAAGTGAAATCAATCTTTAACCATACACATCCACTCTCTGCATATCACCCAGGTTTGGTCTGATCAAAAACATCAGGATTCCTTCTTTCCCTTATATTCATGCCTCTTTCTTGACACAAGTGTAACAATTGCTAGTTATCCTAATGCCCTTGATGTAACAGATATGGAGAGTGATCCTGGCATCTCCTGCACATGGAGCAAGGAAGATTCTGAGAACATGCCTTTCAGTCCTCCTCATATTCATAGCTACCATGAACCTTCAACAAATAGTAGAAAACAGTGTGCAACAAGACTCCTCCTATCATGCCACTTCCGATGCCTACCACAAACACAAACACAGCTCTTTGCTGCCATGAGCTCCACCGCTCCAGGCCTGGCGTGATGGTGGTAGTGTTCTTGTGAGAGCCTGCATTCCCACTATCTAACTTCTGCTCCGATGTCAAGGATTTGTCAAAGTTCAGTTCCACCAGGTGGCCAGGGATCACACGAAGTCCAAAATAGATTCTCTTTACAAGCTTGTAGTTTTTCATTAACTGTACGTCACATCTATAAGTACCTGCGTCATATTCCTCAGCTGGGGAAAGCTTAATGGCGAAGCTCTTAGTTTTGAAAGGCAGAAAGAGAGCATCATCTGTGGTGATGATACCCCTGGCCAACCGCCATGTATAGCTAAAGCCCTGCATCTCGGGATGGATCTCATAAGGGGTCAGGCAGCTGAGCTCAAATGGCTTACCAACAAGGACAGTGAAGTGGCGCATTCCACAAATCCAGTTGGACAAGCAGTCCAGCCTATGTTTGGTACAGTTTGTCCTTTCACCATTAGGATTCACCTGGCATGTTTCTTCTACCTTGAAGCCCAGGCCACAGGTGACACTACAGCTTGTGGAACTGACGGACACTCTAGCAGAAACAGCCTTCAGTTCTTTAGGAATAGTAACTTTCTCAACAGAAGTCACTGGTACAAAGAAAGCCAGTGCTAATATCCCTAGAGCCAAGCAGGCTTCTGCAGTCATCATATTCATTCATAAAAGACCTATGTGTCATTCTTTGTAAATGTCATAAATGTTCTAGAAGCTTAAAACAGATCCCTCTTCTCGCACCACTTCCTGGGACAAGAGAAATCTTCGGAATACGAAGGCTAGTCAAGTGATAGTCTGTCAAAGGAGAGAAACATTAAATTATGCCACACTATGCTCCTTATTAATGGCACATGCACAGATGATGTTCTCTTCAAAGCTGTTTGTGGGTGACGTCCTTGAGATACAGGCTTCTGAGCATAATTTCAAGCATGAAGTGAACTACATGTTTTAATTCAAATTCAGCAGAAAATTAAGTCTTGCAGCCTTATTGTACACAGCCCTCAAACGGCACTGCATTGTTTAACGTGTGCTTCTGTGTTTATGCAATCAGGTGAAATTTGTGAATTGAGATAGGAAAGAGGAGTTGGCCTAGAAGACTACAAACCCCCCTTCATCACTTGATCATCTTAACTTTACTAACTCAAGACATAACTGGACTATCAAAGCAAAGCTTAGATCTAGGGCCAGGGGAAAAAAGATTTACCATGACCATACTCTTCCACACTAACTCTCCAGTTGTAAACACTAACAAGACTAGTAAATGAGTTTCACAGGACTACTTTACCAACACAGATATTATGTCTTGTGTGGGCAGAGACAGTAAAGGGAACTTCATGATTGGTTATAGCAGTTTTAGTTCTAGACACAGTTCCAGCAAAAGCAAGTCTGTGGAAAGCATATCATGTTTTGTCTGGACTGCAGCAACAGCCTCCCCCTGAATCTTTTTTCAGGTCTCTGGTTTAGATTAGGGGAGACATAGAAGCAAGCAAGCAAGCAAGCACAATTTGTGCTATAATTCTATGTATCTCAGTATCCCAAACCATATGAACATATCATCTGTGTGAAGCTGTAAGACCATTTGTTCATTTAGCCCAGGAGTGGGCAATTTGCAGCTTAGGCTGATTGGACCTACAGTCCAATTTCTGGTGGACATGATGCCCATCCCGCACAGAAGTGGAAAGAGGGCTGGAGACACAAGATGCATTACCTTGTGCATATAAGATTATAGCTCCAAGATTGTAAGATTATGCTGGTTGATTGACATGCTCTAACCCAGTTTTACTATTAAGCCATGGACCCTCCCCATAAAAGTTTTGTACCAAAACTTTGTACCATAGAAAACATCAGGAATAACAAAAGTGATGCTCATGCATCAAGGACTTCCCTATTATGCATTCCCATTTAAAGTACTTCCAAGTTAAATAGATTAATCCAATATTTGCCACATTTAGCTACTTTATTCTAGAGATTAGAACCTTATGTCAGGGAATTTTCTATTCTCCAAGCTAACCATGTACCATTAATAGAGGAAGTTCATAGCACTGCTCTTTTCTTCATAGTGTTCTTCAGTCATTGATGCCTCTGTGACTTTGTTGTAAACTGGTGATGTCACAATACAGCCTTCCACCACCCAATGGGAGTATCACCTTGTAAAGCCAAACCATAATATTCTTACCAATGTTTAAGAACAGACTGTTTTAGCTGTTGCAGAGATGGACACCATGCCTATCAAAAGTTGTTATTAAGAAGAGCAATCAAGAACCGCACTGCTTTGGCCCTTGGAACCAAGGAATAAAACAAACTAGATGCACCACCACCATCATCCACAAGACATGGGGACAACCTAGAGCCTCTATTTCTATATACAAATTTACATAACAGGCCAGCTCATGGAAATGGGGAGGGGAAGAAGGCAACCCAAAAATAAGATGTCCCATAGAATGCCTCCTTGATACAACAAGGCACTATGATCAGGAGAGTGCTAGATAAATGTCATGTAAAACTAGAACTGGCTGCTGCAATGCATTGTTCCAACCTGTTTCTCCCTCCCAGTCTGTACTTTTAAAATGCAAAGGCCACAGCAGGGAGATCTTTGGGAGTCTAAGAAACAGGAAGTTGCCATTGGTCTATCTAAGCTGATACAGCTGGCAATGACTGGCAAGCAATGTGTCTGCAGAATTTTAGGTAGATTTTCCAGCGCTTCCTGCAGATCCTGGGTACTGAACCTGCAAAGCATATAATCTACCACTGAGGAATGGCCCTTGTAAGCATGCTTACCACCCATCAGGACCCCCCTTGCATAGTACAAATGCCAATCTGCTTACATAAATCAGCCAATACTCACAAACCTGGATCACAACTAGAAATTCTGTAAAGGCTGCTATTGTCATATCCCTCTGTGGCTCGTAGCAGCAGTGATGTAGAGCCTATGTTGTGGGCACACAGCTGGCAAGCAATCAAGAACTAAAGGGATGAACTGCAGCAACAGTGTGGGTGATGGTGAGTGAAACAGCTCACCCAAGGGATGCTGGATTACAAATCCCAATTTGTCATGCAGCTTTTATTTCCACTAGACCAGATCATTAGAACTAAGGGCACCAGGAAGAGGGAGTCTGTTCTTTAAACTCTGCCCATTGCCTAGTGGTGGGGTGACAGAAACGGAATGGCTTGACTGTGGTCAACCTTGTAATCATACTGCTTGAAGATTGGTAACTTTCATGCATACATGATACTTCCATGGACCATCTCATGACTGGGTGGTGGCTATACAGTTATTGTGGATTGGTTGTCACTCTTTTGTTAATGTCACAGCAATGAAAGCATCAGATTCTGAGATGGCATGAAACAGTGCAAATGTACATGTAGTGCTGAGCCATCTTGCTGGGACCATAGGATTGAGCTGCTCGTCTTCTACCCCCGATTAAACTTGAGAGAAACTTATTCCTCAGCGGCTATAACTTATTTTGTTTGCTCTTTGCGTTTTCCATTATGTTATATTAAGTTCAACACTGTGCTGCTTGGGATTTCTATCATTTAGGGTTATTATACCCACTATACAATGTTATGTCCTTTTTATTGTCTCGGTTCTGAAGAGGCTGGCTGCAATGCAACACAGAACAATATGCACTGAAGAACACCTGGCGGGGGGGGGGGGGGGGGGGGCTGCCGCTGCTAATTATAATGACCACCACCACCACCACCACCGGCTTGTTTGAGTCAAACAAGTTTCTAAAAAGGCCTGAAATACAAAAGAGCATAGATCACAATTTAAGAAATAAAACATACTTCTTTATTTACAAACACAAAAGCTAACATTACAGCAGTACTTTACAAATGACTAGTAAGCAATCATTATCTGTCAGGTTTTGTACAGGCTATAGGAGTATCAAAATAATATAAAACACACTCACATACTCACAAAAGAAATGATACTGAAGAAAATTGCGGCAAAAGTAGGCTTGAATCCATAACATCACATAAGGAGTATGGTAATCAGTAACCAATCCTCAATGTGGATTGACCAGCAGGCTATAGGTGGCAGGTTTATATAAAGGAATGTTGTAGAGAAGCTCTGGAGGGTCAGGGATGGTATAAATTATATAATACAATATACGGGACTTTGAGTCAACATTTTGACCGAGGAAGGACGCCGCATGCTGAAATGAAATTTACTAAACTAAAAACCTTATTTGCAACTTCCAATTAATCAGCTTATTCCCCAGTGCACTGATCCTGTGACATTCTGGAGAAAACATTCATGCATCTATATTCTGTGTTTGGAAATGAATATATCTTGGATTAAAGAATTATACTGGCAGAAAATGAGAATGCAGAGTATGACCTTTTCTAATACAAGCCCAGCAACAAAACTGAAATTTCTCAATGCCTTTGGATAGGACACAGAGCAGAAGGCACAAATGATTCACACTCAGCCTTGTAATCCTTCCATATCTTCCCTGCAGATGTATTTATCACATTGATGGAGATGCTGAATTCTCCCTACATATCCTGAATAGGCAGGCAAAGGAGGACAAGGGTCTTTGGAGTATGGACGATACATAGACACATGGTGAGAAGTGCAAATCACACATGCTTCTGCTCTGCATTATGCCCACCCTTTCTTTTATCTAGATATATACCTGTTCTTCTCCCTCCCTCCCCCATTCTGTACAAACAGCCTCTATTTCCCTGCCATCTTCTGGAGTCATCTGGATTATTCCAAACTTGCAAGGAAGTGAGTGAGCCTGGAAGGCAAGCTATTATAGCTGCACAAGGGTAACTTAAGTATAAACAACATGTTTACCAACTCACCACAAGCCAGTGTGGGTAACACTGAGAAATTATGCATAAGTCTTTTGTTTCAATTTGTAACAAGACAATGTGCTGGGATCCACAGCAACATAATAGCAATTTAGCTTTCATCTTCTCATGAATTAAACTATGTAATAGAAACTAATACAAGACCTCAATTTGGATGCAATGGGATCTTCTTTTCCAGTTACAGACCTCTTTGTACTTTAGAGATTCTAAGTATACAAACAAGCAGAAAGTAGTTCCTTTCCATCACGTTCAGGTACAAATCTTCTTTCCTGAGAGTCAATGTCTTACTATCTGTTAGCAGTAAGATAGAATCAAGGAGAAAGAATTTTCCTCTTCCATAATGTGCATCTTTTAAAAATTGTTCCCTGTATCCATAGGCAACGAGGTCATTTGTCTTTACCATACCAACTTAAAGTCAGTCCATTATCTGACTAACCAATCGTCCTTATTCAGTATTATGATGCCAATAAAAGAAATAAAGGAAAGTAGGGAAGCAGAAGAGGCAGGATGTCTTCATAACAGCTCTGAGATCCCACCACTTGCTAAAAAAAGAAAAAAATGAAGAAAAAAAAATCAAGGAAAGTCTGTATTTTCATAGAACTCAAATATCAAAATATACACTGAGGGTACAAAGAGGTCAAGGGGAAGCCATTCTTCAACATGTTATATGTTTCATGCTTGTTTAACTTTTAATGACATTTGTCTAAATGTAAATGTCAGACCTGGATGAAATCCCTCAGAAACTCAGAACTTCACTTTAGTTGAGATCTCTCCAAACTTACCTGGTTTAAGTGCAAGAAATTATGAATTCAAACAGGCTGTGTAGCCATTAAGCACTCTTTGTGGGAATGTCTGAAAATTAGGATATTATGGAGTGATTTCTGTTCAGCTTCATTTTATTACCTGCACTCTGTACAAGACAGAGTAAATTAGCCACAGGTACCGCTAAGCACTTAGCACCTTTCTGTACTCCCAAGATTTTCTGGGATCTACGGCACAACTTAAAAAGCAGTTTTGCATAATAGGAGTCTTGAAATGATTGCTTGCAACTGTAACAGGGAACATAGTCATACTTACCATCACATCTTTCTGAATCATGATCACTATTTGCTTGTGTTTTGCCTGGGAAGGCCTTAAATCTTAAAATCATCCTGTTGGGATAGTGCCTTACAACTCTTTTCCTTTTAGGAAGAGCTACACTCAGAGCAGAGTGTGCTTTTGATTGATTCATGCCAATGATATGGGAATGAGCCAAAGCTGAAGCCCTGAGGAACCAGTTTATATGTTCCCCTACATAGAGCTTAGGGTTCAGTGTGGTGTAATGGTTAAGGGCGGGGGACAGGGATTCAGGTGATCTGGGTTCTTGTCCCCACTCAGCCATGAATCCAACTGACTTTGGGCCAGTCACAAACTCAGTTCAACCCACCTCACAGGGTTATTGTTGCTGGGATAAGACTGAGAGCAGGGGGTCTATTATGTGAGCTACTCTCAGTTCTTTGTAAGAAAAAAAGGCAGGATGTAATTTTAATCCATAAAACCTGAGAGACTTCTGTCAATATGCCTCATAGTTAAGACTAGAAAGATTCCAACACAAGGCAGCAGACCGATTATGATCTCAACCTGTTCTCTGGTGGAAGTTTTTTCTTGTAGGTTCAGATAAAAATAAAGTGGATGCCAACAGGCAGGGAATAATTATATCTACAGACTTCCTGACCCATCAGTGGATGCTACTCACATGTTCTTGAAAGCTACACTCCAGAGAGTGGTCCAGAAGGAGGTAGTATATTTTGCAACAAAACTTAACTCCTTTATTTGTGGCATGCCCCCATATAGCCACCGGGCAGTAAGGGCTATGGAGCATGCATACTCAGGGATGTTAAAATGAGTTCTTTTTCTTTTACATTTCTTTAAAAATCTTATTTACAGTCTTTCAACCTTACCTTTATTAAATCTGATTGGGTTGTTCAGCCTGCGAGCTGCCAGTTTGCTACCCGATATAGTATCTTACATGCATATGAAAGCATGTTGCATATGGCTGTGAAGACTACACAGGCCATTTCTTAGCATCCTTAAATAATAACCAGTTAAGGAGGCCAGTTCTTGATTATGAATTGCAGTGAACTTTCTTTACTTTAATGGGTCATGCCTCAAGTTAGTCATAATTATAGGAGTACAAAATTTCATCTGAATACAGAGGATAGGCCCAAGCATCGATTCAACTCTAAGTGGGCACAAGAAGAAAGGATGACATCTTGCTCTTTTGGCATTCCAATTTCCATTTCTCTTGTTTTCTCACAGAAAGACTTCCAGTCCTGCATCAGGATCTGTATGCAGGGCTCTGTAATGCTTTCCCACAAAATAACTGAGACCTCACAGTTACAAACATTTAAAACAAATGCAATAAAAAGCAAAAGGCAGTTAGGTCTCCTATGCCCACCTTCAAGCATGGTTGCATTGCCAAAGATATAAACAAAAACACATGACACAAAAAATAAAATTGACCTCCTACAAGTAAACAAAACCTTTGATGATTTCAGAAAATGTGCATCATGGTAACGTTTAATCTCTGTCTCATTTCTCTATTACAACAAGATGTCATTTCATTTTTGTGTTAGGTTGTATGACTGTCAGCACATTTCAAGCAATTTATTGAGAAGCTACAAAATAAGAACAAGCCAGTAGAAACACAAACAAGCAACAAATTTATGCCTTGGAAAGCTGCTACATTTCTTTATTCTATGATTTGTTCAAATATCCATTGCATTTATTAATAGGAGCAGAGCAGGAAGGACAATGAGCAAGCTGGGTAACATTGGACCAGCAGTGAAGAAATAAAGGGTTAAAAAAAATCTCAGTTCTTGAAATTATAAAAAAATGCAGCAAGAGCTACTGAGCTTCAGGGATATACAAAATTTCATGCATCAGATTAGGATCTCTATTATGCCTAACCAATTTCATATAAAAGCTTACAAAAATAATTTTCTACAAAACCACTTTTTCTAGCCTCTTCAAATTTTGTCAATTAGAGAGTAAAAGGGCAGAAAGCAGCTCTCCAATCTATACAGAGATACAAGGAGCAAAATATGGGCATAATAAATCTGCATGGCACTTCAGAACAGTATAGAACTTTGAACAGGATCAGGGTTGATGGAAGCAAATCATACTCCCATTTAATCTCAAGAAGTAACACTGAACTTAGACTACATCAAATAACGTTTTTCTAGTCATCTTGCCACTGAGCTTCTAAGAAAGCCTATTCAGAGTGTGTTCCCCTCTGTGAGAGGGAGGAAGTGGGCATTTATAGAAAGTTCACTATTCCTCTGTGAGGCATATGACAGCTTTCCTTAAGCAAGGGTGAGAAACTATGTTGTTGGATACCAATTCCCATTAGCCCCAGCCAATATGGCCAGTGGTCAGGGATGATGACACTTGCAGCCAACAACATCTGAAGAGCCAAAGATCCCCCTGCCCTGCTTTAGGATAAAGTTTGCAGGCATGTTCCTTGTGAAGAACATACACTCCTAAATTAAATAGTAGCTGTTGGACCCAATGACATCTACTTCTAAGTAAACACATGGGATTATGCAGGAAGCACAGTACTTTCAATACAGTGGCTACTAGGCCTGTTGGCTATGTGCTACCTCCATTACCAGAGGCAGTATGTCTATGTACACACCGGTTGCTGAGGAACCTGGGCAGGTGGAACTTTTGTACCCATCCCACTTGGGGAATCCTGTGGGCAGCTGGCTTGTCACTGTGTGAATGGAGGGCCGCTACTGGAATAGAGGCTAAACATGCTCCTGATTCATGGTGACCCCAGCCACTAAAACCCAAAGCTATTCCTATGTACATAGTTCCACCTCAGCTGGACAGACCAATCCTGGGTTCTCTTTCTTGCTTATAGTAGTGAGAAACGTAATATTGGGACATGGCTTGTACCTTTCATTAATGTCATGCCTTAAACTCGAAAACATGGTCATGACATTATTTTTATAAGTAATGAAATATAAGCAGAGTCACCAGAAATTTTACTGCAAGTAAGCTTCTCCTTTCCCTTTATCCATTTTTTTTAAAAAATTTCTAATATCAAGTATTAATAATAGTGCCATGGAAAAATATGCTAGATCCCCTTTTATTCATGCCTTTGGCTGTAAACAGCTTTTGACTCCAATCAACAAGCTAACAGTTGATTCTTCTTTGACAATGCTTTTTTCATCTTCACATTCTTGGTTCACAGCACATACATGCATGGTATGTACCAATATTTATGATAACAAGGGTAAACTTTCTATTCTAGGAAGTAAAATTTTGTCCATCCTTGAGAGCACAGTAGCTGAACACTTAGCAAGCAAATGTTGTTTGGGAAGCTAAAGTGCTAAGACTATGCCATGTCTGTATGAAGCAAGGTCACCAAGCAAGCAGACGCTCACGCTGGGTCCTTACCTGGCAAAGGCTGTCCCAGCTCCACTTGCACTTTACCCTTTGCTGCTCCTTCCAGAGGTAAAGAACCTCTGTCCCCTTTGTAGAGTTTCGGTTTAAATGGAGAATCTTTCTCTTTACCTTTTGATCCTTTAGGCCTGCCTGCTTGCTTCTTCTTGGATTTACCATCTCCCTTCACACCCAGCAGCGGATGGACTTCTGTGAAGGAAGAGGCACAGTAGAGAGAAAGTGCATATTTCAGTTCACATAAGAGAACAGTATATTGACCTGCTGTCTACTTTGCAACTCTCTGGAGCTTGTACCATAAGGTAGCAGTGGAGAAACTCATCTTGACAGACTTTTTTTAAGAAGGAGAGCAGTAATTTGTGCCAAATAAGAATTCATGTATTCATTTTTATTAGTTTTTTATCCCACTTGTTTTTCCTTTTAAGAACTCAAAGTGGCTTAGATCATTCTCCTCTTCCTAATCTCAGTCTTATCCCCACAACAGCAAATCTGCAAGGTAGGTTGGACTGAGAGTCTGTGACTGGCCCAAAGTAACCCAAATGGCTCCATGGCTTAGTGGGGACTAGAACCCAGTTCGCCTGAATCCCAGTCCTATGCGGTTAACCACAACACCACACTGGAATAGTGGAATGAGTCACGAGTTACACTAACATTCGTTCATGAGCAGTTCGTTGCATAAGAAGAGAAGAAGCTTAATAGGTCAATCAAACCAAGACAGCAACTTTAAAGAAATGCATAACACCACAAGTGTTACACAAGTTTATGAGCCAATTTAACATTATTTCTATAAAGTGATCATAACCAAAGAAATGTCTCCTCACTAAAGAGTGCAGCCAGGTGAGTATTCTAAGCAACTGAGAGACACATTATTGCTGCTGCTATCACACTGCATTTATCTCTCTTCTCTTTTCCTCTTGTGATGAACCCAAGGCAGTTTACATTGCTTCCTTTAATCTTCACAACTCCTCTGTAAACTAGGTCAAGACTGAGAGTGAGTGATTGGCCCAAAGTCACTCAGTGAGTTTCATGGGGAGCAGAAGACCTACTGTATTATTCAGTACTGTTTTTTGTAGTTCTAATATCATTTGATACATGGTTCAATCCTATGAAGTCATGTTAGGACTGCAGCATTCCAGAAGAGCCATCCTCCTCTGACATGTTGTTCTATGGCAAAGAACTGGGCAGAGTCTAAGAGGGAATACTGAGAACTCTCTTAACTAGAGCTAAAGGCTTTTCAGTCACTGCAAAACCAAAAACATAAATGCAATTGTAGGCAAATTATTTGACAGCAAGCTCTTCTGACTGCAGTGGATACACGACAATGAAAAATGAATTAGTTCTACCAGTTTCTCACAGGAAACAGCTACATCCCTATACCCTGTGGCAATCACATTCTCTATATTAGGGAAGACATTGTGTAGCTACCACTGAATGCTGCAGTGCTTTTGCGAAAAGTTTGAAGTGATTAATTGCATACCCATGTCTCTATCAGAATTTGTATGAACTTGCACACAAGCCACCATACTTGGTTGCTCTACATTCTGCATATTGCACACCTAGCAGTTTGTATGTGGGACTAAGAAAATCCCTGCACAAAAGTCACTTTTGTGTACAAATCTTATTGGGTAAAATATCCTTATGCAATATAAAGTATTGGAAGGTAGAGAAGATGGCCATACTTGGTAAGAGCTGGTACCTGCAGGGAATCATTTTTAGCAAAGTTGTGAAAAATACCAAGCAGAACTAGTGCTCCTGCCTCTTCTTCACTACAGTGAGAGCTACAGAGTTGTTAAAAACCAGCCCATACACTACAGTGACAGCCATTCCAACTCACCATCATTGGGAACTCCCTGAAGTTCTATGTTGGTTGTTTTGGGTTTCTTCTTTGGGGGCTGAGGTCCATCAGACAAGGATTGCCTCTTCTTCTCAGAGCCTAATCCCTCATCAGGTAAGGCAGTCTGGACTGCATCTGGTGGAGGACCATATGGGTTTTCCTCTGGGTCTTCCACTTCAGGAGCAATAGGCAAGTACAGTAAAGCTTTGGAGTCTTCCAATTCTTCATCACTGTCAGGAAAATGTTTTCTCCCATTAAACACGCATATCTCATGTTACAAGACAATTTTCTTTATTTGTTCATATCTTCTTAGAACAAAAGCTATCAGTACTCTAGCAGTCAGCTTTTTGGACACAATGGTAGCAGACATCATCTTAGTGCCATTGTAATGCACTGGATTACAATTTACATCACTCCAACCAACTAGGCCATCACAAATGCTGGAAAGCAATAATGGGAGCTGTAGTGCTATACACATATTGGGGAACGCTGCTGTACCAAGTTATTTCACATGCTGCAAAGGCTTGCTACCCAACACATACTTTAGAGCAGCCCTCCACAACCTAGTGGCCTTCAGAGGTATTTGGATGGCAACTCCCAGAATTCCCATCCAGCGGGGCCATTGACTGGGAATACTGGGTGTTGCAGTCCAAATGTGTCTGGAGGACACACAATTGGAGAAGGCTGCTCTAGAGGAAGTTGCAGCCAATCATGGTTCTGCAATATGCTTTCTATATGATATGCAGCTTTGCAAACATGCAAGTCAAAGCCAATGTGCAACAATGGTAGGTGTACACCTTCCAATATTATATATGATATGGCCACAGTTATCGGGCAGAAGAGTAAAATGTTTTATCTGCAAAAGAAATGACCAAAAAGGAACTGGATGTTTTGTGAACAAAGGAACACTAACTACAACATGAAAGGTATGCACTTTGTCTGTTAAAATCAAGACAGCTCCTTTTTTCTGTTTACACTTGAACAATATGAAAAAGATGGAGTTGGAAGAATCAATTGTACAGTTTCCAAAAATGCAAAGCTTGAAAGCTGAACAGAATCTTAATATTCTCATTAACATGCATTAGAACCTCAGTAGATCATAAAATTTATTTTCTGCTCCTAGTAAAGACCTGTTAAAATAAGAAACACCCTTTTGCCAATTCCAGAATCAAATGCAGAACACTTGCTTGAGGAGGACTACACACAGGACCACTTTTAAGTTAGGGTTACCATACTTAGTCCATTAATTGATTTAAAGTCTTTTCAGCAACTAATCAGAGCCATATATTTAATCAGGCAACCTATTTTGTTAAATGAACTGTTGTTTTTCTCAGACAAAACCTTTCTATTACCACTAGTGATCTTTTTCATAAGAATTAGTGACTCATGAAAATGCAAACAAATTTAGCTACAATCCTAGCTACAATGAAAATAAACCTCATTGAAAGGACTTGCTTTAGAGAAAACATTGTTGAATTACAATTAACTATTTTTGGTTAAATTAAAATCCTTGCTGCCACCACTTTCACCTGCTACAAAAAGCAGCAATGGGATCTACACTGGTTACATCCACTTCCTCATCCTCTGCAGCATCAGCACCTGTCAAACAAAGAAACTTCAAATCACCAACTGGGAGGAACAGACAGATCTTGGCAATCTTCATCTAACATAAGTGGATGTTCAAAAATGAACAGATTAAGGAGAAAGTCTATTGTACAAAACTAAACTATTCCAATTTCTAACCTCTTACACAAATTTTGCAATGTTAGTGTTTGCCATCTTCTCACTTGATTAGGAGCTAGTTTATCATAATACTTAGGTTTCAGCTGTCATCATAAGAAACCACTGTGGCTTTATTGAGTGTGTTTTCTACAGAGGCTTCAAGGATTTGGTTTGCATTAGCCACAAAGACAATGAAAGAGTAATAGTATACATACCTACTCAAAAGTATGCCCCAGTGTATTCAAGGGAGCTTAAACCCAAATAAATTGGAGATTTTGGCATGATCAAATATAACCACATAGCTATATTTTAAAGCCTTGTTATTTTAAAGGTCTTTTTGGGAAACATTTTTAAAGGATCAGTATCAAATAAGTGCAATACCGATCTATTTTGCAATGTGATCACTTGGTAGAAATGTTCTTCTACTGACTACATTAAATCAGATACACATACAACTGTTACCAAATGCTTTACATTCCAGTTACATAAAAACACACATACCAGTCCTGTTATTGAAATACTGAAACTTATTTAGATACACTGTGGAATAGAAGCCTTGCAACGATGCAAATTAAATAGAATCTGAGCCTCTGCACTGACTTTGGTAATCATATCCTCTTTTGTACGCCTTCAGAAGCACCCATTTAAATTCTTCAAGACTGCAGTTTGTGTTAATTATAATTTAAATTATAATTAAATGAATTCCCACTCTGAGTTGGGATTAAGTCAATTAGCACTAACTGCAGTTCCCTGTGTCCATGGCAGTTTAATCAATAGAATACTGTTGTCTGGAGGCATTAGTTAGAGGAATAGAAGGCTGCAGTTGAACAAAGCGTAGAAACAAGAATTCCTGCTTGACTGGAAAGCCTGAAGAAAAGTGGATTGCAAGATTTCAAAACAAATCCAAAGTGAGGAAGGTCTGATCAGAGGTGAAAACCTATCAGCATTCATCAACAGAGGATTCATCAACCCCATAAGGGATTCCAGGTTGCAAGACTTTATAGATTTAAAGGCATTTCTGGAAAATAAAATGAAGTTAAAACCTCCTCTTAACAAGTGAAGTGTTAAGACTATGCAATAGCTAATCTAGCACAGCCAACACACTAATGCAGCCAAATACTGTTGCCTATAAATATCAACAGACTACTGCTTATGTGAGCGGCTCCATCCCCTAGAGCATGGGTCCTCAAACTATGGCTGGGGGGGCCGGATCCAGCCCGCCATGCCCATATGGACCCGCCATGTGCACCCGCCACTGCCACCTCACCCCACATGCGGGGAGGCAGTGGTTTGCTCACATAGAGAAAATGATCTTCAAGCGAGCAAGCCGCTGCCTCATGCGCTCGCCTCACAGCGTGTGCCCACCCCCACCTCCCCTCCCCTCAGTGCACGCACACCTGCACGTCACCTCCCCTCACCGCGCACCCCGCCCCTGCCTCAGTGCGCCCGTACACACCCCCACCCTGGCCCACACATGCCGCTAGCACCTTTCCGGCCTGTGCCCAGCACTGGCACCTTTCAACTGGCCCCCTGGTTAAAAAGTTTGAGGACCCCTGCCCTAGAGCTTCAGCCACATGCATGCCTTCTAAATGTGATACGCTCTGAAATGATGGTTACAGACCCAAAGCTGCCCACCTCCAAGGTCTATTTATTTATAAAATCTATTTCCCACGCTTTCAGTACAAAATAGTATTTCAAAGTCACCAAAAACTACAGATTTATCAGACCTAGAAAGAACTTTACCAATTACTACTTCGCTATATTTATATGCTGCTTTTTTTTTTCTTGCAAGGAACTCAAGGTTGCTTACATAATTCTCCTCTTCCTCTCAGTGTTGTCCTCACAACACAACCCTGTGGGATAGGTTGGGCTGAGAGTCTGTGATTGGCCCAAAGGCACCCAGCTGGCCCCATGGCTGAGAAGGGACAAGAACCCAGATCGCCTGAGTCCCTGTCCCGCACTCTTAACTACTACACCGCAGTGGCTCTCCTCTTTAGTCTAGTGGGATGTTTCAGCAAATAATATGGAGGAGGTGGCATTTGGTATTAAATCTTTTACATGCCATTAGGAGGCACATTATCCCCCAAATTATCAAAATTATCAGACTATCAACAGCTAGTGGTCATGATGGCTATGCATAACCTTTAACATCCAAGGCACTATGTACACCAGTTCCTCAGGAATGCAAGCAGAGCTTGCTACTGCATCACGTCCTATTTGTGGGTTTCCTATAGACCACTAGTTGACCACTGTAGAAACAGAAAGCTGGACTACACAGGCCATTGGTCTTATCCAGCATGGCTTTTGTTATACTTGTGTAGGAAGCGTGCCTAAGCCCCAGTTCTGGGACTGGGGGACAGTAATCTAGGCTGTGGCTATGCAACTAGGATGCAAGGCCATAAGCTGTCCACCTGTTACAATGGACAACCTGAATTTTCAATCCATTCATTCTTTACCTGTCTGCTCTGGCTCACTCTTATCTTCATCTTCTATGTCAAATTCAGACTCCCGCTCTTCATATTCTACATTTTCATCCAGTTCTTTAAAATCAGGTGCAAAGGCACTCCAGTTTTCCTAAACCATGAATTCAAAGAGTATTTCACCTCATGAACTATACAGTAGTGAGACATCTATATAATTGGATGTCTTAGCTCTACATCCAAATTACCACAAACTGCATATAGCATCACAAGACCAGTCATTCTTTAAGAGTCAAAGTCACAAGGTCTGCTAAACAAGTAGACTAGATAGTTGTATTGTATATTACTGTGTTAGGATATCTTTCATCCTTTTCCATATTTCTTTTCCTTCTCTGAGTGAAAGTGATGCTTTTAGAAGGATGCTGTTCTTATCGTGTAAAAACTTACATAAACATTGTAAGACTATTTAGAATTAATCAGGGCAAAGGATCACCAAAACTAAATAAAAATAAAATATAAATATAAGGGTTTTTTTTAGAAATATAAGAAAATGCCTAAGTATTACTACCTACCACTTGATTTTGAGCCCATATGGATACCACACCACTGGAAATGGAAGCAATGATTGGTCGAACAGGATGCCACTAGAAGACATAAATTGCAAAGAGAAGGTGGAATAGGGGATAAAAGTAGTATTTTTAAACGTCAGCTGATCCCCTGAGACAATCAATCCCCCGAGATAATCCCTTAACACTTACTGCTACATCTAGCAACAGCTCTCCTCTAGTGCCATGGAGGATTTTCACTAAATTTCCAATGCTTTTTTCCCAGATGTACAAAGCATGCTGACGTGCTGACCCTGCAACAATGTACTCTCCATCACCAGAGAAACAACATTTCTTCCAAGGTGTTCTGCAGAAATTAGAATTATCAGAACAAGTTAACTTGTACTACTGTAGGAAGAAGTTTAGAGTTCCTGAAAATTCCACTTTAAAAAGGCAACTGTCATGTGATGCCTCGTGTGTGATGGGGGTGTGGTATTCTGAAAATGAAGGCAACAAATTATTTTGTGTAAATTACATAAATTAGTTAAATTGGGATATAATTTTCCTAAATTCATTTCCTTCCTCTTACATCCCATACATGGTCTACATGTGATGATGATATTATGAACAAAAATATGCTGAAAAGTCTGTTAAGCACAACCCACAGGATGACTCCCTCAATGCTCAGAAGCCCCCAACCTCAGACCCGTATGAACATCCTATACAGAGTCAGGAGTGGCAAAGATAAAATCTGTCTCCCTGAAAGCTTGTATTCTGACCTCTGCAGTCTCCCCGCTCCCAGTGGAATGCTTTCTTTCCCATCCCGGAAGAGGCAGCCAGCACAGTTTTTTTCTGCAATGATCAATGCATAGATTGCCAGCTCAGAGGTTGGAGCTCTGACTTCAGATTGGGGACTCCAAATTATCCGATGGCTCCTGCTCCCAGATGATACTTAGGGGCTGTAGGTTTGATCTCCTAGTTTCCAATACCTAACCTAATATATCTTCCAGTAAGACTTCACTATTTTATGTTTCCTATCTTAAACCAATTATGTCTGGGAAAGGGGCATAGGATCATTCCCTTACAAAATACAATATAGAATCAATCAGGAAAGCTTGACATTTGAAGTCACAACACCTGGCCTTCTATTGCATTTCCGCAGACTCTGAAGCTGTGTTCAGTTCTCTGATCAGGAAGCAGGACAGAGCTGGACTTATGGAAAAGTACAGTTACTGGAGGATAGCTCAGTTAGCACAGAAGGAAGACTCTAGAGAAGTATGAGAAGGGAATAGCAACCACATTAAGCAAAGAACACTTATCATTCCATCTGGCTGCTTTGGAGGGAAAGGTGAGACAGAATTGCCATCAGCTTAGCTAAGATCAACACGACTTGGCTCATCCTGTCCCAGAAATATCATTGGCTGCATCAGAGATAGATCCCTCACCACTGTCCTAGCTGGGATCAAAAGCTATTTTCCTCTTTCTCCTCATCTTTGCAGTCCTTTCCCCCATTGTAGCATGTTTATTAGGATATTATTTTAAACCCTAAGCAGATTTGAGTGCACTGGCAGAAAGGTGGTATATTGATATAGTAAAAGACATAAATTATCTTAACATTCTAATGCAATGTAAGTTTCAGGAGTCTCCTCAAGTCACAGTATACTATATCACTCTCAATTACAAGCTTACATGATACTGTGCATGTTTACTTGGAAACAAGTCCCACTGTATTCAGCTGAGTATGCAGAGACTGAAACTTTGGGCATGTGTATAAGGCATCCTGTCTCACTGCAGATGAGACCCAGAAGCCCTTCTGTTAGTATTCTGGAGGAAGTGCCTCTGCAACTATAATCAAAGAAACAAAACCTCTGAAGGTAAAAATCCTTAATAAAGATGTTTGTTTCTCAAGCTTGCAAAGCTGCATGTAAAATCAGAGGACAAACTTAAGTATTCTACAATGAATTTTGAATAACACAAGCTAAGTTTGGACCCTTGCCTCAGATAGGTATTTTCTTCACGTTCTTACCTGTTCACCAAGTCCTGTAGTTTTTGCATTGGTTCTGGTTCTCCATCCCTACCACAGGTTAAGATTTCCCGACCATCATAGACTCTGATTATGCGATCAGCAGTATTTATTAGAAAACAACTGAGGAATGGAAAAGAAATGCTAAATACTGTCATGGTATCATGCATTTTAACTGTATGGCTAAGCCATTATTTTTACAGTATGTCAAAGAATTCTTTTAAGATATACCCAAAGATTTGGATCTACTCAATGGGATAGCTGACTTCTTTTCCTTGAACAGCAGCCATTTGAGTCATAGCACAAGCTGCTTTTTTTCAGTTTCAACAGCAATTTGCTATGTGGCATGGGAACTGCACTTCAAGAAAGCTTAAAATTTCCCTGGACATGCAGAACTGTTTAGAGATTTCTTTAGCTTTCCGCCATATCATTTAATCCTCCTTATTGCTTTCTTTTATAACAAAGCATGTTATACCAAGTTATGATATCTGTACCATTCCAAATTTCATCTGAAAAAATATTTTTGATTAGTCTGAGAAGCAGCAAAAACCATGCAAGTCCTAAGCCTGCCCTATAATTAATCCAAATAGCCTAAACATTGTTATCTGTAAACTTGGCCAAACATCAGTCAGTCAACCACAAGACTTAAAGTTTCCAATGCCATAGGCAGGATCATGTTTTTAAAGTCAAGCAAAAAATAACCCCATGAGTAAATGCTGTCATGTAACAACCCCAATGAATTTAACTATCTACACCCCAGCTGCTTTCAGCATCAATTAGGACAATTAAGTATCTGAGAAGGGATGGTCAGAGTTCCACGGCAGAGCACGTTTTGCAAGTAACCAAACTCAATCCCTGACATCTGTAATTAAAAGAATCAGATGGGTGAAACCCCTGCTCAAGACCCCTAAACTACTGTAGGTAACATATCTATGAGCTGCACACAGCTTCCAATCTCATCCTACTTTCCTTTTTTTAATGGGTGAAGGGTGCTTGTAGTGTCTATGGAGTACCTAGTCACAATCATCTTTGTTACCATGCTAATTCTGACCCTTATGGAATCCTGTATCCTCTATGAACACCATTTAGAAAAGAGTTTTTAAAATAAGCACCTGGAAAGGAGTCTGAGTGGGAAAATAGACTCTGGACTTTCCCCAGCCCAGCTTAAATACTTCTTTTTTCCTATAAAGCTAGTATCCTGCATTTCTTCTCATTAGCAAATTGAGTTTTACTGTTGTCTCATAAAAGCTTTCCAATTTATAGTTGTCCTTATACCTTTGGAAACAAACCATACTGACTTTTTCAAACAGCAGTCACTTGATATAAAGAGAAGGCAGCAGGATGATACCTGCTGGCTCTGTCCCAAGTGTTCAGTTTTACATGCATAACATAATTTGTACATCCTACTAAACTCACAGAGATTGGTGAGAAGCCAGTGCACATTATCTTGTGCCACCCCAGTATGCATATAGCAAATAAAAGTTTGAACATGTGAGTAAGTCTAAGTCTCCAACTTACCTTCCTTTTCGAGCAAATTCTATGGATTTAATAGCTGTAGTGTTACTGGTTCCTGTAGTTACTCTAAAGGAAGCAACAAGATCTTGTGTATCTGTTTTTAAAACCAAGATCTAAAATATAAGCAAGAAATATAATTGATAAATCTCCTTGTAGCTTATTCACCACATATTCTTTTAGCATTGATTAGAAATGCAACTAAAATCTGCACAGATATTGAAGTGTTATTATTAGTCTAACTTCTACCAGTGATTTATGAGACATTAAGCAGTGGAACTAGTCATGTTTTCTGGTCTCATCAACAACAACAATTAATGAAAATGCTATACATTTAAGATGGTGAATGTTAAACAGTGAAATTCTGGAAGAATGTGACACTGGATTAGATATTAGAAACTTTATTCCTGTGCAGCCAACTCCAAGCTGGATCCAGTCTTATAAAACGATATATCTCCAAAAGAAAATAGTTCCTTTGTATTTTGAATATAAAATTAAATTCAAAAGGGTTTTGACCTTTGCTTTTGTGGTAGCCACCTAGTGTTATACATTTGACTGCTGAAGTAGAATGAAAAATGTCAAGATTTTTGTTTGGGGAAAAAACACAAGGAACCTATAAAAGCAGTGGAAAACAGTGCAAAGAAAAAACAGGCAATGATGGAGCCAGCTTTCTCTGGAGTGAAAGACAAGATGATAATAGTATGTCAAAGATCTTTTTTAATGTGATTTCTGTCTTTTCTTGGAAGTGGGCAAACTTAAGTCATACATAGCTGGATACTTCCTCACACCAAACAAGGAATTGTATCTGATATACTTTTGCTAAAAAAGACATGTGTATATCTGCATTATCTCTTAAATCAATGCTTAAAGTATACTTCAGTGTTAAAACTTAATTGGCCAGGTCTTATCCAATCTAAGTTCAATTATGACTGTTATTTACAGTTTAATGTTCTTTCTACTGATTACCTGTTCCAAATATGAGGAGGAAAGAATCTAGTCACCTGCTTCTAGTGACCATATTATGCCAGTACTGCACTATCTTTTCATTAGCTCCCAGTTTATTTCTGGGCCAATGCAAGATGCTGGCACTAACCTATAAAATTCCTCATGTTTTGTGCCATATTGTCTAAAGACAAGAGAGTGGTGAAGAACACCTCTGTCCATATGTTCCTGCTTTGTCCCAAGATGATCATCTCAGGCTCTGTTCAGTGTTCTCATACTGAAGTTGAATGGGTAGCTAATCATGAGCAGGGTGATTCTGCAGTGGCCCTCAAATTGTGAAATGATGAGTGCCAATTTTGCTGACTTTTCAATCCTAGTCAAATACTCTTTTATTCCCTCAGGCCTTAAAATTAACTGGCACTTGTTTCATTTTCAATGATATGTTTAAAACTACATTTTAAAACCACTCTTTCCTTTATCTATTTTCTTTAAATTGTCCTTAGTGCTTAGAAATTATTTTATTATGCATTTTGTCATTGGTTTTATTCTATTTGTTTTCATTATATATGTAAACACTGAGAGCTTCAACTGCAGGGTGATTGATATGTCAAATAAACAACTCAACCTGGGATTCACAAAGAATATTGTTTTTATCAGTTCTATAGCATGCAATCCTATGCACATTTCCTTAAAATTTCACTGTATACAAACATATAGTACGTGCTAAAGTGGAATTCTACTATGTCTATCAAGAAGTAAATCGTGAGTACATTAGGGCCTACTCTCAGGTAAGCAAGTATAGGATTGCTGCATCAAAATTATTATTATTACTTATTGCACTTCTATACCACCTGTAGCCAAAGCTCTCCAATGTGCACCTACCTGGAAGCAACCTCACTGATTTCTTATTGACCTAAACATCTTTAAACTGCACACGCTTTTGAAAAGGCTCCTTTAATTCATACATTTAAAACAAAATGTCAAACACAAAAGAGTTAAATTCTCTACCCACTATAGATCAGTGACTTCTTACCTTCCCTTTAGCATTCCCTGTATAGATATATTCCCCCCGCCGATCAAAAGAAGCCACTACATTCAGATCAGAATCATCATCTACTGGCAGGACAACATGTTTTGAATCAGACAATGTCAACATGACTGGTGCAGACTTCATTGGACATACCAACACCCTGTTCCTAATGTAGGAAACAAGAAACGAATGTTTAATTTTTCCCCATTCTTTCCTGAAGCCTTCATGCTCCGATTCAGAATATATAAATTTCATTGTCTTTTTGGTTATAATTGGAAAGAAAACTCATATTGCTAACTTGAAGGCTGCCAGAATGACCCAAAGTGCAAAGTTCCTATAATTTCCTGACAAACGGAAGCACATTTCCTCTCCAGAGTTTAACAGTATGTTCTGATGCTTGGAAGAGACAGTAAGGCTCACAGGCAGGAGCCAGAAAGAGATTGGGGTGCCTGGGAGAATTCAGATGGCACAACAAACAATTGTGGTAGGTACAAGCCCTAGAGCAGATGGTTGTATCTTATTGTATTAGTTTACCAGTCTTTATAAACAAACACAGAAATACACACTAGTCAATTTAAGTTGTAACAATTGTGATTTAAGTTTAAAACACAATAAAAAGAAATGTCATAATAACACAAATTATAAGGTGCAAACATGATTAACACAGTCAATAAACTAATTGGACTTCCAAAACTGCTCTAGAAAAAGATCTGTGACAATATTACTTACTGATCTCGGGGATGATACTGGACTTTCAGGATAGGTGAAGGGAAACGAAACCTTTGGTCACAATCACCAGTCAGAACATCCCACTGAGATACCATATTATCTGTTGATGCACTCACCAATTTGTGACCATCTCTACTCCAACTGGAAGAGAAAGATTTTGCTATCAAAATATCCCCCTTTCTTCTATACCCATTCCCCACATTAGAAAGCTACTGGATCATATAGGCTTGCACTTCCTGCAGCAGTCCATTCCTAAAATTGTCTTCCAGTCAGAAGGATTCTATCAAATCAATTTACTTCCAAGTAAATGACTTAGAGTGGAGCATCAATATACTGTCTTTAGAAAGTATAAAATGGATCATCTGTGCTGGGAGCTCTAATTTTAACAAACCTTCACACTGCGGAAGACAGTGGTCTAAATGAGGGGTGAACATCTGGTCTACCAGGCCTTCTTTTTCGGATAGGACACATTCCATCTCCTATTTCTATTCTATACTAATCCAGCCATGCAGAAAGAGATCAGTTTCTTTCTGCATCACCAGATCACCCAAGAGAAAAAGAAATACAGAGAGAGGGGGACAGAACAAGGAGAAGACATAGTGAGAGTCAAAAAAAGGGAAAAGTAGAGGAGAAAGCGGAAGAGGGAAGGCAAGTGGGAAAACAAAGAATTTGGTTTTGACTCGACCTTCTTCTGGCTCTGTCTTCACCCACCATTGGTATGCAGCACCACAGCAGGTTATACAGACTTGGATGTAGCCCTCAAGCTGAAAAAAATTACCAGCTCTGCTCTATACTGTTAAAGATGTGACTTCATTTAAACAGTTTTTATAGCAGAGTAGAATGTTGACTCTAAAAATCTTTGAATGCACTATTTATAATAAAAAGACTATAGGTTTCCTATTAAATACACCAATGCGCTGTTCTTTATCTGCTGAAAATAAATACAAAGTCTAAAAGTTAACACTTAATACATGCAGGACAGACTCAATTTTTGACCTTAGCTGCATGCATGTTACTTTTATATAAGATTGTATTTGTATTAAAATATTTTCTTACCATAAAGAACAGACTGGATGGATATGGGCACTTATAATTTTTGCAATGCCCCTTGTCAAAAAGTCCCAGATGACAATTCGGCCATCATTACATCCCACTGCTAGGAGAGTGCCCCACCTATTAAAAGTACATGTAAGGGCCATACTAATACAGTCCAGCGTGCCATCAGCTTCCTGAAACAGAGAAAGGTATAGAAATAGTTCAGCAAAGTTTCATTTTTTTAAGCTACATGACCAGCATGCTTTACCCCTTTGAACCTGTCTTGTTATTTGGAAATCACCCAGAAATTCAAGGCACAGTATTCATATAATCAACAACTAGACATTGAAAGGATGCTAATTTTAAGACAGGTATACTTGTTTGATGCATTTTAACATACACATTACACTTTAGCAAAAATCTGCCTTCTGCTTTAAACGTAACAAAACACGGTCACAAGACAAGCAATGAAAAGGCATTTACCTCTGGATAATTCTGTCCAAAGGATTCTGGGAAAAGAACAGAAACATTAAGCATAAGAGAAGTTAAATGTTGTATTTTTTGTCATATTCAACACTCTAACCACAAACACCACAGTGGTTTTCTAATTACTTAGAAAAGATGCAAATCTTTATTTATGGGGTTTTTCAGCTATTTTTAGGTTACTGATTTTTACATATATTTTATGATGTATTGTAATTTTTGGGATTTTGTTACATTATTTGCAAACCAACAAATATGTTGAAAATGAAAAGAAAGTGAACTATTGGGGGAAGAAATATGCATCATAAGATTACTTTTGAAAAACTCAGGGCCAGGCTGTCACCAATGGGATATTTTTTCTTAGGACTGAAGCAAGAATGGAAAGGATCCCCACATACCTGCTGGAATCCCAATACACAGTCTCCCCTGCACACACAGTTGATACCTGGAAGTTTTATTTTAATTTGTGCATTATTCATGAAAAACATTATATAAATGTTATAAATGCAAATACAAAGTCACACTGAAACCTGGCTTTTCCATATTAATCTATGGACATTTTTAAAGTAAATGCTCATGACTCTGAAACAAGAAGTTACACTAGGCAACTATTTTGCCCTTTCCACCTTTTTGGTCACTGAGAATAAGCAAAGTGACAACATGTTTAGAATTAGGCATCTAAGTACAGCTGTTATAAAGTAAATCCCTTTGAAAGAAGCGGGTTGAACATCCACACAAATACTGCTAGGACTGGATCGTACACAGTCTCCTAAAAAGCTTTCATTAAATTCTGAGAAAACTGATTAGGAAACCAAATTGACTGATATGGAACATGCTTTCTAGGGAATAAGTGTTTTCTGTGCTAAAATGTTCTATAATACCGAATAGATTAAGATATATTGTATATGATGCAATCCATGGGATTGTATGATAGGTAACTAAGCACAGCACAGCGACGAACAGTGTAACCCTAGACCTGTGCACTCAAAAGTTGCCCCCCTTCAGTTCAGCAGAGGCTTCCTGTCGAATAAGTGAACATATACGATAGAAGCCTAACTTCAGAAGGTGACTTCGGCCCCAGGAGACTAGACGATTGATCAGCACTAGTAGGGCTGCCGTGGCCACAGAGTCAAGGCTTCCAGATTGTTTGGCCTAGCAACCGCGGAGGAAAGCAGAAAGGAGACCCGGCCAGGACCTTAGAGTGCCAACTTGCCAGGGTGGTCATGTGGTGGGGAGCGAGGTGAAAAACTAGGGATCGATACGCTACTCGCAGGCCCACGAAGCGTTATGTGCGCGGAATGTTGTGAAGGAGGCCCACGAAGCGTGAGTGCCGCCCACGGTCAGTTTCACTCTCGCACTTGGGGCGAACTAAAGGGCAATTGTGCGAACAGCGTGAAGGGAAAGGAGACCCTCCAACAAAGAGGTTCTCCCCGCTCAGAAGCAGAAAAACCCTTCCGGCTTCCCCACCCCCTGCTCAAGGCTCGGATGCTCCAGCACCTCGATACCTTCCAGGCCAAACACCCTCGCCCCATGTTTGCTCCTCAGCCCAATTCCCAGCCGCCTCCTTTCGCTCGTCGCCTCCCAGCCCCCGTTCCGCGGACATGCAAAGGTTACGGAGCACTCCACAAACCGACTTAAAGCCACGCACCAAGTAGTTCCAGATTCATCTTGGCCACTTTCTCGTTCCGTCCGATCCCGCTCGGGAACCGAGGACCCAGGGGTCCTCACGCCAAAATGGCTGTCCTCAATCAGCCTGATAGAATAACTACTCATTCCCTTCGCAGGACTTCGGTTCCTCTCTCAGAATACACGAAATATTGCGCTCGATGCTCACTTTCGCAGCTCCGGGGAAGAAAGGAAGCAATGTTGCGGGAGAGGCTCTCAGGCCCGTAGAGGAAGCAGGCAGAGGCAGGGACAGCTCAGCCCTTGGAGTACTTCGAATAAAAACACCGACTTGGAGCAATGAGGAGTGTGAAAAGGGTTCCGGAATACTTTATTGGGAGAGTTCTAAAAGGATGCTTTAGAGTCTACAGTTTAGACCAACAGCATCTTACCAAATGTTTGGGGTTTCTCTGTGGTAAATTGCTGGCTTTATTTCTCCTTCTGGGTGTTGAAGCCTTTTAAAAGCATTTTTGACACAATGCCCTAGAATGGTCGTTCCCAGGTTTAAGCCTACCCGTTCCGTCTCTAGAAGTTGGGAATCAAAACTGATATTACTTTGTGTAATATCCGCGCCCCAACCCCCGCTTTACTTTTTTCTTTTTTTAAAGCTCTACAGTAGATTCTTGTTGGGGCTCCTACACCTACTAGACACAAGTTTAAATTAACGTCTATGTTGCCCCTCTAAGTGTTACTTAATAACACGTTCTCCTTCAGAAGACGGTGCGAGGCAGACGATTGCACAGTGAATGAACACAGTGTACAGCTAATAGAAAAGCACCTTTGCTGTGCTCGGGTGGTCATGATGTTGAGGCAATATGGATGGTGCACTTATTGGTGTTCTCTTTGTTTTGTTGGGAACTGCTTGACGTATATTGAAATGCTCTGTACGAGTAGAGTGGTTGACAAACGATCAGGAGTCAAATGCTGGAGGGCAGTGCGAAATAACTGAAAATGCATTGCTCCGTAAAGCTGAGGTGATTTTTCTTCGTTCAGAGGTGCTGAAATTAAAACTCATAGTATAGTTGTATTTATTCTCTACCATATTTTAATTTTGTTAGAAAAAGATTACAGCCAAATCATTCATGTACCTAAAAATGCTACTATTAACTATTTCTTGTCATTATTCACAAAGTGTTCTGTATTAACTGTGTTGTCTGAACCCAGCCTAGATAACAAACTATGGTAAACAACCCACAGGTAATTACTGAACAAACCATTGACTCATGACTTGTTAGAACAACTAGATTCAGATAACATAACCTAGGATTCAATGACAACTCAGATACAACCACTGAGAATGACTTATTGTCTTGTCTGAAGCCAGTGAATGTTATTATTCCCACCTTCTTAAATCCAATATGTGGAGGACAAGAGGCAAAATATCTATTCCCTACTTGTCCACAACGATCATCAGCTGTGTGTTCTTTAGATGTTAGATATTTCCATGGATCTGATGTAGCTGTCCAGGTGCCCCCCACCCCCACCCCAATTGTAGTTTGACCTATTGCAAAGGTCTGGAGCTGATAAATACATTTAAAATAAGAGGAAATCCAATTTCCCATCGTCATTATTAGTCACCATGACAGTCAAAACAGAAGTAAGACATTGTTTTCTGCCATGCTTTGGCAAGTTTCAGTGGTAAGGATATTATTACCTCTCTAGTGCATGTTCTGACTTAATAAAAGCATAAGACTGAAGAGAGCACCATAGTTAAATGTTGACTTTAATGCCTGTGGACAGAGGCTATTTTCCCACTTATTTTTCTGTGGAATTGGGGGATGGGTTGCAATTGAAAGCTCTGTGACTGCATTCTATAGCCATAAAACTGGGACTAAAACTGTTTATGAACTATTTATATTTAGGCAACTTCAGGACTTCTAGTACCCATGTCTCTTTGATGGATAAAAATCCACTTTTGTGCTTCTGCTCTTCTGCTGTTAACTTTTTTTAAAGCCTAATGCACTGCCTTTGCTTCTGAGAGGAAGTGATAAATTTAAGTATTACCCCCAGGTATACTTCTCCCTCTCCTGTAGGTTTCATTTTAAAGCCCTCCAGATAAACTTCTCCATGCTGTGGCCAAATGCATTCTTTCCAGTCCTTGTAAGATGCAACCCATCCCCTGCCAGGAGTCCATCTCCCAGGGAATATAGGCTGTGGTCCCAGAATCTTTCATGCTTGTACCACCTTAGTAGCCAGGCAGTCACTTTGCATATTTTATTCCCACCTATTCCTCTTCCAAGAACTGGAAAGATTGAAAAGAGATCTGGGCCCCCAAATGCTTGACTTCCTCAAAACTTCAAAGCCTGATATGACTTCTTCAAAGCTTCACTTGGCAGAGTTATTTGTTCCCACGTGTATAAAAAGAAAGGGATACAGGTCAGTGGGCTTTATGAGCCTTGGATATCCTTCACTAATTTGTCCTCCAGGGATGTCTGATGAGTCCATGGGTCTTCATGTCTTCAAGCACCCCCGGTAGGCCAACCATGGATAAATCCAAGAAAAGAAAAGTTTCAGAAGAAAACAGAATGTTTAATGGTATGTGGGAAGATTCATTAGCTTTCACTGCTGACGAGACTGGTTTACCAGTATGCTTAATATGTGGTGAGAAACTGGCAAACAACAAAAAGTCAAATGTTGCAAGACATTTCCAGAATAAACACACAGCCTTTGCTGAAAAATATCTGGATGGAGATGAGAGAAAAAAAACCATTTCAGAACTGAAGCGGAAGGTTGATCTGAGCAAAAATTATAATTTAAGTTTGGCTTTTTATTTCATAAATACGAGGACTCAGACAGACATTGAGTATTTTATTTGAAAGTAACCTTCAACCCAGCATCTTTTTTTCAGAGTTCAAAATGTTTTTGTTGCATGCAGAAATAAAATTTTGTTTTATCTGTAGCAGTTCACTGATTTCATAAATGCAAACACACTATAGTTTTTTTATACATAGCATAAAGGTAAAACACGATATATGCAGTGTTATCTTCATTTTAGATGTCAAAAGGGTTTTGTGGCTCCCGGTGTTTTCTTTTCTGTGGGAAAACGGTCCAAATGGCTCTTTGAGTGTTTAATGTTGCCAATCCCTGCCCTAGGCGATACTAATTCTCATTTTAAGTAGGTTTAATTGCTCAGTGCCCTCCCATGTGGAGATTTGAGCAACTCAAAATCTGCAATATTTAACTTACAATACTATTGAAAGAGTAAGTCACACAAGGAGCATAAAACGTTAATGCGACCTTTATTATACAGCACAACACTTCTGTGCATTCTATCGTCTATTAAAACAGACCTTCATTATGGCACTAAATGAAGTCTTGACTCACAGTCGCGTCTCTTAAAATACATATAATGGAGGGGGGTACTGAAGTAGAGAGGGAATTAGTATTACAGAATACAAGAGAAATATTCTTATTTGCATTTCCATGTTATTGCACTTTTCCTATACAGTTGGTAAGTTTGTTATCTTTGCCTTTAATACTAATATACATCAGGTTTTTTTAAGTAGTACAAACTCAATAGGCATTACAATGGAACTGTACAACTCTCTCATGTTTCTCCCTCCCCCAACAGCTAAGTGTAACAGTGGACCATCAGTTTAACAGAACCAAAACAAAGGAAGCATTAAGAAGTTTAAGAAATGCAGTGCTATGTATGACCCTGAGGGAGTTTCACATATAGATGTGCTCCTATTCTCCCCGGAGGAAAAAAATCATAATATTAAGAGTTTTAAAATAAGGATGACAACTAGGTAAGAGACCAGTGGATACAGAGGAAGCATTATGTACATCTCTATACATGAAAGGAGCTCAACCCAGAACCACATTAAATAAATAGGGATGCAGCACTGATGTTCCGCCCATTAATATGTCACCCTGCAAAAGCCAACATTCAAGCATCTCATGACCCTCCGAACAATGTCATTGGGAGTGGAGGGCAGGGCAGAGAGAAAGACTAACAAAACAGAAGTGCTAAAAGAAGTAAATGGAATAGCTTCCTACTTCATTAGGCTAACTAGACAAGCTTGTATTGTAAAGTCAAGTCACCATTAATAAAAGAAGTGGAAGAAAAAAACCTGTCAGTTGCCAAATAAAAACTTGTACAATCCACTTGACTAGGCAGCAATGTGATAGGCAACAGTAATGCACCAGTAAGCTGAAGGCAACACTCCAGCACCCACAACATGACAGTCGTACATTGCATTCAAGCCTTGCATTAGCAGCTAAAGTTTAGCTCATGCAGCTCCTATGTAGTGTTTGTCCAGAGCCAAAATGGCCAGTTTCCAAAGCAGAAATAAGCAGTACCCTGGTAATTGATCAATTTTGAACAACTCCATCTTTGAACTATCAGCTGCTAGCACCAACATGGACACTTTGATCCTTTCAGCTCTAATTTCTGCAGGTATACTTACTTTGTAAACAAGCTCAATTTATATTTCCAGCTCTAAGGAAACCTCTTTTGGAGCACCTGTTTCAGCCAACAATAGGTGGCAACATGTAAACCTTGAACAATTCAGTAAACAGTTTCCTTCTAGATATAAAACATAGTGGGTGATGAAGAATGAATTCTAGTAAACTGTGGTTCTGAGAGAAGGAAAAACTTGTATTTTAAAGTATAACATTTTACATGGACACAACAATAATTTTTAAAGAAATATCTGTTGTTATGCCTTCAACAGATCTCTTGGTTAATGCATTTGCAGTCACTAAATTAAGATGACAGCAGCGATAGTTGCTCTGCATTCACCGATGGCCATCATTTCCACCACAATATCTATGGTGACTCCTTAGCTTCTCCCTATAGCTTTATGTGAACGTATTTAGTGTGTTTACTTAAATGCTTCATTCTTAGGCCACAAGGGTAGTACTATTATAAGGAAAATATATAGCATTGCTAATATGGCATGGGTTTTATTTTAAGGAGTAGAACCTTTAAACAGCACAAAACTCACCTGTTCTTGTTGAGCATTTCAGGAGCTATGGATTCTGCTTTAGGATTGATCAAAGTAACAAAATGTATGTCCAACAAAGAAGTGCATGCATGGTTGTACACTGCAGGAGGTGTATGGAGCCAGTTTTGTGAAACTGAGGAATAACTTTTGACTCAGGTTTTTTGTTTTTGTGTTTTTTCAAAGGCACAGGGCAAAAGATGTAGGAAGTAGCTGCTTGGGAAAAGCTATACAACTCATTTTCAAATAGTTTTATTTATTTTATTTTACATAAACTATGTCTATACTTGCAAAAATACTGACCTAGACCCTAATTCTAAACAAGGTCATTAACCACTGTAACACAGAGTGAATGGATATGAAATGAATAATACTGTCAAGTGACTGGAATGGTGGTCCAGAATAATTTACATAAGTGACATTTCTATGACTTCCTAGTTGAGAATGTGTGCTTTTCAGTGAGGATAGTTGGCAGCTATTGCTGCTCATTTCAGTTCAAGATGCCAAATGCTACAATTTGTGGAAAGAAGTGCCGATACAGGTTAAACCACCATGTAACAATGAATGCCCATTCAGTAAAAGCAATCATTTTAAAATCATGATTTCAATTTTATTGCACACACAAAAAGGGTTTGTTTAGGCTAATGAGCAACTTTGCGGGGTTACTTTTGTCTCTAGTGATTTATGTAAACAGGCAAAAGGCTGCATTTCTGCTCTTTACAACAGAAGCAACCCCAGAAGCAAAGTATTATATGTTGTAGGTTTGATTGGCTTAGCAGAGTAGATTATCCTATGAATATGGAACTGGTGCATGTCTCATTGCATGAAAGATGGAGAATGTGGTTACACATCTCACTCTTCAAACATCTGAAGAAACATTCACAATTGGTCCTTTTCCTTACCCATGCCAGGTTCGTTCTCCATTTCAGACTACACCCCCATCAAAACTTTGTTATGCTAAGAAGCTAGTTCTTGCACTGGCAAATGCAAAGAATACTTATGAAGGGTATGTAGACTTCATTGGAAAGAGTCCTTCATTTAATATGTATCTGAACTTTCTTCTGCATGGGTTCCCTGCAATGTACTCCTAGATTAAATACAGCCATATGACAAACCCCAAGGAAGTAAATGATGGTCAGACATAGCAACCATGCATATCTATGGAATAAAGGCAAGTTTCTTAGATACTTTTCAAGGGAATGGCTTAAAAATAAACAGCTGAAGAAATCTTTTAAAATGACCTGTCAATATTAGAGTTTAAAACAGTCATTGCCTTTATACTTAGTACAAAACAAAAAAGAAATTCTGTAGTTAAAAACAGGATCTACTAATTTCCATTGGGTAGCAACAGTAGTTACTAATAACCTGTGTTTCTATTTCTGTATGTGCAAAGTCTTTTGGTGGAGTACCCATCTTGCTATAAGATTGTAATTAATACAAAATGTCATCTTCAGTTGGATGTCTGACGACTTGCTATTAAGCATTTACCAAAAAGAGCTTGGTTCACATGACAGATAGCTTATACCTTTGGGTATACCATTGCAGTGCGGCTTTCCCCTTATGAGTTTGGATGCTTTGATCCATCCATGTAAACATACCAAGTATTATCGGAAGTCAACATTAGCTCATTCCCCTCAGAGTCCATGTTGCTAAAATTAGCAGGATTGCCCTCTCTGTGAAAGGGATACAAACTTATTTCTTCCAAAAACCACATTCATGTGTGAGAAATTCAGGGAAGCCGATAAACAGACTGCTAGCAGACTGTAGCTGAAGATGCAAATGTGCTGGCTGCCAGAATTCTGAAACACACAGTGCTTTTTCCTTTAGTGCAACCTGAATGGGATAAGCAAAATTCCTTCCAGACAAAGAGGACTGAATTCCCCATCTTTTGATTTGCTTTTTAATAAAGGAAGGAAGCACTGGCAACTTGCATTAGTAGTGTGTACTGGGAATCAATGTCTCTGCCTGCTGTGTATGAGGTGGAATTATGATATTCTCTTGCATAAGAGCACAACTTTTTTTGGCTGGTCTCTTCCAAAGAGATACGTCTTGAGTTGCCAGTGGCAAGATGGGGAGCAGAGTTATCATCTAGTAAAACAGTTCCTACAAAACTTCATTTTCAAGTAGAATCATCTAACCCTTTGTTTAACTGTTCCGAGTTCAACTTGCAAAGTCTGTCCATTATACCCTGCAACATGGGCTGGACTATACCTAGGAGTGGGCGCTGGGAAGGATCCCCATCCCAGCAGGCTTCCATCAGCTGCCAACATTCCTCATCAAAAATGGGAAGGCGTTCAGGGCGTACTCCTGGGAAAAGAGAACAAGAACATTTATTTGATGAAAGGAGAAACATGTCTTGATCTCAACTTTTCCAGTTTTGCTCTTGCAATGATCCAAGTAGTTTCATCTGGCCACTGGGATATCTGTTCCAATTTGGACAAAGGCTCTGAGCAGCATTAGGAAACATCTCCAATATGCATGAGTAGTACTTGCATAAGTAATCTGTTCAGATGTAGTAGGAAGATAAGGCTCCCCCTACTTATAGAAGTTGCTGTTGACAGTAAGCTTTTCCAGCACTGTTCACATGAGCAGACCGTGAGCCTATTTTCATACATTAAGTATCAGCTCTTAGAAATACAAAAACTGCAGCCCTGAGCAAGTTCCAATGAAGTCAGTAGACATGCATAGGATGGTGCAGTAAATTGTTAAATTGCATATTTTTGCTAGTTTATCTATTACATCAGAGGAGGTCAACTTTGCTGCATTGGAGGCTCACATTCACCTCCCTGAAACCCTCCATGGTCCACAGCTTGTCCCAACTATTGGAAAAGGCTACACAATAAGATTCCTAGCAATTCTGCTATGAAACAAGGCATGTGGGGAGTGTGCATCCATTATCCCAGAAGAATCACATTCCCTACTGCTGCCAAACACATGTTCTGTAGGCTGGAAGAAGCATGTTTCTCCTGCAAAACAATCTGTGCATTTCCCATGCATCTGGTATTACAGTAGAATAGATAGGGATCCAACAGTGCGGTAGCAGAGGATTTAGTGGGGGGACAGACCATGATTTGCCCGCCCCTGCATTACATGTTATGTTCTGTAACTGATTTTCACAGCTGTGACTATCCATATGGTAGATTTCCTAGGAAAAGTGAAGAGATGGGAAATCATGGGAGATTAAAGCATGTAGAAACGATGAGTGATTAATACCATATTTTAATACCAGATGCTGCTATGCAGCAGGCCACAGTAATTCTGCGAACATCTAATATAATTTTCACACAGACCATATTGCAGTCCCAAATGATGTGCAGACTTTACATTTTATATTCTCCACTCCAAGCAACAAGTTCTTAAATACTTTAAAGGTGAATGAACATACTGCTGGATTTTTTAAAGGATCATTCAAACATTTTTTTCAAACTCATGCATGACTAAATTATCATTGCCTTGCTTCAAGTAAGCTTTAAGCTTGTTCTAACTAGCTTAAAAGTGGTATCCTATGTTCTTATAAAAGTGAAGTCTAATCCTAAACTCTGAAATCCTAGTTCTTAAAAGCTGTCATCTGAAAAGAGCAGATGGAATTAAATACAGGGGTGTTTGTTTATATTTTGAACTTATATCCTGCTTTTCCATCACAGCCATCAAAGCAACTTACAATTTAGTAGCAAGAACACACTAGCAGTTTTTTGTGCATAGCACAGCAGGACTACTGGAAAAACAGAAATGCTCACTGTGCTATAATGAAATTAAGTCACAAAAGCAATGGTTTAGAGTACAATTTTACTCAGAAATAAGTTTATTCATACTCAGTGGAACTTACTCTTAGGCTGTGTGTGTACAGGATTGCAGCCTCAGTTTTACAAGCTATAAGCCAGTGAGGTACGGAGCATGTTTTACCATTAGAGCCGTATTTCCAAGCAGGTTTCCTTCCAGGTGCAGCATACCAGTTACAGGGATATCAAAGGCATATACAATCCCCTCTCACATTCACACACACATTTAATCTTTATCCCTCCACTTTTTTACACACACTTCCCCTTTTCTCTCCCTCTGGAGCTAGTTTTATTTTTATTTTTTTATTTATATTGTGATTTATATCCTGCCTTTTTCCTACAAAGGGCTCAAGGCAGCTTACATCATTCTCCTCCTCCTTCTTATCCCCATAACAACAACCCTGTGAGGTAGCACTTACCTGAAAAAGACTAGACAAGAACCTCTTCCCCTTTGGGAAATCATACTTTAGTTTTGAGATGGGCAGGAAACAAAAGCGATTTGAGAGGAACAGGGATGAAGAGGAAATCAGAGCAAATCTTCACAAGGATAGAGCTACTGCAGCAGCAACTCTTGGACGGACAAAGAATCTGAGTGGCTTCTATTTGAACTCCAAGATGTTTACAAATTTCAGTCTCTCAATTTCAATTTCTATGTTGAAGCTGCTGCAGTATGACACAGCAAGCTAGCATAAAAGTGCCAAAAAGAAATAGATGTACAGAGTGGCAGAAGTTTGCAAAAGCCAAATTTGATATCTTGCCAGTGCTGCAGCACAGAATACCAGTCTCCTTATTCTTCAGCCAGCGTGAGTCCTGACTTCAGAGGAGTAGAAAGACCCAGCATTCTCCCTGCTCCACTTCGGCTCCCCTGACCCTCAAGTTGCTTAGCCACATTGAGTCTCAAACAAGAAGTCTCTATCATATTATAGGAGCATTTTTCTTTAGCTCCACAGTGCAGCTTTCACACAAGGGAAGGTGGCAAGCAGAAGCGAGATACACAAGGACAGAACGAGGTATATTTCACCGTTGAGGGGATGTGGCCTGTTGAAAGCACTGGCAGGTTGGTCTGAAAGGTCTTTTGTTCCTACTCTGGTGCAAAGGCTGGAGATCCCCCACTACAACTGTTAGCCTTCAAGAAAAGCCTGAAATTATATGTGAACACAGCAGAATATAGGAGCTATTCCTCTTCCTTCTGTTTCTCTCATCCACCATATCTGCTTCAGTTTTCGCAGCTATTCTGAACAGCAGCAGCAGCAGCAAGAGATGCAAGGACATTGCTACCACTTCCATACTACCTTATTTAGGTTCTTCTGAAAACTACCACAAAGCACTTCACCCATGGAAAGCCTCATTGCAATGGAAATCTGTGCTCCATCTTCAGTTTTGCAGAATTAGCACCCACTAACATGCCTTTAAGGTATAATCCTATGCATATTTGGACAGAAAAATGTCCTGCAATTCCCAGCGTATGCCAGTGAGCCATGCTGCCTGGGGCATACAAGGAATTGTAGAGCTTTTTCCATCTAAACAAGCATTGGATTGCTCCCCTAGCATATCACGGAATATGAGAAGATACTGGGTGCTTCCAAAGTTTTCTTCAGGAAGGGATACCATCTGTACTGCATTGAAGGAGGTGTTGGACATTGTCCTGAGTTTCAACAGCTGGCTCATCAAGCAGCACAGAGGACTGCAAGTCAAAAACTTTAGCCTCATCATCTGAGAACAACTTGAAATGGAGTCATTTTTCAATACCTCTCAACTTTATATCATGCCTTTGTGTTGCAGCCATGCCTACCTTTTCGTACATTGTTCCAAAGGTGGTCCTTGCTTGCACATCTCTCAAAGGCTTCTGGTAACTTTACATGTCCTGAACAGATGTACCAGAACAAGATGCCAAATGCATACACATCTACAGAGTTATCATATTTCCCTGTGACAAATGAACAACAAATATTGGTTGAATACTTTCATGGGCATCATTTCCATTATGTATTAGTCTGAAGTATGGAAATATTAACACACTACATAACTGGGACCTCTGGCAACAAGTGAAGGTCCAATTTACGCTCCTTTTTCAGGACTACTTCCCATTGAACACTATAGTCTGGGACCACATGAATTCTTAACTACCCTTCCCACAAGAGACCGATGGATCATGCTGTAAATGAGGTCAGTGATGCCCCTTCCTGGGAACTGATGGCATCAACCATTACTTTCCTATGATCTAGTGGATCTGCATGGAAAGAGTGCCTAAAATGTTCTGTGGTACATGTGGCACTCTGGAGCATAAAGCTAGAATAGACTTCTGTAACGCGCTTTACGTGGGGCTTCCCCTGAAGACGGTCCGAACACTTCAATTGGTGCAAAATAGAGCTGCCAGGTTGCTGACGGGGACGGAGTGTTATGCTCACATGACTCCAGTCCTCTGTCAGCTTCACTGGCTTCCCATTGAAGCCCGGGCCCAATTCAAGGTGTTGGTTATAACCTATAAAGCCCTAAACGGCTTGGGTCCTGGCTACCTGAACGAGCGCTTATGTCCATATATGCCCGACCGCCCCTTGAGATCTGCGGGAGAGTCCCTTCTCCGGGAACCCTCCATGAAAGAAATTAGGAGAGTAAGTACTCGGAGGAGGGCTTTCTCTGCAGTGGCACCCAACCTATGGAATTCACTCCCCAAAGAGGTCCGCCTGGCACCGTTGTTACTGGTTTTTCGGCGCCAGGTAAAGACCTTTTTATTTAAACATCATTTTAATTGTTAAAATATATGATCTGGCCAGGGCAACTTCTTCTTCCTTCTCTTTCCTCCTCCTATATTCTTTATTTACTTATTTTATACTGTTAATTTTAATTTTATATTATTGTATCTCAATGTATTTTTTGTATTTTTGTATTTATTGGTAATTTATTATGTTCTATTGTATTTCAATGTATCTCATTGTGTTGTAAGCCGCCCCGAGGCTTCAGCAAGGGGCGGCACAGAAATGTTATAATAATAATAATAATAATAATAATAATAATAATAATAATAATAATATTCAGAAGCATCAGCTAAGCAGAAAAGTGTTTGAATCAGGACTTTGCTACAGTTTGTACAAGGATGAAAGTGACTGCAGTTCCAAATTCAATATATTGCTTCCACTAAATTAAGTAATTTCTTAGAGTGCCCTAACACAATAACGAATTATCAACCAAGGGCACCTTCAATAACACCACTTTTCTGTCAGTTTCAGGCTGCAAGGACATGAAAAGGTAATTTCTGTGGCTGCCTCCACCAACTTCCCTTCCAATTTACCCAAGTCCATCTCCAAGCAGTTTTTGGAAAGTTTGCAAAACCCGCTTCTTAGAGCTGTTCTTTGGGTCTCATGATAGGGAACCTTTAATTTCATCAAGTGTGGTGTTGCCACAGAATTATGTTTCTTGTCCGTACCAACCCTGCATTTTCACATTGAGGCAAGCTATAGAATGAGGGCTCTGCTTAACCATTCTTTTAGTGAAAAATTATCTGGTAAAAGATATACTGCAGCAGTATCCATCTATTAAAGGAGCAATCCAAAGTTGTTTTTTATAAGGGAGATCCACAAGTTCACCTGTGAAGAGTTCAGGAGCCATATGGATAGGTGTTCCAACAATACTGCCAGACATCATTGCTTCAGGTTTGCAGAATCCCAGGTCTGTGATTTTAGCTCTATTGTTTTTATCAAGCTGTCAAGGATACAAAATAAATCTCATATCATACTCGAGAATTACCTTAGCAGCCTAACATATCATCACTTTCACTGTAATATCTTTTGCAAGCAATCCCAATTATAAAAACCTGTCATAAATGCCTTTGCCAAACCAAGTTGAAGGACATACATATGCTCCAAAAATTTATTGTCAGACACAAAAGGAACAGCTAACCCCCACTGGTTGGTCCTAGTATAATTTCAAATTAGAAGATGCTATCTTGGAAATTCAACTTTTAGCTACCCCAATAGTCACGAACATAGATGTCCTCCTTGATAATTGTTGTAATATCTGAACTAGCAGCCATCCCACTCCCAAACTGATGGTATGTTCTTTTGTCTATCCTGAACTTGTCAGTTTCATTCAATGGATCAGATTTCTGTTGTCAGACAGAATAGGATTGTCTCTATCTACCCCAGGCAATTTCAAGTTGCAGTGAACTACTTTTTAGATGTAAGCTCAGTTTAGGATCTTTTCTCTCGGTTTAGAAAAAAAATGTCAATTCCATGTAAATCTGATGTGATTCAGTTTATTTTTTTAAAAGACAACTAATCTAGTCATACAGAGACAAAATATTCCCCAGGTTCTTCTGAAATACTGTTCTCCCTAGTCTTGGGAAGTTCTGTCTCTGCTGTTCTTTAGTTTTCTATATACAGAAAAAGTCTCTGTTTTACGCTTCAGAATGGCAGAGACCACTATGCTCATGGTCTTCCTCTCACTTCCCAACATAGTGCTTTTTGTTTTATGTAATAGCATTTTCAGGAAATAGCTTGAACAATGCCACTATTTTATTGACTGATGTCTCACTCCATTTCAGCAAGGAGTACAAAGCTACAGGCAGAAAGCTATTCCTTACCAATACATTTTTAAGCTTGATGTCTCTGTGAACAAGCCCCTGGCTATGAAGAAATCGAATCCCTTCAACTACATCCAATGCAATCTGCAACCGTGTTTCCAGTGTCAACCCAGCCTGAAGAAAAAAGAAAAAAAAATCTTAGTACCATTTCCTTAATAGGATTGACCTCCCTAGTAATTATGCAGTGCTTCTTGCATTAGATGGGAGTCACTCTAATGAAAAGGATCCTTTAGGAAAATTGTTTCTTCCTAGAGTATTAGCTTAAAGGGGTCTGCTTGCGCTGTCCTACCTCATTTTACTGAAATGCACTGCTCTGCTCCCACATGGCTAGCCAGAACCAGATGCACTGCATTCATTCTTGTCAGCCCCCCTCTCCCACAACTGCAGCTGATTTAGATCTCTAGGCATGGGTGCCTCTGGTTGTAGGTTGAGAGAAAAGTGAAAGAGGAAAGATGAAGGAGCAGAGGGAAGAAGCGATAACCCTAGGGTTTCCCTTTACTGGCTTCATCTCCATCCACCATGAAGGTGTGACCTCCTACAGATCACCCTTGAGGAAATGCTAGAAAATGAATCACTGTGCTAGAATCGTCAAAGAGAGACAGAAGAATGTAGCAAGATGGAGCCAAGCCAATTATAAAATATATCATTGATGTGTTGTTTTACTTGAGATCCAAATATTAATATTAAATATTGTTTATTGCTGGTCAAAAATGTGCGCTCTCTCTCTCTCTCTCTCTGTGTGTGTGTGTGTGTGTGTGTGTGTGTGAGGGTGCAGGGGAGAAAGAGTAAGAACAACCTGAATAGATTGGCCTCGGTTATCTTAGCGAGTGCCTGCACTCATATGTGCCTACCCGGCCTTTGAGATCTACGCAGGTGACCCTCCTGTGTGAGCCATCTCCTAAGGAGGTGAAAGGGATGGCCGCTAGGAGGAGGGCCTTTTCTGCAGCTGCTTCCCATATTTGGAATGCTCTCCCCAAGGAGATTCGCCTGGCACCTTCCTTGCTTTCTTTTCGGTGTCAGGTGAAAACCATTTTTAAAAAAATACTTTTAAATAACTAATTGCCATAGACTCTTGTTTTGTATGTTTTGCTGTAGTTTATTGTTGTTTTTATGTGTAATGTGTTATGGTTTTTATTGTGTTTTTATTTCATTTTGTGAGCCATCCAGAGGTGCTGTGGCACAATTGGGCAGCATACAAGTGTGTGAGTGTGTGAGTATGTGAGAGAGAGAGAGAGAGAGAGAGAGAGGGAGGGAGGGAGGGAGGGAGGGAGGGAGGGAGGGGTGGGGGGAGGCGCACTTCAGAGTCACGTCATCATAAATTCTAATATAGAACTTAAGTTGGTCCTGGTGGTTATCAGTTTGTCAGTGTATGGCCTCATTTCACTACTCAGGAGATTCCAAGTTTGCTGAAGAATATGGTTTTGAAAGTTAAAAGAACTTTCACACACACACAGAGCAAGAGTGAGCACCCCATGAGGACTGAGCATGTTCAATTGGCTTTGGAAGCCATGGAATATAAAGGGTGTCAGCTGGGATAAAAATAAAGGGAACCGGTTTGTTTGAACACTGTAACAGATTATTGTGGCCTGAGGGAGAACAGGATCAGGGGATGTGCTCTTGGAGGTAAAACATTTTCTTCCCAGCACTACACAGAAGGTGATTTCAGAAGGGAAGGAAAGACATGGTGTCCCTTTTTCATTCCCAAGAAGCTTTCCCCACATCAGTTTATAGCAATAGTAATTCCAGAGCTGGTTGGCACCAACTGCCACATGGCGAGAGGGTTCAAGAAGTCAGAAAGGTCTAAAAAGCTGTTGTCTCCCCCACAACCTTCCACCATCCCCAGAGCCCTAAAGCAGCTTTACAAGGCTCCTAAATTCAGACTCACTGGAGTGCTGAAAAGGATATTGGAGATGTGAATGCTCACAGTTACACTTGAAACACACCTGTGAGTAATACATCTCTGGCTAGCAATGGTTACATGAATGTAAGAGCTACTGGAGCTGGTAAATATTTACACTGCCAAATTTCCTATTAAACATTTCTGTTCCTCACCTTTAATCCTGTATAGAGGTCTCTGTGCAATTGTTCCATTATCAGTAGAACAGCGATGCTGGAACCTCCCCCATATCCATAATCTATCACTGATCCGTGTAAGTCTACCAATCGCTCATGCTTTGGTAAAGACCTAGAGAAAGATGTAACACAAGTGTCAAGAACAAGAGTAATTCTGCCTGGTTTACCTCTTAGAGGAAAAAGAAGTAACAAAACAAGAGAATATAATATAAGCCATTTTTATTAATGTAAAGGTCCAAGATGATTTTCCTTTAGCTTTCAATTCTAGAAATACATATATAACAAAATCCATTTTTGGATGAATATTCTTTTTATCTTAGCATCCTAAGTAAGCATTCTAAGCTATGGCATATCAGTCAATTACAACATGCTGTCTCAAACTATAGCATAGAAAAATTCATAGTAGATTTACCATGAAGCCAAAGTTTTGTGGCCAAAGTTATTTCCAATTCTATCAGGATAGCAGTTTGTTCATTTGTCTATTAAACAGAATGAAGCTCCACTAGACTACCATTCATTTAGAGCCAAAGTTAGGGGCATTGCTTAACAGGCTGGGGCCTAATCCTGCCTGCAAAGGTTTGAGCACACTCTTGCCCTCCCTAAGTGCCTGCACCTTTGCAGCAAAGCAGGGAATCCCTTTGTTAGCTCCAGAGATTAGAGATAACCTGGGACATACTCATGCCACTCAGCCAGGGCTTGCTTCTTCCCACCCAATTATGCCCCAGTCAGTGCACTTCCTAACTTGAAATTAAGATGGAGCTGCTAGATCTACTGCAAATGCCAGCCAATTCCCTTGCCATTCTCCTAGCACTGCAGTTTGGTCATAAGCAGGGCTGGAAGGGGCAGGCTGACCCAACCATTACTTGCAGAAAACAACTCCTGTATGCACTAACAGAGCTTTTTTGTGTTTAGTCATGCTGGCCACATGACCATGGAGACTGTCCACAGACAAACGCTGGCTCCCTCAGCTAGGAAACGGAGATGAGCACCACCCCCTAGAGTCAGTCATGACTGGACTTTAATGTCAAGGGGAAACCTTTACCTTTTTATGCCTCTCTCTGCATAGAAAAAAGCAGGCCTGAATGCAGATGACATAGCAAGAGAGGGAGAGACTTTAAATGGGTCTCCATCCACCTGATGTCATTTGGCCTGATAGGATTGGACTGGGAAACAATCCAGCCCTTGGATAAAAGGGCCTCCCATTCCCATTTCTGTTCCCTTTCCCAAGGTCTATGAGCCTATTTCCTGCTCATTACAGAAGAGCGTTTAATACTACATACCTCATATAGTGAAACTCAAGTGCAAGATCATTCCAGTGCTTTTCATCTGGTGGAACAACAGATTTGAGTGCACATGGGAAGTGGCCACCCCAGGCATTACACAAATACACTACACCATACTGTCCTCGGCCCAGCTCATGACCTAGTTTTGGTTTACCTGAAACATAAAGAACTACATTATCAAATAGAGTATTTTCTATTTACCTCCTTAGTTGCATTCCTCAGATTTCATTCATTCAAGTGATGTGTGTCTGGAATAGTACCGAATCAGCATTTTGGGAAGTGTCTCAACACTTAGAGCAATAATAGCACTATGCCAAATCGGTAGTACTTGAATCTAATGTTAATTTTTGTTCCTTTCTGCCATGTTTATTAGCTTCTGATTTGACTTTTATGGATCCTACAATTCACTTCCGTTTTCATTTTTTAATCATGCTTTTACTGTTTTATTTAGACGGTTAGCCACTTTTAAACTTTGTACAAAGAAAGTACATAAATCCATAAATAAAATTTCAGTTCCTGTTCTATAAAATTTTCACTAGTGTTCTTTTTAGGAATGAATCTAAAGTTGGACTCCAACAAACAGAAGGGTTCCTTCAGTTTGCTAAATGGATTACAATGCAGCCATAGTTTCAGCTAGAATGAGAGAAAATGTTTTGCAGTCTACCTCCATACAGGTCCAGAGGGTCCTTAAGCCCTTTAGAACAGTTTCAGGGGAGACTGGATACATCAGGAGAGACCATAGCATGGAGGAACAGACCTAAAGTCACGCCACAGCCCTGATCTGTATAACTGTGTTTCCCCACTACTAGAGGTAGTCCCCAAATTACAAATGCCCAAGTTATAAACAACCCAACTTATGAATAAACTGCCACAAAACCTGTTAATTTTTTAAAATTACTACAGAAAATTATCATCAAAATAGAGAGAGAGGAAGGCCTCCAAAGCATGCCTTACTGCCCCACACATCTGGAGAGGGAAATCTCTCCAGCATTTCCTTGCTGCAAAGAGGCAGCACTGGTGAGTTGCGGTGTGGGAGCTAGAAATATTTGCAGTTTTCCACTATCATGAGGTCTTGTACCCCAAACCCCCATAAATGTGGAGGGCCAACTATATGTGATCCATACATGCAAGTTCATACATGCATCCTTACATACACATTCAACTTAAAGATACATTTCCATTTTCTCAAGAATGAAACTCATTTGTAACCCTGGGACTGCCTGTACCCCATTCCTGAGATGTTATTTGTATCAGTAGGGAAGTTCACATTGGTGCCAGCTGGAAGCTTCCATCCTGATGAGAATGGGAAGAATTATCCAGATTGAGGCAGTGGTGTAGGGTTAAAGCTGCCACTCCACCATATGCAATAGTTAATTGCATGAACAAGGGGTCTAAGTGCTGTTGTCTATACAATATAACCAAAATACAGCATCCATTTGTATTCTTACAAAAGTAAATTCAGGAGAAATTTCAGAAAAGCCATCACTGAGTGAGAGAAACAACCAGGGCAAAGCTCACCATGTAACAAAACATCTTGCAGGGACCTGCTTTCCAATGAGAGACGAGCAAGCCGAGGAGCATGGTCCTTTCGTACCTTCAACCAAAGATCTTCTGTTTTCTCCAGCCTCCCCGAATGGCCAGCCTCTAGCTAATGAGACATAAAATGTTAAGTACGGCTTTGCCATCAGGTTTTCTTTTTGATGGCAAATAGACTGAATAGGCAGACTTTGTCTTTCAAGTTATTTGAAAAATGTGAGAGAGTTTTCTATTCTTTTCAGTTCCCTTTATGTAACACTGACCTGTCGCAAGGAGGCTGCAAAAGCTTCATGAGAACTGTTTAATCTTGTCCGGAACTGGCTGCAGATATTCTTGGCCAGCCTGGATGCACTAAGACTCTCTATAGCATCCTGAGCTACTTTTCTTTTCCACTCCATAGTGATAGCTGGTGGGCTTACCCAGGTAATCCGTTGTATTATCTAAAGAAACAAAATACATTGTCTCAGAGTCAAAGCTTGACCTATTAAAAAGGACAGGTTGCTTACGTGTAACTGTATTTCTTGAAGGGGTAATCTATGTACTTGCATAGCTACAAAAACTCATTTAGAACATTCTAGTAGAAATGAACTTTTGGCAGACTTAATCTATCCCCTACGCAAGAGTGTTACTGCTGCTCTTTACGCTCAGTTCCGTGGACTGCCGCAGCAGAGAAATACTGAGCAAGACAGTAACATGTCAAGGATGAATGCCTGCAGTGGGGAAAGAGGACAGGTTGTGCAAATACAAAAACGGCCATCAAAGAAGAACTAGTTACAGGTAAGCAGTTCTGTAAAGTTCTTCATGGTTTCAGTGGCTCAGTGGGTTGTTAACTAGCCTGCCAGAGGCAGGGCAGGCACATCATATTAATCAGTGAAAACAGATCTCATACAAACACAGAATCTGTCCTGGTTTTCATATCTACTTTATAACAGTGGACAAATGGGGATGACCATCCTGAGCACCTGCTCTGTATAAAGCCATGCACCATCAGTAGTTTAAAAAAGAGCTTAGTCCCCTGTTGCCACATTAGGTGACAATGTAGAGCCAAAAGGGGATACTTAAGCAATTTGGTAATGCTCCAGTTCTGATATTGGGTGAAGAGCTTGGCTAAAGCAAGAATAGTGGTGTCTCTTGAGGATACCCTTGCAGATGCAAGCAATGTCAGATGCCAACAATTCCACCAATGCCAGAGCTTGGACGTGGTATATGAGAGGACTACTGCTGAATCCAGAGCCAAGTCAGTTGTTATAGCTGAGGGTGATCAGTATAAGAGCTGATACAATGACTGTCAGTTGAAGCAGTCAGGACTACAGCTACTATTGGAAACATCAGTACCAAGGACACTATTGGATCTGATATCAATGGTATTATAAGTAACAGCAAGAAGAGCAAAGGCAAAAGAAGCAGGAGACAACAAGGGAGAGAGAGAAGGAAGGGGGCAAATAATAAAGCAAGATAAGGCGGGACTCAGCCCAGTATCCAATTAAAAAATGCTTGAAAGAAGACTACTGACAATGGTGCAGCCATGGTGGCCAAAAAGCATCTGAGCAGGAGGAGCCACTGAGCATGCGTGCTGACCAGGGGAATGGGCACTCAGCTCTAGAATGTTTTCTATGAGGCTCTGCAAAGGCACAGAACTGTGTCTGAGTCACAGAGATTACGAAAAAGAAATGCTGTTTTCATATTAATCTGCACTGGAACTACAGTGTTGGCCAGGCATACAGCAATTAGGAGGATGGGGAGAGAAAGCGTACAAGAATGGAAGCAATCTTGCAATCGATCTGTCATATTTTAACAGTGACAACATACCTGCAATATTTTTAACAATGTGCCTTTCCACACAAACTAGCTTTTGTTCTACCATGGGATGTGTGTGGACGTTAGTAAATAAAGAAGTTTGCATTTGACAAAGTAGATTACTGTATACAGATTTGAATTAATGGATGATACACACTAAGGGCACAGTCCCATGGCCACTAGACACTGTCTAGAAGGCTACAGGTAAATTTAGAACCCTAGCTCTAACCTCAGAAAAGCATTATAAGGTTAAAGCTAGGGTTCGGGGTTCAGAGCACCCTTCCGCTGCCATCATGGCCTGCACAGTTCTTTCTGCAAATGTGACTTCTCAGTGGGGGGGGGGCTGCTCTGTGGGGTGGGGAGAAGCAAGGTTCCATCAGGATACGAAGTGGCTTAGTTCCTCCTTCTCATGAACTGGAATAAACACTTAGGTTTTGAAGGGCAAGGAACGCGCAGAGGCAATCCTCCTTTCGGTGTTCCTCCCACCCCACAAAGGAAATCCATAAACTTCTGAGTGCAAAGCATTATGGGCAGCCACACTAAGTTTAATTAAGGTTGCTATGGGTGAACTTTTATTAACAAAAGATTTAATACCTGCTTGATCTGTTCCCACAGCATTCTGGATACTGTTGAACCAGAGTGAAAGGTGACTTCAACATTGTAGGCTGCATTCAGTATCTGTGAGCAAATGTATGTGTTAATCATGCATTTCACAAACTGAAATTGCTGTTCTCATGGATGAAGGAACAAACTGAACACATTAGAAAGAGTCTTGTAATTTATCTAGAGGCAGAGTTGCCATGATCTTGGGTACATTCTTCCAAATATAAGTTAAGGAACCATCTGTTTAGACCCATATCATTCCAAAGAATTAAACAACCTTTCTCCAATTTACTTCAATATCTGTGAAAGTATAGCCAACCACCATCCTCAAAACAAATCTCTAAAATTACTTAGTGCTACTTTACCTGTTTTAAATAATTGCTTGTAATATGCACTGAAACATCTTGCTGAGATTTCTCCAAACTCTTCAGGCATCTTTCCAGAGTTCCAACAAAGCTATCACGCAGGTAGTCCACAGAACTTATCAACTTGTTGGCAACTGCTTGGTTTAACCGGGAAATTATCAATTCCTGGATTTGCTTAATGCAACATTTAATGTCTTTGGAACTAATGGGCTCACCATTCTCAGGAATTATGATATCTAGACAAGGTGGGAGAGAGAAGAACCAACACTGAAAGGGTAACATAATCCCAATACAAGTAGCCACACAGAACAAGTGGAACACTAAATTCAGTTAACCAAGTATGATGAAAAGCCCAGCTAGATTGGGTTATACCAAAACATCCTCCCACCTGAAAAGCCCATAATTCAGACACATTAAGTACTTTGCCACCAGGATATCATTGGGGAGTATTAAGCATTTGCTTGACTCATCCCTTTTATTTCAGTATTCCAACAGATCATTGGGTTCAATGGGGCTTGCTTCTAAGTAGATTAGTATGCAACCTTATTGTAAAACTGTATATAAGAAACTTTTATAGTCTCTACAATGTACAAATTTTGTTCACCTGGATATAAATATCCACAAAGCTTAACATTTCAGCTGAACCCATTAAGTCACTTGATGCTAACATTATTAAAAGATTGTGAAAAACAATCTGGTGCAGAATTTTACTGCATGAGAGTCAACAAACATGCACATAGCAGTTAGAAGCAGACCAGATTGGGAAAAGATAGCTGATTTGGAAGTACTGTACTACTTCATCTTTTAAGATACACTTTTTCTTAGAAAAGGTAATATATTACTGTTGCAAAATCACAAAAATATGTGATAAATCACTCCAGGCTGCAGTTTGCAAACAGAGCAGCAAGTCCCACTGAATTCAGCAGGGCTTATTTCTGTGTAAGTATGTTTGGCATCATGCTGTGTTTCTCTTTTGATGTTAATATCAGCTTTTCTAGTTAGCTTGCTGTATTGCAAACCTACCAGTATGTAAACAGGGAACTAATTTGTCTCATATTTGGAGGCACCTTAACCCTTCTGTAAAATCAGTGACTGGGGTTGCGCAATCACAGAGGAGGGAATAGGCACACATACATGTGCATGTCAGTTGAGTGCAGGGAAGATTTGGGTAAGTATCCTTGGCAGCAGAGTTTGTTATATTGCACAAACCTAACTAGAACTTTCTTGTTGCAATGGGTAACAAGAACCCACCCAGACCCCATGGGCTGTTTGAGGTGGTTTGTTAACCATGGCAACAAGCCATCCTGACCAGGTTCCCATGACAAACTGCTTCAGATAATTTGTGTCAATTATCCAAATCCCCCTGGTACATGACCACCTACATGGCAAAGAAAATAAGCTACCATGGCTGATTTTTCTTGCTACAATGAGGCAAACTGGCCCACTGTCTTTGCAGCTGCCTTATGTTTATAACTGCCTTGTGTTTAAAGAGCTGAACACAGAAGATAGGTCTCATCTTTGATTTCTTTTTCAAGAAAGGAATGAATCCAGAAACTCAAAAACCTGTTTGTAGCGCTACTGCTGAAAAATGGAATGCCCCATAAACTATTTAAGCCACTGCATGCAAATAACTGCTCCTCTCTTCCCCCAAGCAAAGTTATACCTGTATAGGATAACCTCTTTAAGAAACACAGAGAAATTTAGATTCTACCCAAAAATCTCTCTGCCAAGGCTCTTGTAGAAATAAATAGCTCATAAGACCTTGTTTAAAAAGATATACCTCTTAGATTCTTACACAACCTTCACATATACTAATATCTTTACTCAGCTCATTCAGATGGATACAAAGTTGTTACCCGTGTACTTCATTCTGCAGATACGTTCACTTGGTCCTTCTTAAATAATGCACCCAAGAACAAGTAGATTGCTTGCATGTGATATAAACATGTTACATAAACATATGTGGATGGATTATTTTCCTCCTGGATCATTGTGGGAACAACCATGAAGGAGGTGACAACCATGCAAGTATAAATAAGCACTGTAGCATTCCAAACTAATATTCCCTTTTCAGGTGAATTTTGTTTAGAAACATAACAGAAATTTTGGTACTTGTTAACCCTTTTTTGTCTGTCTGGAAATTACCTTTGAATTCCATATTAGCAGCATCTTCCAGTAGCTCTTCTTTCATGTTATTAAGAGTCTCAATGATCATCTCCTTCATTTCCTCTTGTTTCCGGTTGGCTATGTTCATCAGAGACTCATACAACTCATTCTCCTTTTTCCGGGTATACTCTAGACGCTTTGGAGTGATCTGTAGGTCTCGTTGCATGTCAAAGGCTTGGTTGATGAAGATGTCCAGGCAACGGCAGTGAACTATGTTCAAGATGGTGGCTGCATCCACCAAGCGCTTCTGCAGCACCTGTTTGGAGAAAGTGCTAAGCAGACGGATCTTGTCTGATTGTTCCACCAGCATGCTCTGGGCTTTGGCATCAGAGCTAGGAGCTCCACAGCTGCAGTGGTTGGTACTAAGATAGTCTAGATCAAGCAGCTGTCGATAAAGAGAGGACTTCTCATTCTCTGCATTCTGAGGAGATATTAGTTCATCTCCCAAATCTGGCACTTTGAAAAAGAAGACAGGCAGAGAGAATTTCTCTTTTATCTCTTGCAGTTCACTCACATCCAGTGCTGAGAGTTCTGCCTCACAGATGGCAAATGTGATGACTGGAAGGACACTGTTCATGTATTCTCCCAGAGTGACTTCTGCTGGCTGGAATCCTCGACAAGGAGCAACTACAATGTCCACTTCCTGAAAAAAGCAAAGCAAATTTTTTTAACATAAAGGTAAAATGATTTGATATAAGATTACAGTCAGCATGCTGCCTTCACCGCCACCTCCTCCTGCACAGCAAACCTAACACTCCTACATTCAATGGAAATCTGAGGATACAAACAAAAGTCAGAGATATGAAACTTGCTTCTGTGCAAGCATACACCTCTCCCCTATCTTTAACCTATTTTTCCTCCCCAAGAAGTCCCACTAGTGCAAATACAAAATGCTAAAGGTATACAAAGGGAACAAAAAACCAGCAACAAGGATGTGACCATATGCCAGCAAAATCAATAGGAGGTATGGCTTCTTAATCTATCCAGCAAAATAAAAGCTAATCTAGTGTTTAATAAGGTGAAATGTACATATGGTCCACAGATAAGGAATCCTAATGGGATGTTCCTTCTACAAAATATTCCTTAAAACTTCTACCATGCCACAGAGAACCATTCTCTCCAGCTATCTAAATTTCTATATGGAGCAGCATCAATTTGAGCTTCTAAACCTGTTGTCCAAATGATACTGAAATGGTAAGCCTGTCTCTGGGCTGTAAGAATTAGGCCTTTTACTCTCCTTGAATTCAAGCATTGACTCTCTACACCCACTGTTGACTAAATCTCTAACTTCTGAAAGCCACACCAATTACTCTTGTTCAATTAAAACTTATTATCTCATATACTGTATATTCTGAAAACTGCAATGTTCCTTTGATTGTTTTACAAGTATATGAACAATAGCATTGCTGTGATACTGTTAGAAGTGTCCTTCCTAAGTCAATATTAGCTTGAGCTTTTGATATTTACCAATTCATTTTATAATGTTCAGTGTTACAGTATTTTTAGCAAAATCTAAGAACACACTAGCTATTTTTCAACATTTACTTTACAATCACCATCCTAAATATTATCAGGAGGATTGAAATATAAAGTAATAATAAAATTGCTAAAAATAAAATCGATGTTAAGAATTACACAGCCATTCTTGATGTAAAATGCTAAGTACCCATGAGGTAGTATATGTTTTTAGAGAACTGACACTCTTGTGCCTTCATGTACTATACAGTGCAAGTTCAGGCTCAGATACCATCATTACTTCTTTGGCTGGCTTGCAGCCTCATATTACTCTTATGGAAACTAAATAGCAGGGGTATTGGCAAAGTCATTAGAATATTAACAGCTATTTTGGAGGAAAGCTTTTTTTCAGCACTTATTATTTGGAGAATTGATATTTCCACTAATTAACAAATACCTGGATTCCCTAGAAAACCCTTCAGCTGAAGCCAAAAACTTTCAACTGCTTGACAAAATTGCTCTGATCTAAGTTAAACTCAGTGAAATTAAAAGAATTCTAGCAGGTTTTAATGCTTTAACACTTCTCTAAGTTTTCCCAAAGTCCCTTTTCACAATTCCCAAAATATTACTGCAGCATTTTTTGGTAACTCAAGTATGGAAACACATGAAAAAGTTGTAGCTAGACAAGAGTGCAAGTTGAGAGTTGGATGTGCAACTCAACATTCACCATGAGAGATGACTCACACTGATGGCAGTAAGCAAAGGAGGAAGCCAATGATGTCTCCAAGAGACATAAAGAAAAAAGATTTAGAAAAAGATAACTTTTCGTATGAACAAGTAATCTTGCTTAGGCAATGATAGATCTGCTGCTGTTCTCACTAGATAGCTTTTATCAGTGGTTTCCTTCTAGTTTCTGCATCTCATCACAGAGGACAGCAGAGATGTTAAGCAAGAAGCTTCACCTTTAAGAACAAGTCCTCCCCTGTTGGAAATATGTTTTTGCAACTGGCCTTTGTGATTTTCTTCATTTCACTGAAGCAATATTCAGGTTTAAATATGGATTTTAGGAAAATTTCATATGCAATTCACTGTAACACACATTCACAGTGAATGAATTCTTCAAACCAACATATGCAAGTTTTAAGTACAAGGAGTTTTAATTAACTGTGAGCAAGCCCTTGATTAATAGAATAGCTTATTTTAGATACAACATTTATTCTATTAACAGCACACAGTATCTTGAGGAATTTCTCACTTTTCTATTACAAAAGTAGGCCTTTAATATAGTGCCTGCTGCGACATGTACACATCTAAAACAAAGTTTGAGCCTTGCATCAGAATACTGTTTTCAACCATATGCAAATATATATTAATTTGAAAGGTCATATTAGTTTTAAAGTCAGGCAGCAAGCCTACTATTTGCATTTTTAAGTGCTACATTTTTAGAAAGTCAAATGTATGGTATGGACATAACAACCTATCATTTTAAAAAATGATGAGTTGTCAGAGGAAAGAAGGAGCATTACCTGCAGTGCACCAGCTTCTTTTGCTTTGCTCACATCCCATGATGAGCTTCTTCATGGCTTCAGTATGATGTGCAAACCTGGACAGTTGGATTGGCTAACTGATGGTTTGTTTTGGGCTGACTACTACGTTTTTTTTAATTCCTGGACATCCTAGTGGTCCAAATTTGCACACCACATTGCAAACCTATGAAGTAGCCAATTATGGGTTGTGCGGTAAAATGGAAGAGGCAGCAAGCAGTGTGCCCCCAGCAACCTGTCCTGATGGGTTGCCATTATATAGCAACAGCTTTGCAATGTAATAAATGGTACTACTATGGTATGCTCTGAAAACAATTCTATATAAGTAGGAATAAACGATAACTGCAGAAGCAGGGAGGGTTATAGGAGATGATCATTCACCTGCCTCTTCACCTTCAACACACATACATGGATAGTCACATGAATTTTCACATACATTGGTTGATGAGTCGGATGGGGCAGAAGGAGGGAGTCCCTGTGCCTTTCTCAAATACTGATAGTCAGGGGAGGATGGTGACTCCTATGTCAGTGGGGTTCCTGATCTATTGCAGCTTTTATTTTAAGCTTTATTAATAAGCCCCACTGGCATAGGAGTCACCAGCCTCCCTGCCAATCGAAATACCCACCCTGACTATCAACTCCCTTTATTTTTTTTATTTTTTTGTTCTCCCTGTCCTTACCTTCCTAGCAGTCTCTCCAACATGTAAAAACAGAAATGTCAAAACCAGGAGATGGCACAGTTTTTTGATCCTTGAATCTCCCCTTACCCCAATATCAAAATTATTTGCTCTGCTAGAGTCTAGAATTAGAGAACTTTCTGGGTTCAAATAACAGTGGGTGTGCCCAATTTGGGTATTATCTTCAGGAAAAGTTTCTGATGCAGGGATTACTTTCTGCATGCATTGAGAAAGAATCCATTTAATAGTCAGCAAATTCTCTTTAAGAAATAGACTTGTAGTACAAGAAACTGTTTCCTTCTGTGCACATACCTTAGAGCATGTTTACAGACCTTCCAAATAACCTTGCAAAGAGTAGTTCAAACAAGCTATCTTTCCATTGTTCCTCTTCTTTCCAGAGAATTCTTACACAACACCTTGCAGGTGTGCTCTTTGCACCCAAATAACAGAAGCAGCACCCTAGCTTGCCAAGTGAAGTGAAATGGATGGCTCTAGTCTTAAAACAGAGCAGTTTGTCCATCTCCATAAGAATATTCTGTAAGACATTATTCAAGGTAGCTATCACAGGGAAGAAATATTCTCATTAGAAGAACTTAAGTTCTCTCTGTCAAGTAAGGTGCACTAAACTGGTGACTCCATTAGGTATGTAGTACATATTGTGCCAGCTGTCCCAAACATAAAGCTGCATCTTGCTTAATGTAGATTTTTAGTCCTCTGATGTTTAGATTTTGTGGTGTTATGTGCTGTTATCTCCACTCCACTGAAACCCTATAAATGAATGCCTTTCCAAATGTCCTGTCTTTGACAGACCTGCTTAGCTCTTCTAAATTTAGATTCTATAGAAATCATAAATAAACAGAGGCTAAAACAAGATCTGCCTTACTTGTCCTACCTATTTTGACTTGTCAGGTGAAGTTTATTACATTTCAGAAATCAACTGTTGCCCCAAAACACCCCAAGATTGTTTTTTTTTTTTAATCTGGAGGTTTACCAAAGATCTAGCACCTTCAGCACACTTGACAATAAAGATATGTTTCCTTGAAGCTAATCCAGTTTGCAGCAGCAATACTCAAAAGTCTATCATTATGTTTTGTTCTTCAAGCCTGCCAAAATATACCATTCTTCTGCTCAATGTTTCACTATGTCATCATATCCTGAGCAATTCACTTTAATTCAGATCTATCAAATTTTTCTACATAAGTATATCATACATGTAGGTGTACCCTGTCATGTCCGAATCTCATATAAACAGTTTTGCTTATGTATATGTTTGGAAGGAGCAACTGGATAGTCAGGCTCACAACATTACCCTTGTTAGTCAAAAATCTGGTTGCCAAGGAGGTCATACAAATTCTTAGTGGTTTGGCTAAACTGGTTCCCTTCTCTTCCACCCCCCCCCCTTTTCCTGGCAAGATTGTACAAACAAATGCACAATTGTTTAGAGGCCAGGCTACTTACCCATTTGATTTAACTCTGCTGAGAGCAGAAATGCAGAAGGGGAAAAGGGACTGACTCAGAAATTTCTGAGGAAGATGAGCAATTGCCTTCAGTGGGATGGAAGATGTCTCAAGGCTTTTCCTAAAAGTTGTGAAGTTGAGGCATGGCTTTTGGGGAGAATATCAAGGCCCTGGAAGGAGACCATAGCCTTTTCAGAAACCTATGTTAAAAGGTGCAGTGTATGTTCTGATTTCATTTTCTCTTGCAACTTGCAGCTTCCCCTTATTCCATTATACTGGGTTTGTGGGTTTTGGGTGTTGCTTTTTATCCCTTGAGTCACTAAACTCACTGCTAATGGGACTTGAGTAAATAAGGTCCAACCAGCTCAAGCTGCAAGGGGTGTCCTAACTCACTACAGAAACATTCACCCATTCTAATTCTTTGCAAGGGCCCTGAAAAGGATCCTGAAAAGAACCCCTGGATAGATTTTTTTTCCTTTTCCAGAGCAGCTAAAATCATAAGCTCAATGC